AGTGATTTATATAGATATGCATTTTTCTTACCACTGAAACCTCTCATGCACAGAGAGGTTTCAGTATTGTTGAGAGGTATCAACACGTGTTGGATGTGTTTGGCTGGGTGTTTCTGCTTTTTCTGACTTCAGTTGATCTGTAGGTCTATAAAGTAAAAGCTGTAACATTCACTAGTTTGTTGTATTCAAAGGGGAACATTCTTAGTCACTTACAATTCCACACACTGAGGGTTTATAAAGGACGAGACACAAATCAAACACACAATGCCCAAAATCAAGATATTCACATTTCAATGGTTTGAAAATCACATTAAAGCACATCCACAACTTAGTTGGCTCATGAAACATAAAACAGGTACAGGCACTTAATTCTTCTGTAAAAAGTAGGTCAGTTCAAAGCTGTAAGGAAATCCAAAAATAGGAAAATATTATAATAACATCGACATTTTCCATCCAGAGGCCTGCACAGCTCAGTTGAAGCCTCCACACATCTGTGTGTCTAAGCACGCCCACAGGCCCCACCCATATGGAAATATCACTCAGTGTCTTCACAAATATCCAGATGTTTTCTGAATTTAGTGATGTGGCATTACCAGTATCGAGGTTAATCTATTTAAGACTATTTAAAGGTCCAATCAGTAAGATATTTACTGGGTTAAATGATAAAATGAACTTACTATCTGATCAGACATTAAGGAAACATGCTCTGTTGAAGTGCTGGCTTCTCTGACAACAATGCAGCAGCCAGTATGTCCTCTTCTAACTTTAGATTCTGCTCCTGAATGCTCTGGATTTGTTTGGACCAGAGAAGGGAGGCGCTTTTAAGACACCCCCAACGGCTGTTTTGGACGCCCGTCGGTTTGCCAGACAAACAGCAAACCAACAGGTGTTGCAGTGATGGAAGCAGCAAGAGAAGTGGTTCAGATAGAAGTGATTGTACCCGACCTAAAAAGCCTCTGCATGTTTCTAATAAGCTCCACGAGCAGAAACGTGCTCAAACTAGGATCAATATTGGAGATGCTTTTGAAAAATGGAGAGAGGTTAGAACACAGAAAGGTTTACAGACCCATGCAGAGCTGGATAAACACTGAAGCTTCAGTGTCCACCACATGGTGACCTGAGTGAGCATCCACTCTTGAGAGGGGGGGAGTCAGTTCTCTACAATGTTTTGAATTTGGACTGCAGTACCCATTTTACACACTAGGTGTGTAACATACTGCTCCTTTAAGAATAAGTTGCATCACATCAAAAAGTATAAACAAAGGGAATTAATTATTTGTGAAGACACTGCAGTGGACATATTTTAATCAAACTTTTCTGTTTTTATGTTAAAAAAATGATTGCAGGGACAGATTTAACATTTGACCACTTCAATTTAAAAATCGGTATACGCACAAAATTAGATTCACAATTTGCTAAAGAGCAACTGCATACACAATTTGTAAAATGGTCAAAATGCAAACAACAAACAATTAAAGTTAAACATTAAAAAATAGTCATTGCATCTGTCAGATCTTATATGCAAAGTTTTCTTTCAAAATAAAATATGTGTTATTTCCATTTGGGAAAACAATCTGTTTCCCGGACAGACAGACCAGACACTGTTGCAATCTTCCAAACATGCAAACAAACACATCAGCTAACATGACAGGAATTGATCAACACACACACACACACACACACACACACACACACACACACACACACACACACACACACACACACACACACACACACACACACACACACACACACACACACACACACACACACACACACACACACACACACACACACACACACACACACACACACACACACACACACACACACACACACACACACACACACACACAGCACTCAGAATTCATGGAATTCAAGCAATGTTCACCACCACAAATGATTACCATTGAACACAGGACTTCAGAGTTAAGAGGCATAGATGTTCAAAGCAGTAAACAAGTTTTAAAGATCAACTGCACGACAAACTTTGTGCAAAGCTGAGCGATACTCTGAAGGCTACATGTGTGTCCACATTTATGAACGCACGGGGGGGGTTTGAAAGATGATGAGTCGACTAAAATGACAAGCTGTACACGCAAGCAGTGAACACAAGCGCTTAGACCTGCTTAATCTATTGTTGTGTTTCTACAACGTCAAATCTACGTAGCTACGATGTCACTGGTCTAAGGCTCGTTATTTTCTCTTTTTAATTCAAATTCAAACCAATCAGGTAATATGTTGGTGTTTAAAATGCCAAACTCAAAAAATATAAAAATACAATACAAAACCCGGGTGAAAATCTGATAACAAAAATAATGTTTGCATCAAAAGCACTTTACATCTCCATACTGTTTTCTTTTAAGCTGCACTATTAATATTTATCTATTAACAATCGGCAAAATGACTGCAGGTGATATGAAGGGAGTCGATCATCATGATAGCGACAGACAAAGCTAACTCCGATCTATAGCTCTCTTTTAGTGTCTTTAAGCTCACTGTTGATTTTCACTAGTTTGAATGACTTATTAGGGCTGTCAAATGATTATTTTTTTTCTTTTTACGATTAATCGCAAAATTTCAATAGTTAATTGCCATTAATCATGTTTTAAATCGAATGTTTGAAATTGCATTATTTCGCATTTAAAATGAAAACTGTTATGCTTTTATTTTGAATTAAGCTGAGAGTACTTTCTGCCTTTTATTTTGAAGGACAGGTAAGGCCTCGTTGATAGATCGACAGTTACTGCATTAACTAATTAACTGCATTTAGCACAGAAACAGGAAGTGGTTAGGGACTAAATTCAAACAGCTCAAATAACAAAGATAAATGTTGGATGTATTTAACATTTATCTTTGTTACAGGTGGATATTACTTTTGACTCGTCAACTGAGCTGTCTAGAAGTTGATGTGTTTTTCTTTTTAAAGGTTTATTTTTGGGCTTTTTATGCCTTGATTTTGAGAGATAGGATAGAGTCACGAATCAGGGAGAGAGAGAGAGAGAGAGTGGGGAACGGCATGCGGGGAAGGAACCACGGGTCTGATTCAAACCCGGGTCGTCCGCTTGGAGAACTACAGCCTATGTACACAGGGCGTGCGTACTAACCACTAGGCTCCTGGCGCCCCCTGTCTAGAAGTTTTTTAAAAGTGACATGACACATTCAAAGATGCAGCAGTGGACTTCTTTTCCATCACTGTGACTACAGGGAGACATAGTGATGCCTACCCATGGTACACCTAAAAAAATAGCATATATTATTGGTGATAAAAAAAAAAAAAAAACATGAATTAACTTCTGACCTTAATTCATCACTATTAACTAGTAAATCCTGACAGCCTTACATGTGATGACTTCCTGTTCCTAACAGCACTGTACACTCCCTACATGTGGATTCTTTCCGCCAACACAAACACTTGAAGGAATCTTGGTGTTCATGTGTTACTTTTAATGACAGCTGTCCTGTTCTATCAGAAAGGTATCCTTAAATGACTTCTTTCCCTGATTTCTGACTCTATCCACTATCCTATCCCTACAATAAAAAGGCACAAAAAGCCCAAAAATAAATCTAAAAAAAAAAAATTAACTTGACTTTCAAGTGGGGCGGGCCGCCCCCTTAATATAATGGTAGGGGAAACACTGGTATAACATCTAGCTTGCTAAAGGAAGGAGATGTTAAAGTTTTTATGTATTCAATGTGTATTGAAGGTGATATAATGTAAGATATGAATGCAACAGCGCGCTAACATTTTAGCCAAAAGAGAAAGCTGTGAGTTATGACTTGTTTTCATTGGACTGATGGTGCGTTCCATTTACCTCGGATCTCGGAGCTGGGAATCACACTGGAGTTTCCCGCGTTTCAGTTCCAGTTAGCAACAAGCAGCATGGACGCCTCCAGGAGTACCTTTGTTTTTTAAGCTAATACCTGGCGATAACAACACACTATGTGATAGTTTGAACGCAAAAATAAAATGACAACATGTCCACAGAGAGAACTTGCACTGTACTATCTGTGTTATTGATTTAATTACACTAAAAGAAGGCTAAGCTGCTAATAAACACAGCTACTGTTACAGCTCAAATGTTACTGTTGATGCACGGAGCAGCAATGTTGGATTTTAACTCGGGCCCCTGAAGTTACTCCAAGTTTCCAAGTCAAATTCCGACTTCAGGGGAGGCGTTCCTGACGACGTATCAGACAGGTAACTCAGAATTTCCGACTTATGAGATCAAATGAAACGCACCATCAGCTCTTGTTTTCAAAGAGAAGTCAGTGTTAAAGTGCCTGAAACCTGCATTCTCTATCAGGGCAGGAAGGGGGCGACTCTTCTCGCCCAATGGTATTGAAAGTCTTCTTCTTAATTGATTTATTCGCTTAATGAACATTTTCCTTTTAAGGGTATTGTATCTTTTTAAACACACTTTTGTAAATGAAGTCCCCGTTTGGAGCGAAATAGAAACACGGTCTGCTTTCAGGGGACGCTGCGTGGAATTGACAAGTTGTGACCATGGCAACCAGGAAAGAGGAATAGCATAGCATATTCACTCTGTCCCCCAAATTTGGGTCCTTTCTTTGACTCAATCAACCAAAACAACAAAAAAGGGGTGAAGGCTATGACTCAGAGCCTTAAAGCAGACGTCCTCAAACAAACTGAGGTCATCACTGTAGCTACGTCCACTTCTTACATACAGTCTATACGATGAGCCTCGTCTATGGTATAAGATACCACAGGATGATCACTGGATATTAGAGACAATGTCATCCAGGTTGTCTACTTATTTTACAAGCATAATGTCCTACCTAGGGTCTTGCAAGGCCTCTAACGTCTTGTTGAGGGAAGCTAACGCCCATCACCAGCCTAATACTGGCACATGTACTGTGTTCAGGTCTTGGGTCCCTTTGGTAGGTAATCATTGTTCCTGTCAAAATAAGTACAGAGGCTAAGGAGGTCTTGAGAACCACTGCTAAAAGAAACCTTTTTTTCCTTGTCTGATGTTTCACACTCCTGCCCAAACCCAAAAGTACGACACAAACCTGAAGCAGAACATTTCTGGAGGAAACAAAGCCTGTTGAGTCGTCTCCCATAGCAACCAAAGGCAGGGTTAGATTCATGCCCTCGTCGTTTGACTAGAGCCCAGTGAGGTCTACGATGGCCTTGATAAAGATGGTGTCGTCGCGTATGTAGGAGTTTTTAGAGTCCAGCTTTGAGAGCGGACAGAAGAGTGGACATCCGCTGGCAATGTTCATGTCACTGACCGGCCTCTGGAACGACGAGGACGAGATGTCGGGCCGGAAGGCATCGATGATGTGCTCCCTGTTGTTCTGGTCAAGCAGCATTAGGGTGACCTGAGGACAAACGTTTAGAGGAGTCGAGCCTTAGTTAGTAAGTTTAACTTTTTCCAGAGCACTAAGGCCCCGTTTACAACTAGCGTTTGTCCGGGAAGAAAAGCACTGCACGTCCGTCCTGTCTCTATGACAACAGTCTGTTGACAACTGCCTCCGTATGACACTGCTCCGTTACTTTTTTACTGCATGTTTTATATTTGAGATATTTTATTTCCCGGAGCAAAGAGGATGTGGATACAAGACACGATCCGTTAGCGGCAAAACTACAGGGAATATCATACATTTTGAATAGAGCGTAAAAGGTTTTCAACTCGAAGTGGCCGCACAAAAGGCAGAGCGCTTGGAAAAAAGACGCTGGGCGCTGCGCCTTTTCTCCTCATTGAAAACCATTGAAAAAAAGACACTGGTGCTCCGAAAAAAACGCTAGGTGGACACCAGGGCCTAATGCAGAGTTTAGCATGATGGCACTTAAATGAATGTTACTATATGATTAACAGTGTATAGAGAATGAATAATGCATCATGAGAAAGAAGGATTTATAATAACTTGGAAACAGTCTTGTCAAATGCACATAAAAAAAATCAACTGACTTAAAGGAGAAGCATCTAGAACAGTCAAGTAATATAAATATGCTTTTTTTTTTTTCTTGACACTTAGGCAGCTTACACACTACACGTGCTCTCAGGCCACTAAGATCTTAAGATCATTTCTTAATGGATTTCTCCTCTACTATGTTCTTTAAGGTAAAACATGTTTTGGATGTAAACCTTGACGTGTGAGTGGTTTTGTGCAGGAAGACTACCTGGATACTGAAGTAAGTGTTTCAACCTGCGAGGTGAATAAAGTCTCTGATGTGAATGAACGTCAACAACCAGATTTTTGATTTCAACAGATGTTTGTCAACTTCAACTGAAATATTCATCTGTGACCTATGACCCCAGCACATACATCTAAAGAGTCAATGTTGAAGTTTAGTCTGTGTAATGAGAGGGGCTGTCTCGTCCCTCAGAACCATATTTATTAGACAGATTTGATCCTCTGGCTCTCACATAGAAAGCAAGTATGATGTATGTGTTTGTATACTGTAATAGAAAAACTAAGTCTGCACACATACATGTGTATGCTAAATGATAAGCATTGTACATTAGCATCTTTTTGTGCAGTGTGGAGACCCCTTGTTTGAATGTGTGATACCTTCTGGTTAAAAGGCCACTTGAGGAGTGCGTCACTGTGTCCTCTCATCACCACAAAGAACAGAGACAAGTGGGTGCCGCGGCCCGTACCGTCCCCGTTCAGGTAGATCCGCAGGCACATCTTGTAGCCATATTTGCTGGTATAAAAGGCTACAAAACATAAACGCACAAACAAAGTGTCATGAAGCTCATTTCAGGCAGATCATAGACGAGAATATAACACAGGTGAGAAAGAGGATGTTACCAGGAGAGAACATAGCAGGGGCGCGGCCAGCCACGGCGTCCTGTCTCTTCTTGGTGAAATCGGAGATCTTCCAGACAAAGATGCCGTCATATGTGGCAGCAGACATTTCCCTCATTTTACCGTCCATCTCCACGATGGACAGGTCCCGCAGACTCACCGTCCTCTCCAGCTGACGGACCTGCGGCACAGCAACACAAAGAGATCCTGTCAAGACGTTACATTTTTCACAGGAAAACTAATGAAGAACCTGAAGCAAAGGGCAGGTGTATAGATCTCTAAAAGAAGACATGAACCAGTTCACATCTCTTATCAGATTCTGCTGATCCTGGTCCTTCTCCACATGACCCTTTGGACATGAAACTGACCCGCAGAACTCACAGAACAACTTTGTAAAGTCCTAACAAAAGGATGGGCCCCTCTAAGCCTCCTCTTTGGGTTCTCCTCTTTAGAAATAAAGAGCTCATTCGATTGGCTAAGTCAAAGGACTAGAGCCTTAATAAAATGATATTTCAGAGTGACACTGAGATGTGTAGTGTTCTTCATTCACTTTTTATGCACTTTGTAAGACAACCTTCAATGATCCAGCTGTAATATTGGAAATCACCAATTTGAAGAGGCTATATATCCGGATCGAAGGTCACACACACCTGGAACCGACATATTTGGAATGGTATCAGCCCGGGGTCAACATATCTCAACCCCAGCCCTCTGTCTATTTAAGTGGACACCTCATGTTCTGGCCCAGGTGAAGCCCACCTTGCCCAAAGAAGTCACAAACATTTTTCTTAATAACAGATGTTGTTCATCAATAAATATACATAAATGAAGAGGTGTCTTAAGAGGGATGAAACTGACACCATCATTGGCAGCAAGCATTGGCCTCATACTCTAAAGCAGGGTCCTCACATGTTGCCCTTTACACTTCTTCCCTCTGCTAGCCAGCCAAAGACCTCGCAGGGAAGGCTTGAAATGCTTCTAAAGACACGCTGTGCCAATGTACCGAGGTAAAGCCTGAGCCGCAGCGGTTATTCTAAAGGTCTTGAAGTGGGCATGGTTAAAATGAGAACCCACCAAAGAAAATCCCTCGACAGCCTAACGGGTCAATGTCTGCTTTTCTGACAAGATTCTCCTGAATGCTGGCCCCACCCAAACGTCCCAACATAAGACCTTAGTACATAGGAAAGTTGGTGAAGCAGTTTTTTCACCTTGTTGTTGAGGATCTCGATCTTGTCCTGGTCCAGTCGGTGCTGGCGGTTGTAGGCCTCCATGGTGGCGCAGGAGCGCTCCATCTCTCGGTTGAGGACGCAGACGATGTTCTCGAACGTGCTCACTTTGAGCTCCAGCTCTTGGCAGCGCCGGCTCAGCTCGGCCACTTTGGTCTTCTCACTCTGGAGCTGCAGCTCGAGAGCGGCTCCCATGGCACTGGGCAGCGGGGTAAAGGAGGTGGACAAGGTCGGGGCACATGCACCCTGCACGGGAGCTGCACCCCCACCACCACCCAGCTGGCTCATCTTCAGCTCTAGGTCCCTGAGGGACATGTGGAGCTCCTGCAGTTTGTGGCTGGCTACCTCCAAGCTCTGGGGCTGCAGGCTCTCCAAGCTCACCTTGATGCCCATGATGAAATGTAGGAGCAGGTTGAGGTGTTCGTAAGAACACTGCCGCTCATGGTCATGGATCTTCTCTTTCTCCACCTTGGCATCAAAGAAAGACGAGCAGAGAAACATTTACAACACATACAACAGTTTTCAACCACAATGTGCAGACAGAAACTAAATGTTAATCATGAAAAAGTTGAAGCAAAGGAGAAGAAAATAAGAACAGCTGTCAGATATCATGGAGCAAATGATGTTAGAGCACTATAGTAAGTATTCATCCCCAGAGTTGTTCATGGTTTTATTTTTCTAATTAAAAGAGTGGGAGTCATCTTCTGTTATTGTTTGGATCGAGAGCCCCCGGCGGAGGAGTCTACATACAGTGCGTTTAACTCTGAAATAGAAGATGCAGATTCTTCACACTAATTGAGACCCACTCACAGAGGTCAGTCTTACAGTTGTATATTTCTGTAATGGTGCATTGTGGGTGTTTTTATTAGGCCATCTTTATCTGAAACAATGCCTGTAGAAACTCATGATCACACAGCTGCTGGTGTGCAGTTCATCACAAGAAGAGACAGCAGGACAACACTCTGACAACAAATTTCTCCATTGTCCGTGCCCGCCGCGCTCCGTCAGCACCAAGGTGCTCAGTCGGTGCCTCAGAACGTGAGGGCAGCAGAGCGCAGCCATGAGCAGCTGTACACACATCACAGGAGAACTACAAGATCACACGAGAATAAAGAGAAAGAACGTACAAACGACATGTTGCTTTGTCTTTCTGACGTTGATTTGTTTTTCATTAGGTGCCTGTTTTGACATATTGTTGTTAAAGTGATAGAAAATACCATTGTGAATCCATATAGTGTGTTTTATTTTGAAATTGACCGGACGCTCTGTGCGCTTCCTTGTCTGACTTCCTGTCCGGGTCATTCTATTCTGTCCAGCGTAGATGGACGGCGGCGCTCACTGTGGAAACACAATCATTGACTAGAGTGGCCGCGAACGGCGGTGACGGACCGCGGCATGCACGGAGTATGTGGAAATTGGAAGTGAGGAACAATCAGGCATCAGGTTTTCACTTCAATTTTGAAAATGAAAAACTCTAAGTAGGATGAATACCTTCTATAGAAATTGTGTGTAACAGCAAACAGACTTCATACTCAACAAACAGGATTCATTGACAGGCATGAAGCAGCTCACACTAATAACTGTTGAATCATGTCATCTGTTGGCAAACAAAGGCGAGGTCGGAAATATAACAAAGACCTTTTTTATCAGCATGATGTAATGGTTTCATACTTTATGTTCTGAGAGGAATCATATGAAATGATCAACCTGATATGTTCATTTACTTTACATATAAACTCTTTGCCCTGGTACATTTATTTATTTTTTGCCAAGTGATTACATGATCCAGAAGTTATCACTCAGCCACTGTTCAAAGAGCAAATTATGACAAAGATGTCTACTTACAGACGTATCGCAGCCAACAACATGAAACCTGCATGGTGCTTTAAATTTACTGCAGAACTTAATATGGTCCACATACTGCAAAACAAAAAAAAACAAAAAAAAATGAAAGAAGCTAATGAAGTACTGAATATGTTGCAGAAACTGATTCTGAAATGAGATCAATCTTCACAGAATTATGAGAGAAATCAAATGTATGGGATACCTTTTCTCGAGGGATCTTTTTCTTCGCACAGCCTTCACAGATCATCGGGTACTTTGGACAGATTTCATCGTGAGCCTAAAAAAAACAAACCAAATGAAGTTATTTCACATCAGAAGAAATGTCTGAGGCTTTGGCTGTCTTCTCCTTTCCTGCCTCTTTTGTCAACACATCGAGTTCCAACATTGGTGGCAGTATTTTTTATACTACTTTACTACGCTGACTTCCCCAGAATAACTGAGAAATTCACATCCATTCCCAGAGGCCTTTGGTCTACCAATGGGTTTCTAGATTGGGCGGCTCTAAAGGATCTGTCAGGCTCGACGTGTTTGAGGCTCTACAGGATCTTGCTTATTAATGCATCATCAAGCCTTTGATTTGGCCTCTCTCAAAGAAACCTGAACCAAAGAGTGACGACAAACGTTCTAAAGGTCTAAATAAAAATGAAGGTCTAACGTAGTTTGCACAGAAGGAGAGGGACACAGCAGAGAATGATTATATTAATTCATATATTTACTAATGACTGCCTCATCCCTTGGTTTGCCAGGCAAACGTCAAACCAACAGGTGTTGCAGCGATGGAAGCAGCAAGAGAACTGGTTCAGATAGAATTGTGATTGTACCCGTCCTAAAAAGCCTCTGCATGTTTCTAATAAGCTCCACGAGCAGAAACGTGCTCAAACTAGGATCAATATTGGAGATGCTTTTGAAAAATGGAGAGAGGTTAGAACACAGAAAGGTTTACAGACCCATGCAGAGCTGGATAAACACTGAAGCTTCAGTGTTCACCACATGGTGACCTGCATGCACTCTAGGTTGGAGGGGGCGGAGGGAGACAGCTCTCTCTAAAAAATGTATTTGGACTTCAGTTCCCATTTTAAACATATTGCTCCTTTAACTTAACTTTTGTTTTGACAGCCCTGGCATGCCCCTGACCCTTTCACCTCCGGCTTCGTCTTTAACTCAAATCTCTCTGCGTTGATCATATCACTTGTATCTGTAGGAGATACATGTGATATGATCAGGTCTGGAAGTATTATGTCACAATATTTGCACTAAACAATGGGCTACATAATGACACAACACCTTGAGCAGTGTTGGATAATAATCATGGAGAGCAGCCTCACCTTTATGTTCTTTAACAGGAAAGGTTCTTTGCAGTATTTGCAGTTGAGCGTCCTCTCCGGACATTCTCTCTCGTTGTGGCGCTCCTGTTCATTGGCTCTCATCAGCTCTTTGCAGGAGGGACACAGGATGATCATGAAATCACAGTTGCCCTCATGGCTCGCCTGTTGGTGAACAACAATAAACTCTGTAAACTTCTCCTTCTTAATACTTAGTGTTTGTTAAAGCAGGACTACAGTGTTTTTTTTTTTTTGCAAAAGTGACGTAACTAAGCCATCATCACGTCTTTGTACATTCTTAATGATTCCTCAGCGGGGTAATATTGGTGTCCCAGTCTGTGAATTTAAGATGCACTTCAGCTTAGGAGAAGCATGACTCAGCGGGAGTTCAACATACACACACTCTGTAACGCCTCCGTTTCTACCTCTGAAGACGGTACAGAGGGGGGATCACTTCGTCCCCTCATTACATCACAGGGGCGAAAATATTGCAGCTTGAAACGGCAGTCTGAAAAGGGCCAATGACCTGATGAAGAAACTTTACATAACTATGAGGTAGTATATGTTTTGTATTTTATCAGGATGCGATCGGCAAAACCTCCTTTAAAGAATTCTTTTTAATTAAAGTATCTAACAGGTTTAAGAATAAATGTGTCAAAGATAAAAGATAAGAAGAATTGCACATAGATGATAACAGCTAGAAAAAACAAATTAGTGATTAATTGTTTGGTATTTAAGAGGGCACATCTCTCTACAGCTGCCTTTCAATAAACAATTTTAAAATTTAAATCTGCACTGTAACTCTTACGTTTATTATATAACTCTTTTTATAATTGTATTTTATTTATTTCAATTCATTTTATTTGAATGATCTTGGTTATATTTGAACATACAGTATTTTAGTGATTTGAATGATGCTTTGGATGTCTTGTGTGAAGCACTTTGAATTGCCTTGTTGTTAAAATGTGCTGTATAAATGAACTTGCATTGCAGTAAACTGCAGGTAGATCAAACAAACACACCCACCACTCTCATAACTGTACTGACATTCTACTAGTGAACATGCGTTCATTTCCCAGACTGCTTTGCAATAATTTGCACCTCAAATTCTTTGATAGTTCCCGTCCATGTGCATCCTTCATTCGGACAGACGGCTGCCAAAGCCTCCACTTCTCTCCGTGCTGCGTTGTCAGGGAAAGCCTGCACAGAGAAGCAGAAGGTGTTGTCAGTGACGGCTTGTTGATGTCTTTGGTTACAGTCGGAGTGATTCTGTTACAGACTGTGAGCATCACTTTACCGAGGATCAGGACACCTGGATCTCACTTTGCTCTCTTATTTCTCCAGCACATACGGTCTCTCTCTGGACACATGACTACCAGAGCTGCTCCATCTCTGCTGCCAGGAGTTACAGAGCAGCCACAAACCTTTAAGTTGTGCTGGCTCTGTATTTAAAAACAAACAATGACTGTGACGCCACAGTGCTGACTCTCAGCATCACTCTGAGGCTCCAAAAGAAATTTGGCTCTCATCGCCTGCAACCTAAAAATACCAAAGGTGGCTGAGGTCCTCCCCAAGAGACAGCCTCGTCAATATGTCAACAAACTATGGAGCGAAAGTGCAGTCAAAAGTTGAAATCCGGCAACAGACCCTGTGGAGAACATGACATGTAGGGTAAAAAAATGTACTTACACCACCTTGCTTGAGAATAGAGGTGGGCTCCTCAAACAAATCTTCTTTGATGCAGGCGCTGCATTTCTGTGGCCCAGAGCTGGAAAGGGAGGAAGACAAATATGTGCACTATCTTAAACAAATACCTCTTCATCGTCTGTTATATGTTATATACATTGTACATATACCATCCATGCAATCCAAATACTGTTTCAGACCACTGAGTTCACCTTTGACCCTGAAATCTCAACAAAGCTCTCCACAACATTGTAGGAGTCATATTTAGGAGTTACAAGAGTGTAAGACACACATTGCTCCAGCAGGTGTCGCCTCGGGGTTCAGGTCATGCTCTTTACAGGTGGGGACCTTCACTGGGGTGTCAGGTGTTGCTAGACGGAAGAGCTGCTTAGCCGGCAACAGTCTAGTTTCAGTTAAATTGTGGAACTGGTTGAGTTCAAGATTCTTCTAATTGAAACATCTGTGCTGTGCTTTAGTCAAAACATAACATGAATCAAGCACCAGAGGAGGTTTGTGACCCTGTATAAACCAGCTCTCTCAGAACGCTCTGTTTTGGTGTGTGTGTCTCTTTAAATGTAATGACCCCCCCCTGAGTTTTCCCAGTAGACATCACTCCTTCACTAGCGAGAATAAAAATGGCGGATCTGCACAAAAGTTTTGTTCTAGACTGGGGGTGGAGTCCATGGGTGGAGATATCAGGGGAGGGGAGGGGATTTTTTTTTTTACCAGAATCCAGCTTGTGACATCACAAACTGAGAAAATTTGAAACAGACCATCTACCTGATGGTTAACTAGCGTTTAGTTATTTATTCATTCCCTAGTAACTATGCAAAATGTGTTTACTTAATTAAGCAAATATGTCTCTGTATTAAATAATCATTACTCTATAAAATGTGATGAGGACTTGGGCCTACTATCAACCCATTAAAGGGCCTTTCAGATAGGACGCAGTGTGTGCTGCGCTCACCGCGGAGTAGGGTGCAGAGCAGAAGGGGAGCACATGACCAAAAAGCAACAGCGTCCGTTGCTAGGTGACCGAAACCGAAATGCGTCTGCCTTACTGTACTGTGTTACCCTTTAATTATCTACCAACACTTTATATACCCGGAAAAAAAACGAGACAGAAAGAAAGGCGTTCATACATCAGAAACTGTCCAATTCAGACAAAATCATGAAACACAAATGCAAATAAAGTATTTTAGAAAGTTTGTGTTTAAATTGGAATCAATTAAAAATAAATTGAGTATTTGCCTGGCAATTATTATTTCATTTAATATACAATGTGTTTTTTGTTACAGTATCTACTATGAGAGGTATGGTACAAATATTTTGATGAAAATGTCTCATTACATTTATGAGAATACTATAGTACAGGTACATGTACTATTATATATTTTGCTGTATAGTACATACCTTGTGTTTACTTCAGTACAAGTGCCCTGTTTTTTATAAGGTGGGACCTACATGCACTCTGGTCAGAGGCGCTGCTTATCAACAGCCAAGGGGGGGGGGGGGGTACCATTATATTAAAGTAAAGTGTTTTTTTTTAAGATTTATTTTTGGGCTTTTTGGGCCTTTATTGTACAGATAGGATAGTGGATAGAGTTGGGGAAATCAGGGAAAGAAGTCATTTAAGGATACCTTTCCGATAGAAAAGGACCTTTGTTGTGTTTGTGACGTCGTGACGTCGTGTCGGCTTGTCCCCACCCCACCCCAACGCTGTAAACCTAGGGGAAACAGTAGAAAACCTTCCTAAGTGGGCCCCATCTGACAGCACTCACTCTTGTTGCCCTGCCATGTGTTGCATGTATTATTACCGCAAAAACCAAAGTTTGTCAGTGATAGTCACCAAAGAAAAATAAAGAGGAATAAGCTGTCTATAAAAAGAAAAAAGAAACAAGAGAAAAGTTGGAGGGCCCCAACAGACTCTCGAATCGCCCCTGACTCTAGTATTGTTAAAATTACCTTGGTACTTGCCATAGTAATACCCTGGTGCCATGCCTGGTACTTGAGGTTTCACTATGGTACAGTTTCTTATTGGTATAGTACAAATCTAATTTAATGTGTGCTGCTTCCTAAAAAGACAAAGACACAGTCAAATATGTTATAAAGACTTTACAAGCTGCAGACTTTCTGGTAAATTCGGCAAATATGCTTAAATACTGATATGACTTTAATACAAAGGTAACATTTAAACATGACATTTGAAGCTGACTCACAGTGCAGGTTAACAGGATTTGACTGAGCACACCTGGCCAAACCATCACACATGTTGAAGATGTTTTGAGATGAAGAGGTGACTGGTGACTTGCATGTAGTCTGAAATATTAAGCTGGTTTATTTTTTAAATGTCGAGACTTTCTGTGTCATCGTGCTACATGTGACTGAAAGCAGGGCAGCATTATTAAATGGACATCTCTGAAGCAGGTATGGTGACAGGCTCTGTAGTACACGTCGAGCTAGCTCGCTAGCAGCCACGACACTCACCTCACTATTTTGTTGAAACAGAACGAGCAGAAGCGATGACCGCATTGAGCCTGCAGAGGCCTCCTCAGCACCTTCTGGCATGAATTGCACAGATGCTTGTCTTCGAGGTTGTTGGCGAGAATTTTCTTCGGGAAGCCCGGTTTGTTGCCTTCCAGAGAAGATGGTGGAGACGGCTCCTGTGCAGCCATTATTCCTCTTGAACAATATCGGGGTGCTCAGCGGGGTGTGTTCAAGACAGCAAATAAAGCTGAGTGCAACATTAGAAATCATCGCCAGCTACGTCTCATTGCCGAGTTCTTCGTACACATTGTTTAAAACGCATGACACAGCTTGATCTTTACATGCAGAGACTAATATTACCAGGCATGTGGTGACAGCTGAGGATGCTGTGTTTAGGTGTAGGTCTCTACGTCTGCCGCTAGGTGTCGCAAAACAAAAAAAGAGACCTTCCAGGCTGTTATCACGAGAACCCAGGATGCGCCGGTGTTATGCCGAGAAATGTATCCCGGTCGAGAATTTGATGCACCCTTGAAGGACAATTCAAAATGTGGCAGGCACCAATTTCTACACTGCCGTATTTTTGCATCCACCCTTAAATTTACTCTATAGATAATTCAGATTCAAACACTGTTTGTTGGCGAGAGTTTATATATATATATAAATATATCTTTTTTTCTGTATTTGTCTTTTCATCCCTTTTTTCCAACTTCTTCTATGTTATTTTATTGTTGTTTACTTTGATCTTTTCTGTGTTTTTTTGCCTCGTTTGTCATGTATGTCACCAGTTTGTCACGATATTGCACCAATAAAAAGGGAAAAAAAAATTATATGGTTTTCCAACACTTCCGCGAGGTGCATGCAATTCCTGGCAGGGATGCATTTCTCGGCATAACACCTGATTGGACCGCCACAGCTGTGGAAAGCTGGCTGCACTTAGCCAGGTCAGTTTCAGATGTGTGTGTGTGTGTGTGTGTGTGTGTGTGTGTGTGTGTGTGTGTGTGTGTGTGTGTGTGTGTGTGTGTGTGTGTGTCATTTTTTGGTTTCAAAGTAAAACCAAAGTGATTGTATTAATCATTGTGATGGAATGATGTAGCCTACCGTAAAACTTCAAATAAAGGCCCATCCCAATTTAAGGCCCAGTCATCAATTGGTGCTAAATGACTTTGATTGATTGATTGATTGATTGATTGATTGATTGATTGATTGATTGATTGATTGATTGATTGATTGATACCTGTTGAGAATCACTGATCTAAATGTTGCCACTTTATTGTGGAGATAGAAAGGGTTAATAAATGCTTTTCATTTGTGTGAATTTGTGCATTTCTAATAGCCCTGCAGAAGTCAGTGGCCCGATTCAGCCACCCAACTGGTGTGCACAATATTTGCAAAAAGGCTTTAAAGATATACTTTGATATCACAAAATTACAAGTTTCTAGTAAAATGATTACTCTAATCATAGGGCTCAGTCTGTAGGGACTTGGGTTGGGAACCCGAGGGGCGCCGGCTCAAGTCCAGGTGCGGACCAAAGTATGGAAGTCGGTCTGGTTGCTGGAACCTGGTACCAGGTCACTTCCTGAGTACTGCCGAGGAGCCCTTGAGCAACCCCTAACAGCTCTGGCGCACTCACTGCTCACACACTGGGTTGTGTAACAGCTCCACTCTGACATCTCATGGGTCCTGTTTGTGCATTTGTGAAGTTCGGGCCTATGTGTGTGAAGCATGTCTCTCAATAACAGAGTGTAAAACCAGAATCTCCCCACAGGGATGTTAAAAATATATATATATATTATCATAAAAATTAGAACTTGGCTCTCAAACTCCTTTGTAATTTTCCTAAACGATTCATGGGCAAAAAACTTCAACTCAAGCATAATTTTAAAGAGGACATATTAAACCCCTTTTCCACCTTTTCAAACAGTCCTCTGTGGTCTAACTGAAACATCTGTGCTGTGCTTTGGTCAAAATATAAATGCAATATATCTTTAAATGCAATGAGCCCCCTCCCCCCACAAGTTTTTCCAGTTGACATCACTTCTTCACTAGAGAGCATAAAAATGGCAGACCTGTGCTAAAGTTTTGCTTTAGGGGGTGGAGTCCATGGGTAAAGATACCAGGGAAGGGGAGGGTTTTTGTTTTTTTTAACCAGAATCCCACTGTGACATCACAAGGAGAGCACATTTGAAACAGATATTGTTTCTCTCTGTTGTAAGACTTATGCAGACCTCAAACAAAGGACTGGATGGGTTTATTTCACATTTTGTGGGTCAGTAGACACTCAGGTTACCCAAAGATATGTTCAAAAACACTGTAGAAGTGGATTGTTCATAATATGTCCCCTTTAATAATAATAATTTTAATAATAATGCTACACACTGTGTGTTTTTAATAACAATAACTCTTTCCACAAGTGGAAGTGTACATACCTTGTATTTTTCTATTATTGTATTTTTTCTCCCTTTATTTAACTGATGTAAATATGTTAGATTTTTAACTTCTTGTTATTTTTAATAAATATATTCCTGTTTCCTGTTTTCTTGAGCTGTTGTAACGCAAAAATGTCCCCCATGGGGGATCAATGAAGTTTATCTTATCTCATCTTGGAGTTTTATTTTGAAGGTCTGAGCGGAAGTTGTACATTATTACGTTACGCTTTACGCTGAGTCGCTGCTGTGTCTGCTGTCTTTGCAGAGGAATGTCGCTGCTATATCTCCGTCGGGATGGAGGTGTGACAGATGTTTTGGGATAGAAGATGTCCGGGCTGCAGTGTCGTATCTTAATAAATAACCGTGAGTATTTGTAGCTGAGAGAAAAACAAACATTTAAATGTTAAATGTCGTTAAATGTCACTGAGCGTCCAGGGAGCAAAGCTAGGCTAATATCCAATGGATGACTAGCTTAACCAGAGAGGATAACGTTACCTCTGTGTCAGGGTAGGTAACATCACTGTGTGCCACATCACTGTGTGAGGGCTGTGTTTACCTTCTGCACTGTCTGTAGGAGATCTTGCTGAAATGTTTGTTCCTCTGTATTGCCTTAAAAATGTGTCACAGCCGAGCTAACAGCTTGGTAGGCTAACGCTAGCTTGGGGGATAAAGCTGATCCATTGTGTTATTAAAACAGTATTAAACAGTCTTTTATTTAGAGTCCCTTTTATATAGATAAACAGAGACGTGCATTGTTCTGGTGATGTCGACTGGAGACAAACTGTGTTGATTGTGAATAATGAAAGTCCTGCTGGCTGTAAGGATTAAAGATGAAAACACTGCAGTACACCCTCCTGCCATGCATCACTACTTCACATTATACCACTAAATAAATCCTTTTCAATGCATCTATCACAGAAGAGTGTCACCACATCCAGTCTTGGGTTTTGCCTTCTGTAGGAGGGGGTCCCCAAGCGTTGCCATGCCAATGACCCCCATACACTCTGGTGGGGACCCCCTCCAGAAAAGTTACATAAATTCATTTTACCTCACCATTGCAAAATATCTGCAAATACAACATCTTCTCAATATGTTTCCTTATTTTATTAACAATTTAAAAAATATAATTTGTCATCTCATTTCATTCAATGTCTTTTATAAATTCTGTCTCAGCGATAATCAACAGTCATCGTAATGGTGCTTTTCTCCCTGAGTTTTTACCCTCGTTAATCGCTCATCATGTGTTATTTTACAATAAAATTACCCCCCCCCCCCCAAAAGGCTCAGAACACCCACTTTGAAAAACACTTTGTTACAGGATTAGTCTCGGCTATTGAATTTCGTTCTTTCATGTTATAAATAACCAGCAGTCTTCAAAAACTGACAATGTACATCAACATCCCTTTCTGCTGTTTTGAAGGCTTTTCCACTGAAACATTTCAGCTCCGTTTATTCACCTGTTTATGTCTTGGGTCGTATTTCTCATCCAGGTAGACGGGTGTCAGCAGCAGGTGGACCAAGTTCACATCTTCATGACTTGAGTCAGAGTATAGATCCTCCCAGTTACATCTGACTCCAACACAAGGAAACGTTCTGTCAAATTAGTACTTAAGATAAAGTGCTGGAGTACTTGCTTTTAAAAACACTTTGGTTTTCAAACTGCTTTAATATTAAATCTCAAAACGTTGTATTTTCATGATGCATGAGTCAGGTCAAGAAAACATGGGTGTGCAATAAGTTGTGTTATTATTTAGAAATCATTATTTACATTTTTTAAATTCACATGCTACATATTTACAGATTTGCAGCTATAAAAAAAAAACGAGCAATAATAGGAACAAACACAAATACCTGAGAAGTGTGAATATGTCAGCCAGGTGACATTTTAGTCGGGGGCAAGTCGTCTCGAACTGTGCAATCATGAAGCATATTCTTCAAGCTCTGTTTGCTTTTCTAACTTCTCTACAGCGGTGTTAGCAGTCAACATAAAAAATATCAAAAGAAATGAGCCTCTGTGACCACGACATGAATGTACGGCAACACCACTTAGACAAACCACACACAGAACTACACAAACACAGTTTATTGTCTTTCAGATCTAATTTTAGAAAAGAAAAGAAAAGACTTCAGCTGACTGCAGAGCAAAAGTGCAAACTAAACGAGAACATTCACAAAAGTGTAGGGGAGTCAAAAGTAGGTTATTTGTCTTTCAAATGAAGTAAAAGTGATACGTTTCCCCAGACAATAAAACTCATGTAAAGTACAGATACTACAAAAACGTACTTAAGTACAATAACTCGAGTAGATTTTCATTTTCACTGTTCACCACTGGGTATGAGGGGATATTTAGGAGTGAAATATTAATACACCTCAGCATGTTTTGTGATACTGTGTCAATTCTAAAAAGAAAACATGAGATCTTCAGTTTTTGTTAGCAAGCAAATGTTTAAGTTTACATTACATGATTGAACACAAATTCTTTTTTTGGGGGGGGGGTTGCCAGAGTTTTGTAAAGTCATGGGGTCGTGAGCCAGAAAAAGGTTGGGAACCAGTGGTTTAATGGCTTGTGTTGTCACATCAGTGGTCAAAAAAAAGATGTATTTATTAAAATGTTGTGCAGTTTGGACCTGAGGCGGTAGAAAATGTGACAGAACAAAGAAACATGTTCATAAAGAGTTCCATAGACTTCTTGACACATTCACGACCCATCAAGAGCTGCTTCACGACCCACTTTTTGGTTCCGACCCACCAGTTGAGAACCACTGGTCTAAAATACAGTGATTTTCAGTTGACCAATAAAGAAGACCCAGAATATTTACATTCATTGTTTAAAAAACAAAAAAAACGAATCATGATCAAAATGTTTGCTGTATAATTTTCTGTTTTAGCCTGAATGTTTCAGCACTTACTCAATGAACCATCAATGAAGCCAATCACAGCTGATGTGAATACTATTAAAGTTTGATCGAGCACAGACATTTTATTTCTTAATGAAAACTTGTTCTAGATTTGGAAAAAGTGGCACGACATGTGAAACAGTTTTAGAAACATTTATTGTTTCCTCAAGACTGTAGAAGAGTCTTTGAGGTTTTTGGAAATACAGCATTAAACAATTTATTGATATGATAATGGATAAGACAGCTGATGAGAGACTAGGGATGTAAGAATTCATTCTACTCCTGATACGATTCACGATATGATTCTCTCATGATTGATTTTACAAAATGAGACTGTAGACATATTATGACTGGATAAGATTCCTTTAGGGGCTGTAAACTCACTCGTCAGTGTGGTTTGGCCTTTTAATGTTTTTTTTTCTCTCAACAAGTGGCGGTGTTTGGAGCTTCTCATTGTGGTGTCGATTAAATGCTGCATCATGTTGGTTGTGCTATTTTTGTAGTTCCCCGTCTTCTTACAGCATTTGCACACAGTTTTTGTCTCGTCTGTTATCTTCTCACCTCTTTCATTTTCTGTCTTGAAGAAGCCAAAATGCGTCCACACCTCCGATATAAAAAACGGTGGTGCGCCCTTAATTTCTCAATCTTGCTCTACAGCTGCTGACGCTCACCGTATTATTGCAATTCATTTTTCAGAGTACCAATGTGATTCTTGACACCTTTGAATCGATTTATCACGATTTTACGATGAATCTTTACATCCCTAAGAGAGACGGCAAATGTTGGAAGTAGAGAGTGTGGGGATGACATGCAGCAAAGAGCCACGGTCGGATTTGAACCCTCGACCGCTCCGCTGAGGACTGTTGCCTCTGCACACGGGGCACGCGTCTTAACTTCTAGCATATCATCACCCCAGCATTAAACAATATTAATCAATGATCTACAACTAAAGTTATCAGGTCATTACTTTCCATTAAAAAACGTTAGCTTAGCTCTGTGACCTGCATGTCTTATGCACCCCTACACTCGAAGAATCAGTGGAGACAAAACCGTTTTTCCTTTTTCATATTTAAAGGCACAAAACACAACAATATAGAATGAACAGATGTAATGAGTCACTGGATGTTTCTGCACATTTCTGTCACATCTACACTTTGAAATTGTTTTTAAGTACATTTCCAACCCTAACTTCAGTTCTGTTGTTGTTTTTTTTTTCAGATGATGCTCAAAACAACATGGTAGTTACCTCCACCTCAGACTGGCAAGCAAGCACCTCTAGTTGGATTTAAAAAAAAAAAGAAGCGCTGCTCAATATCCGGTGGTTAATCGTCGTATTTGCTCCAAAGCATGGACCCTTAACTCATCCACTAGAAAATCGGTGTTCCACTACTTCAAGTTGTGATTTTTACTCCACTACCCCGTGTCACTGTGCAAGCGTCCAAAGCGTAGTCCAAAATGTTTTCAGCGCTTAAGAAGCTGGTGGGATCGGAGCCAGGCCAGCTCAGGGACAAGAACATCCCGGCTGGCATGCAGTCCATGAACCAAAGCCTGCAGAGACGCTTTGCCAAGGGGGTTCAGTATAACAGTGAGTAACACAGCCACTCAGAGGGACGGGGCTCTGCAGGCAAATATGTCTGACCCAGTTCTGAATATGAAATGCTGCACCTTAGAATGTTTGTTTTCTGATGAACCAAACGCTCAATCTTCTTTCCCGCTACAGTGAAAATAGTCATCCGGGGTGACCGAAACACCGGGAAGAGTACTTTATGGCATCGACTGCAGGGCAAGAAGTTTGTGGAAGAGTACCTTCCCACTCAGGAGATCCAAGCCACAAGTATCCATTGGAACTACAAGAGTAAGTCAGAGCCACTCATTTCATCTCTGAGTCATATTGGCACCCTTCACCTCATCATAACTGCTGCTTCTGTTGTGTGTTTATGTCTGGTGAGTATTTGACATCTGATGTTGTGCCTTGTGATGTTTCAGTGGCTCCATATCAAGGTAAAAACTAAAGACTGCTCATTTAGATTTAGCTTCTGCAGAAACATTTTAGACCAAATGTTCTGTTGTTGTGTTAGTTCCTTCTTTAAGGAGCAGACGTTTTCCCACTGCTTCTTATTCTAGTGTTTTATTAGCTCCTGTATTCCTGGACTTTATTGAAGCTGGGGTAGGGCAATCTAAGAGAAACCAGTAAGAGCACAAGTATTTAACCACAAAGCACATGAAGATGAAGGGCTGTGCGTCTTCACTGGTCTCACGATTCGATTATGATTATCCTCGATCACGATTGGGTTGAATCCTCAATTTTCTATTTTACTGCACATGGCTTCTCTTTCATCAATGAAGACAGTTACATATGAACTCCCTTTTTTATAATACAAATAGTGCTTTAGACATCATGCCAACATGAATGTCTTTGAACCAAAACAGATAGATGACATAGGTCCTGACACGGCCAGAAAATCTACAAGCAATGTCGGTATGCAGAGATCGATTATGTTCTGTCACTGCATCGATGCAGAACTCCACGTCAAAGAAACAATGACATTCTTTATTTAGAAAGTGCTTCAGACCAGTGGTTCTCAACTCGTCTGGCCTCAGGACCAACCAATAGCGCCCCAAATTTCTGATATTTTTCAACCAATCAGATTTATTTAATGCAAAAATAGTGCAGTTTGCAGTTTCCAGAGCAGGAAACTGAACAAAACCAACACGTTTAAAAAAAAAAGTGCTTGACAGACTGTTTGACACCAGATTTTTAGACATCTATGTCAACATAAATGTCTTTGAACCAAAATAGATACGATGAAATTATCCTTTATTGTTGGGAAATTCAAGTAATGCAGCAGTAAAAAGAGAAGAGCGTGCAGTTTCCAAGTCATGCTGGAGAAAGTTCCCTTCAGAGGGGGCAGCAAAACTATATTAAACTATTCAACCCAAAAAAACTCATCTTTAGGTAATCAGTGTTTGTTTAACATCTAAAGTAATCACAGTTCATATTTAATAAAACATCTATATGTTCTGTGATGAAAGTTGAAATGTATTGGTCTGGATGCAGTGATATAACTTCAGTGTGCACATATCTGCACAGATCCTTCCATCAAAAATCAAACCTTCACGCAGCCACAGATACAGTTCAATGTTTTCAGTCACGTAATCTAACGGGACTAACGACCTGCAAGCATAGTATGGATGTTATAAAATTATTATAAATTATAGTTATTGTTGAAGAATACATTTATTTATGTGCATGTGCTTTTAGATCTCTGTCAGTTTAAAGCAAGAACTTAAATATTGCAACAACTTAAAATGTAATTCCCAACATGGATATTCACACGTCTGACCACTGGTGCAGGATGATTCCACAAGAGATGAACAGGGAGAGTAGATCCTCATTATCATCGCTTACTGCTGACCTATGCTATCCCTTGCTGACTTGCTACATAGCTTTAGCTAGTGGAAGACTCTGCTCTTAGCTATAAGTTCACAAGCAGGCAGAGAAGCCGTTCAGACAAAAACTATTGTTTTTGTTAGAGGCACAGGACAGCAACAGATACCAGGTTTCAGTTTCATGTCAGAGGATTAGATATATTGATGGCTAACCAGAAACTCCACAAATTTTTTTTTTAAATCTTCCTAAGTAAACTGCATACCCCGGCTTCAAGAGATTGTACATTTCGTTATTTTCCACTAGTGCTTAAGAACTTGAATAATGAGTCTGCTCTTCTGTTTCCTCAGCGACGGATGATGTGGTCAAAGTAGAGGTGTGGGACGTGGTAGACAAAGGTGAGTGTTGACACACCTGCTCGTCAGAGAGCCAGACTTTCCACTGGGGCTTACCCTCTCTCTAAGAAGTTATACTGTTGTCTATTCTACTGCAGTCATCCTGCCACTTTATGTCAGGACATTGAACAGAAGCATGGATGCTTGTTTGTTTCTCTGTCCTCAGTGTTGATGTTGTCTTTTTTTTTGCACCTCTCTTGCACTCATCTCAGGCCAAAAATATCCTCTTCCTGAAGGTGTAGGTGAGCGTCACCAATAGAGTGTAGACACTGAACTTGCTCGTGTGCTGTGGGTTTGCCCTCGCCTTTACTCCTCCCTTTATCTGAAATGTCAATAGTGTCCAGGTTTGGCTGTTCCCAGGTTTGCTGTGTGGCTACATTTCAGAGTTTGGCTGAGGTTTTTTATTCTGCTGTGTTGTAGCTTAGAGCCTTGAGTGTGTGCATCATGTGAGCCGTAACTAATCACCAGTAACCAGAGTATTAAAAAGAGCAAACTATGCTGCGACATGCTTTTCAAGAAGAAAAAGCGGCTGTGCTGCCTTGCCTGCTTTACTTATCATAAACTAATGTAAAGACAAACAGACATGAGCTCTGCTAACTTCTGCTTTTCTCACATTCACATTTCTCTATTCCTGTTCCTTCAGGCAAAGGCAAACGGCGTGGAGACAACTTGAAACTGGAGAATGAGCCCCAAGAGGTGATTATCACATGAGTGTCATGTGTTCAGGAGAAAAAATGCTGACTTATAAAGCATGTGGGTCACAGAGGGAACTTGCCAAAGAGGTCTTACAGGATGCAAGCGATCAAAGATATGCGTTCAGATGTTCCTCCTTCTTCATGTTTTACAACAGTTTCTCTTTTCATGTGTCGTGTAGTCGGACGAGGTGGCCCTGGATGCAGAGTTCCTGGACGTGTACAAGAACTGTAATGGAGTCATCATGATGTTTGATATAACCAAGCAGTGGTAAGAGTCATGTGTCCTGCTTGTTGTCCTCACACTGTCTCATCAGTGAACTCTAAATGCTACAATATGCATGGACAGATAAGGTTTCAGTCAGTCTGCATGGGAAGTTTCCACTGCGGATTATGTTCAGCGTCAGAGTCAAAAACCTCCAAAAGCATCTCCATGTTCTTATTCTGAGCATCATTAAAGAGAATAGATGTTTTTCTTTCAGAAATATCTGCTTATCTTACAAGGAGGGATCTACTTCACCAAATATGTACATGCTGCTGAGCCATGCTGATGTACAAATCTGTTACTTTCCTTTTAGAACGGGACTGTGATCACTCTGTCTGTCATTAGTAGCATCTAGTCATGTGTTCTTTTAGGAAATGAGGCGGTCGTGTTGAAGTCAAACACAGCGTGCCAAATTAACACTCTCCAAGCGCCAAACGTGGTTAGGTTTTTCAGTTTGGCGATTCAATGTCAGAGGGCTATCCACCACATGGCGGGTAAATGTTTATACCCAAAGAGCCAAGTAATTAAAATGTGCTGAGTCATGGTGCGTTCAATTTGATCTCGGAAGTCGTTCAAAATTCAGAGTTGCTGGTCTGATACGTCATCAGGAACGACCTCCTGAAGTCAGAATTCTGACTTGAGAACCTTCAGTAGTCCGAGTGAAGATCCAACATGGCCGCTACGTGCATCAACAGAAACGTTGAAGCTGTAACTATTTAGTGTTTATATGTAACAAAGATTTCTTTTAGGGTAATTAAATCAATCACACCGATAGTATCATGCACGCTCTATCTGTAGACATGTTGTCATGGTTTTTTCATGCACAAACTGTCACGTAGTGTGTTGTTATCGTCCGGTATTTGCTAACAAAATGGCGCTGGTGGGGCAGTGGTTAGTGCGCACGCCCCATGTACAGAGGCTGTAGTCCTCCAAGCAGGCAGCCCGGGTTCGAATCCGAACCGTGGTTCCTTCCCCACATGTCATTCCCCACTCTCTCTCTCTCTCTCCCAGACTTCCGACCCTTATCCTCTGTCCTGTCTCTTCAATAAAGGCACAAAAAGCCAAAAATAAATCTAAAAAATAAAAAGATACTCCTGGAGGCGTCCATGTTGCTTGCCCAGCTTGTTGCCAGCTTGCAACTGGAACACGGTTTACTCAGCTGTGATGTCATTCCCAGCTCCGAAATCCCAGTTCCAAGCTAAATGGAATGCACCATTATAAGCGCCTTGGCTTCTTCTCCTGTGCTGTCTGCATGTCGGAGCGCTGCAGGGCCATGCTCACCTGACACACACCTACATACACCGATTCACACACACACCCTCTAGCTGCTGTTTCCTTTTAGCTCAGTGGTACACAGTTGATCAGTGATCCTTAACAGATCAAGTCTTTATGATGATCGGGAATTGAAGTGATTGGGTCAAGCGCGCCATTCAACTTTTCTCCACTCACTCTCACCGTGTCAGCATTCATCAACAATCAGTAACTTAACGAGTGTAACGTCATCCCACAGCCTGCTGTAGTCTGGGAACTTCTCCACACAGACTTTTAAACTGCACTGTGTTATATCCAGGCACTGAAGGTATAGTGCACACTTCATAGTGCACATCAGCCAAACTGGCCAGTAAATGAAAATGTGTATTTCTGTGCGTGGTTATACATATAAGTGTCTATTAGACTGATATAAGTACGACATTGGTGCATTCCTCCCATCACCCCCAGTTTGATTTTGTGTTGTTTTTTTTTTTTTCGATTGCAGGACTTTTAACTACATACTGAGGGAACTTCCCAAAGTCCCGACCCATGTGCCGGTTTGTGTGTTGGGAAACTTCAGGGACATGGGCGAGCATCGCGTCATCCTCCCTGACGATATTAGAGACCTGATTGCTGGACTTAACAGGTAGACATCAGCTCGATTGTCAAATGAAACAAAAGCTTGCACTGTGATGGTTTAAGTGGAAGTTGTTTTCAATTCATTTCTCCGTCCTGAAACTACTTTTGTAATCGGTTTTAAGGACAGATATTCAAATTGACCCCAGTTAATACATGAGGCTTCTCCATACCCTCCCTTTTTCCCTGTAGTTAGTAATATGACAAGATTGCATTACAGCCTGAGATGAAGTATACCATGAAAGGTATCAAAGCAAAGTAATAAATCAATATGTCGGAGCTTTTCCTGAGCCTGTTCTTCTTCTTGTGCCCAAAGAAATAGTTCAGGTGTAACTTGATGAGCACCAATAAAGAAACTGCCAGAATGAAAATTCAATCAAAGATAACCAGTGAAACTTGTGTTTTACAGACCAATGGGATCGTCTTACATCCACTACGCTGAGTCCTCAATGAAGAACGGGTTTGGCTTGAAATATCTACACAGGTTTTTCAACATCCCCTTCCTTCAGCTACAGGTTATTATTCTACCCCTCGTGTGTCTTCTTTCATGTCATTATTGTTTTTTAATTTATTCTCATCCGTTACTGGTGTTTAAGGATTTCATTAATCTCTAGGTCACATGCTGTATTGTTCAGCTACAGAAGCACTCGCTCTAATCATGCTTTCTTACAGTGTGACTGCGGAGGCTTAATCTGAGCCCTTGTTGAATCATTAATGTCAGGTTTGTGTGTGTGTGTGTGTGTGTGTGTGTGTGCGTGCGCAGAGAGAGACGCTACTGAGACAGCTGGAAACCAACCAGCTCGACATGGATGCAACGCTGGAGGAGCTGTGTGTCCAGCAGGAGACTGAAGATCAAAACTATGACATGTAGCGTCTGCTCTTTTTTTTCTCTCTCTGTTTGTGTAGTGTTATACCGAATCCACAAGGGGGCATGAGTTAAAATTTCATCTTACAGAAAACAGTGTGTGACTAAACCTAACCAAGCTGTGACACATGTGAATGTTTGACTAGGTTTAGGATTTAAAGACTTGTTTAGTTTTACTAAAAGATTGTGTTGGTTTGTTTTTATTTATGGGCATCCTACTTTGATGTAAGAATATTGTGTACAATGTTCAATCCATCTACAATCTATTTTATATCAGTCTACTTGAGCACTATTTGTGCTTAGAGTTAAGTTATGATGCTTAATTTAAATCTTATTGTGTCTTTGTTGATTTCTGCAGTTTCCTGGAGAACTTGGAGTCTCGCAAGGGCTACGGCTCACCTGGTCCAGCCAACGGTCAGAGCCCCTCCTCGGGCTCCCAGTCCCCAATCGTCCCTCCCAGTGGGGCTTCCACTGGCAGCTCCAGCCCCAGCACCCCACAGCCCCCGATTCTCTCCCAGGTTATTCCACAGTCCCCGTCCGTGTCCGCTTCATCCCCTCCGCCGTCTTCCACAGCAGTGAGTGGAGCGGCTTCACCCGTTGTTGAGTCAAAGCTTCCAGCCCAGTCGCCCGAACACCTTCAGTCCTCGGCTGCACCTGGAGCCGCAGCCCCCCAGAAACGCGGCTTCATGTCCCGCTGGTTTGGCCCGACCCCGGCTGCTGAAAATTCTGCTTCTGCCCCAGGTGAGTCTCTTCTACTCAGGCAGGTTAAAGGTCCACATGTCGTCTCCTCTACGTTTGTGTCCTCACTCTGGGCAGCATGAGCATGAATGAACATTTTTTGAAGCTGGTTAGGGAACCATAAGGAGAGCTTGACATTTCAAAAATGAACTGAAGGCTGTCGGACTGCTTTTTGTTTTTTTTCGCAAAATTGACGTAGCTGATCTCAGCCGTCATCATGTCTTTGTACATTAATATTGACTCTACGCAACAGCGTGATATTTGTGCCCCAATCTGTGAATTGACATGCACGCACACACAGCGCTGTTCTTCCCCTCGCCTCTGTAACGCCTCTGTTACCACCTTTGAAGACATTAAAGAGGGGGGGATCCTGTTTACGTCTCTGCGTCATTCAGATTGAGGGTGAAATGTCACAGTGACCGCTGCGACTTCCGTGAGTGTAATTAAACGACTGCATTATGTTTCCTGTTCTCCAGTATGTTGTTCTTTGCTCTTTTGTTGACACTACACGTAGCATTGATATAAAGGCAAATATTAGCAGCGTATAGCAGCTAGGTTTTTTTCACATCACAGCCCCCCCCCCACCCCCTCCCCCTCCTTTCTGACAGGTATAGGAGCATATGTCAACAGCCAGTTCAGTCGAATATCTGAAGCAGTCCTCCTGAATTTATTATTTAGATATTTTCAGGAGTGCAGATGTGAAAACAGCTTTTAAAGGTGCTTCACTCGAATAGTTCTGACAACAATGCTGATAATGTTAGTCGTAGATGCTTGAGTCTGAGTGAATAAGTAGATTAAGTAACATATATTGTAAAATTGACTCAGAAGAAGCCAGTACAGGGACTTAAGGAGAGGAATAATGCCTTTAAGTTTAATTAAAGTGTCTAATTTTATACTAACACCTGGCAGCAGTCGGGTTTATCTAATCGTAAAGTCCGTAGTGACACCCTGGTTACTAGTTTGATTTGTAGATTTTCTGGCTCATATCTTCAAGGTGAGTCCTAATTTTCATGGTTCCTTATATGGATCCAAAACAACTTTGTGGTAGAAAATTCTGTCTGCAGTAAGTAGTCACAAGATTCGAGACTTATCCGTGGAGTAATGCGAAGCTTTTCAAACGATCAACTGACCGGCTGCTGTGTGGGTGTCATGTGATTGAACAGTTTCATTGGACCTTTTGTGTAATTAAACAGGCAACACATGGCAGCGCTGTGATGGGAGCTTCCTCACGTACAGTGTAGGTTTTTTATAATTATTTGAACAGCTCCTCATACACGTCTTACTCTTATGTTTTCCTCAGAGGAGCCGTCTGCACCGGTCTGTCCTTCCAAGGTTCAGAGTGTGGATGATTTTGTGCCAGATGAGAGGCTGGATAAAAGCTTCTTGGAGGACAGCCTGCCCTCCAGGAACAAGGCGTCTCAGCCTGCGACGGCTCATGCTGTGGACAGCGACAGGTGAGGGTTTAACTATACTTTGAAATAAGCTCGGTTATTCTTTAAGATGAAGTGATCTTTGTTACATAAACCTTGAAATATTCTTCATGTGTACACACTTAATGCATTCTTTTTACAACAAAAGGCAGTGATTTAAAATGTCATACACGTGTTACATTTATAATAGATCTGTGTATGCTCACTGGATGACCCCAAAGATCCGATTAAACCACAGCAGTATGAAGTTAATAGCAATCGCCAGACTCTTGCCCAGATGACTTAATTTGTTGAACATATAAAGCTATAAATCTTACAAAGAATCAGAGACTTAATAGCCTGTGATCACTCAGGGTTACTCTGTGAAAAACAGGAAATGTTGATGTTTTTGGTATCTCACAAACTAAAAAATTATCTGATAGACTTCTGATTCTTACTACTTTGTAATACAGGGCACTTTTTATGCACATACAAAGAAGAGCTCTTAAAGGTGTTTCAGCTCCTTCCTAATCCATGTCACTGACTTTTTTGCAGTTTAAAGGAGATCTATTATCCTCACTTTCACTATTGAATATGTCAGTCTTATTAAGTAGCTTTGTGAGATGTGCAGCTCAAAAATCTCTTTACTTATCTGATACTGGTGTCAGTAAAATCCCTCATGCTACATGAAACGGTTCATTTCCGCTGCTGTCTCTTTAAGAGCCCCCTCCCCATGGGTCCGCTTTCCTCCGATTGGCCAGCTCTGTTTTGAGTCGCAGGGGAATCTGAGTGAGCTTCCGGGTGGGTGTGTCCTGGAAAGAGATGCCAGGCTGGGCGTGTCCTACAACTTTGGTCCATTCTTTGCTCTGATACGTCCCTTCGTCACCTGGTGACACCTGAAGTTCTTGTAACGTCTCATTCAGAGCAGCAGGAAACCACGTCTAACATCGTAACATTATATGTTTGTATTTAAATATGGATCAGCATAATAGATCTCTTTCAAGCTTTCAGACCATCACATGTATGTTTCCAAACAAGACAGCCGGCCCACAGTACCTGCAGTTTTAAATGATTTCTCTTTTTACATCCCAAAACCTGAAGTCCCTGTAGGGTGTCAACTTAGGTAACCCTGTTCTCCGACTGAGTAAATGTTAAAAAAAAAAAAAAAAAAAACATTTTTCCTGCACTTTCTCTCTCCTAGCGATGGTGAAGGCCGAGGAAACCCCATGGTGTCTGGATTCCAGGATGAGCTGGATCTGGACGACACTGAGCCCAGCCTTCCCCAACCTAAGACGCTTCCCCCCAGTAAAGATATCACTCTGACCAGTGATGAAGAGGAGGGAGTAACAGCAGCCCTGACCATCACACAGGACCAAGACCTGGACAGTGAACCTGATCTTAAGGCGTAAGTTTTTCTTTTTTTAACCCCCAGACATCAGACCTTCAGGTAGGTTTTTTGTGTTTAATGTCGACGTCTCTGTTGGAACCTGGCCGAGATTGTCAGGAAGTCATGGGGGCTTCATTAAAGTTAACCATCGTGGGGATAACAGATGAATCACAGTTTCTACCGACAACATATTTAATTTCTTTCCACTTCTTTGATACAGAATTAAAAAAAAAATCTTGAATAGTAGGGCCTTGCCTAAATTGTCCCCTCATTAAGTTGATTCACTTTAATGTTTTTGAGCAAGTGATACTAAAAGTAACGTCGAGTAAAGATTTGTTATCCCACTTCGTTACCTTGTTTATTTGTTGCTCGTGTAGAATGTTAATTTAGATAAATTAACTATGACAGAAAGCGTTCTTTGTTCACTGCTCAAGCTGAAGAGGACGCTCCTTTCTATGGAAATAAAGACATTTCTTTTTGTTCCATTATGACTACATTAGTAGACATTCATGAAGCACTCTCTTCACCTGACTGTGTGTTTTAGTGCACATGAACAGCCTGAGCTATGCGTCACTGCTACACAAAGATCTGTGGTACGACAAGATGATGTACTTAGTCACGCTGTAAGAGACGGTTAGCCATGACGGTCAATGACTTCCTGCATTTTTTAAAAATGTTTTTAAAGATAAGAACTCTGAATGTTTTCTACAGCCGCAGCAAAAAAATTAAAGCAACGTTGCAAAAAGAGCATACCGATACGAGAAGGAGAGTGTTGAGAATGAAAACACAAGTAAACTAATGTTCACTCTGTTTCAGGTCTGTGATCCACATCACAAAGCCAAAGGTGGCTTCCAAACCCCCAGAGCCCCGAGGCCAGACGGCAGCACCCATATCCCTCACCTTGACTCCTGCAGCAGAGCAGCCGACACGACACCAGGGCAAGAAAAAAGGAGGCACCCCAAAAGCCGAGGACTCTGATACAGACCACGAGGCTCCTGTGGCCCAGCAGATGCTCTCGTTTGTCATGGACGACCCCGACTTTGAGTCCGAAGCATCAGATACACCCAAAATAGTAAAGGTGAGGTAGAAGAGTTTTAACTCTGTAGCTGACTCGGGTCAGAAATCTAAAGCACGCTACAAACGAGTCAGACTTCTGTAGTTCTTCTTCACCCTGTAAGGCCTAAACCATCAAATCATTGTCAGACATGTCTGGTCCTTTGAGTCGTTATAAAACCTTCTTAACAAAAATTAGAAGAAGAAAATTAAGACATTGTATAACACGTTGTTTATGTAAGATATTTGTATCATATTTGATACTTCAGGCGTTAAGTTTCTCAAATAGGCCAGGATAGGCACTGGACTATTATGTGTCCTTGATATTTTAACAACCTGATGTTACATATTTATGTAGTTTTTTTTTCTGGACATTATTCAATAATGTTCATTGTTTTATGTTTGATGTGAATGATGTTGATTGTTGTCTTTTTATGGCTGCAGCGTTGGGGAAGAGCCGAAGATAAATTTCTCACTGTGTGAGGCAATGAAGTTCATTTTGATTGTGAATCAGTTTATAGTTAAAAATTAAATGTGGGGGAAAAAGGGGTTATAGGCGAGTGACCCATTCAAACATCGGATGACTCAGCTATAATTGAGTTACCGCAGATTGCATCTAAAGTCTCACTGAGGATGCAGAAGTCTCAAACTGTTGTGTATCAAACGTGATCTGATTTTTAAACGTTACATGGTTCCTCCAGAAGATTCTCTTTTTTTTGTCCTCGTCTAATATTTCACCTTTTTTCTGACCCCGTGTTTTTTTGCAGGATATATTTCCTGTCAGAGATGAGCTCCTGTCCGACCTCTCTGACGACGACTTGCAGTTGGCCAAGGCGCCTGAACCTCTGAAGCCCACCGTGATCTCCTTCAAACACAAGGATGATACCGACCTGTTCGGCCTCGGAATCCACGAGGAGGCTCCTGTCGCCAAAGACAGCAGCGAGGAGCAGGAAGGCAAGTCATGAAATGTCTTTTAGTGTGTCTCAAACACTCAGTTGATATTTTGATATCTAGTGTCCACAAATAAGTCGATGATGATGAACTGGTGAGTCAACAAATGGGAAACAGTCAGCATGACTCTTTAGGGTCTGTTTTACTGACTGAATGTCTCTTTTGGAAACACAAGTTTGTAGTCACGTTTTTATCTCAGCATCAACACCCACACCTGAAGAACTCTTCTTATCTACTGCACAGTGTGGCATGTTTATCAGGTTATTTCTTCACATAATATAAGCTGACAGGAAGTAGTGGTTTACCAGCTTGTTTACTTGTGCAGGGGTTCAATGTTCCACTTTACAGATGTTGATCTCTGCTTCTGGGCTGAGTACTTATGGAAGCCGTCAATCAATTTTGAATTGATGATGTGATTACACTCGTGGTATGCGTTTGTTCATAGTAGACACTCTAAAGATACTCTAAATCTCCAGGAGCTGGTTTCCTTGAATATTTTAAGTCTTCTTATAATATGAAATATCATGTTTTAACTGACTCATGTTGCCTCTTTTTGATCCCTTGTTGTTGATGATTTATGACTCATTTTGATGAATGTTTCTTATATTTTGTGATTCCTTTAATTATGTTCATTGTTGTTCAATGTTTTATGTCTGAAACCTGTATATCGTGCTTCTTCCTGTCTTTGTCAGGACGCTCTTGTAAAAGACATTTTTAATCTCAATGAGACTTTTCCTGGTTAAATAAAAAAAAAAAAGGCCAGGTATAGACTTGTCCTACCACGCCTAGAAGAACTTTGAAAGACTGTGCATCCTGAAGGGTCATCAATCTGTAACAACCCACAGCTGCCCTGAGGGCTGTACCACAATGTGAGTTCAACAAACCGAGGCTTTCTTTCAGTGAGCTGGCTCGACAAAGCCTAAAGCTCCAGTTAGAGATTTCGAGTACCATGAAGCAGGTTTAGTTGTGTTTTTTTTGTTGTCCTGGTAACACATTAGGGTTTAGCAATTCAAGCTAGCAGCTCGCTAGCTGCTAGGGAGTCATGTCCATCCTCTCTACTCAACACTGTCACCTTTTCTTAGTATTTAAACACTGCTGCTCTAACAATGTGTCAGCAGCAAGCTAGCCTCTGACTTCCCAGAGTCCCCTCCATGTACACTATGAACCTGATTCGCTATCTCAGGAGAGCTCTCCTATTGGTTAATGACGACATTCATGTCATCGAACTTGAGTATTAGGATGATTGTAAAAATCTGCCATTTCTTCTCTTTTAAAGATCCATTTCCTAGACCTGTGAAGTTCTTTAATTTAAAACTTTGTATCTGCTCCTCTTCCAGAGAAAGAAAGCAAACACTCCTCCAAAGACAAGAAGAAGAAGAAGAAGAAGAGCAAAGAGGTAAAGTTGTTGTTCACACTCCTTACAGTCAGCAGCTCTATGTCTTAAATAATGTTTTACAATGACTTGTGTCCTTCTGTCTCCAGGAGGATGAGAAGAGCAAAAAGAAACACAAACACAAGAAAAAGGAAGAAGCTGCAGCCGTGGACGACAAGGAGAAGAAGAAGAAGAAATCCCGGCCCAAGAAAACCGAAGTGGACGAGCTGGAGGACTTTCTGGGTGGAGGAGCGGGCTCCATCAAAAGAGATGACGGTGACTATGAAGAACTATAAGAGCTTCCATTTTTATGAGGTCAGATGAGCCGCGGAACAGCAGCGATGTGCGGGGTCGTTAAAAAAAAGTATGTGCATAGAGCAGCATCTTCAAGCCATACGCAATACACACGGCTTCTGATGACACCGAGGTCTAATACCCAACGACTCTGGTACCTGTTTGTTTCTTCTAAGTGATTTCCCATCTTCACTACCACTATCACTCCATTCCAGCCAATGAGAAACAGGTGGGAGATTCACGAGTACCATAGTGAGTCCTGACATTAAACCCTGATGATTGGCGCGTCCACAAATTGGCTCTTTGTACTCCTGACACGGCTGACTTGTTTTTTCTAATGCGTCCTTTGATTTGATCCACCCTGTAAGTGATCCACTCCGAATCGGCTGCTGTAAATAGGGTTAACCTTTTTGTCTGAGTATCTTGTTTGTTTGGTGTAATGATGGAGAGCATGCTTAAAGTGACGACTGACTTCTTAGAGACTCCACAGTGTTCTGTCTTTTCCTCTTTTCTTGTTGGCTCCAGCGGTGAATGGCAGACTTACTCTTTTGTCTCTTATGATGCGCTCTGAACCGATTTAAGATTCTTTTACCCGTCACCAAAATGGAAATAACTTTTTCCCCCCTCAGATTGTGTCCACACTGAGCAGCATGGATCAGACTTTGAAAAAAAAAGGTTGTGTGGAAAAGTTAGCGACAGCTAGTGTTGTAGTCTGAGAAATCAGTCCTGGTCTCAATACCACCATTTGTAGGTCTGGACTCGGTCTCAGACTGGGTGGACTCCGGATTTTAAATCAAGACCACAACTAACAGACTATTTTTCCATGTCATTACTGTGATTAGAAGGAAAAAAACGCTCCCTTCTAAATGAATGATTATTTTGTAATCCTTAACAGTGAAACAGTAAACAGTAAACCTTAACAGTGTTACTGTCTAAGTGACTGGCACGCCTTCTAGATGACGCTAGATGATGATTTTTCATTGATACTTAAGGTCTTGGTCTCAATCCCTAATTGTCTTGGTCTCGGTTATTGTGGTCTTGACTTCAACACTAGCAGCAGCACAGCTGGCAGTTAATCAACTCGTCTCTGAGTGACACTAAATTAAGAAGTAAAACGGCTTTATTCAATGTTTTTACCATTTTCAAATCCCAGGTCTGTGTGAAGCAGAGGACACTTCTTCAGATAACTTAGCTTCTATTAAAACTGCTTACTGATGAGCAAGAAAAAGAGGAATTTTAAACTAATTAAAAAGAAGATAACTCAGAAACAAACGAGCAGCAGGCAGTGCTGATTGTGTCCGCTGAGGAAGAGAGTCAGAGAAGGACTGATTTTGTGATACTAAAGATAACGATTTGCAAACACAGCCTGGAAACAAAACTACGCAAGAGATACTACTGATAAAATGCACGTCGACTTTGTGTCTGCTAAGCAGATGATTTGAATCATCCGCTCTTAGGGGTCGGCCATAACTCTTTTCAGTACAAGGAGAATTCTAAGTTAAACCAGCTGAAATGTAAAAACTTGAATGTCGTTTTCAAAGCATTTTAAAAACCAGTTGAACCATTGCGGACACAGTCTTGGTGGGAAATTGATATTAGCCATTAACTCCGTATTGGCTTTGGCCCCCTCCTTTATAAAAAAAAGCTAACCCTCCTGCCCTCTTATCGTTCATTTTAAGAGCGCCTCTCTCTGCCTGTAGGCTCCACACATTTTGTCTTCATGTTCTCTGCTATTGCCTTAACAGAGGTCACTACAAGGGAATGATGTGCCGCTGTCCTCGTAAACCATTTTTTAAGTGTTCTTACTGTGACGTGTTAGCTAGCTCAGTGCGGGGTTCAGGTTGTCGTTAGCCTTTCTAGTGGTGGTCCTTAAAGCCTGTTTTCAGACTGCAGTGAATCAGTGCAATGGTTTGTTGTTTTTCTTCTACTCTTGTTGGACAGCCAAAAGAGCACTGGTTCTCAACTGGTGGGTCAGGACCTAATAGTGGGTCGCAGAGCTGTTTTCAGTGGGTCGCGAATGTGTCAAAAAGTCTACAAAGCGCTGTTTTAATCAGAGCCCGACCGATGAATCGGCCCGCCGATAATATTGAATGATATTAGCATATCAAGTGACTATCGTATCAGCTAATTTTATCTAAAAAACGTGCCGATATTACTAGATTTATTCCCCTGTCAAATATCGTTTCATTTGAGTTTCATTATATTACACTAGCAGTTCTCTGTCACCAGCAGAGGGCGCTATATGGATACAACGAGCACTATCACTCTCCAGAGTGTCGGGCGGTGATGCACGTTACTTTCCAGAGGAGTGAACATCTTGGCTTTACAATATATCTTTTTCAAGTGTTTGAAAACTGCATTTCAGGGATAAATGCAATAAATAATAATATATATATCAATCTCCACAGATCGAAGTTATCGGCCGATATATCGGTTCTCTTCCTAATATCGATATCGGCCCCAAAAAACCCCTATCGGTCGGGCCCTTGTTTTTAATGTGTTTGTTTTGTTCAGTCTCTTCGTTCTGTCACATGATTTGTACCGTCTCAGATCCAAACGGCACCATTTTTCATCAAATAAATCGGATTGGTTGAAAGTTATTTTGAAATTTGGGTCTCTACTTCGCATTAAGGGGTCGTTGGGTCGTTGGTGGGTTCTGACGCTAGAAGGTTGAGAACCACTGCTCTACAGGAGTTATCATGGAATTCGGTTAATACGTCTGTGTGGGTAACATTTCAAAGATCTCCCCGTTGTTTTATCCTCGTGTTATTTATTGTGATATTGTGATTTTTTTTTGGTTTTTGTTGCATAATGTTGAGATTTTTTGTGATTGTGCTTAAAAAGGTGCACTCAACAGTTTGTCGAAATTCTTCCTGTCAAACATTCCCAACGGTTTACGTCTCCTTCCTCTGCTTTTAAGGAAGTTTGTGGTGATGAACTGCTCAACTTTTATTTCCTTTTTTTTTTGTCCCGACGCCTCAGATTGCCTGCTAGACAGAGATGATGTGCAGTATCTTCCATGAATGGCATAACCAAAATGTTTCAATAAAATAAATAAAGTGAAGCATTGTTGCATCTTTAGAGAAATTACGTGTATTTTTAGATATGTTTGGACAACTGACGGATTTCATACTGGTTCCATCTCACACTCAAATGGTTACAGTCTGCTGGTTTACAAAGAAATCATGTTTGATATTCCAAAAATATTGAAACTATGCAGCATTGATCCTGAATACTGAACACTCTTTTTGTCGTCTGCCGTGGGATTTAAGGATAAATGCTACAAGTGCAGTTTCAAGCAGAAGCATGAGACTTCAATGTACAGCAAGAAAAGAATGTATAAAGTATATAAATAAATCTATATATTTGAAGAGCTTTGTTCCGAAAATGACGCACACACCACGTGGAAACAGTGGTGAAGAAATCCCCTAAAATGGCGTCGACCGATGAGACGTCAGAGCAGAAGTAGAGGATGATCGTGGGGATCGGGGAATGCAATGTTTTCCAGGTGGACGTGTGTGATGTTTTGGAAGGAAACCCTTCATTTATTTTTCACCCCATGTCATGTTACATCTTTACACTGTGTGTGAGTTTGCCTATGTTTGGTTTGTCAAATAAATGCAAACTTATTTCTTCATGAAGATTTCTTGTGTCTTACTTCACAGAATAAAACCTTCAAAGCTCCTGTGAGGAGTTTTTAAACGGTTATGAAACAGACTCACATTAATAAATCATAAAAATAAAGCAAACCAGACGTTCAGAGTGAAGATTGCTTGTTTGTTTTATATGCATGTCACGCCTGCAGCAGGGGAGGTGTCAGACACAGGCTGCTTCAGAAACATCCTCTTTTTTTAAAGATATGTTTTGCTTATATTAGGACAGCTGAAGAGAGACAGGAAATGTTTGGGGGAGACAGTGGGGAACGACATGCAGCAAAGAGACGCTGCTGGTCTCGAAACCACGGTTGCTGCGGTGAGGGCTACATAACCACCAGCCTATGCTCCAGAAATAACTTTTCTTAACATTTCCGCTCTGTCACCTTTTACACGGCTAGTAGCTTACATTTCGTTATTCAGTGTTGTTCAGCCCAGTAAGAGTAGTTTACATAAGCACATTTTATTATCGTTCATATCTGGATAAGATGCAGTGATGGTTTGATAAGAAGGTCACAACATGAGCTAATCTGTGATAAGAAATGTAAGGGTTTTGAAATCCAGATGAGTCACTCCAGTTCATAGATTGCTTCTTCAATCTGTGGAATATCAATATCATCATAAAGCTCCTCTTCTTTCTAAAACGAGAAAAGAAAACGATGTTTAATCGTTTGCTCTCAAGTAATCCAGGAAGATGTGATATATTTCCAAATTTAAAGTTCAGATATTCTGCAAAATCCACTTCACCATGTTTGTTCAAACACTAATATATGTCCCTATTCTGTCTACAAACTCCGAATTATGAGAAAAGTCCATCCTCTCCGTCTTTTGTCTGCTCCACTTTTCAGAAAATGTGTGCTCAAACAGGCCGTTTGGAGATTTTCCCTCTGTGACATCACAAAGGGCAGTAGCCCCTCCCCCAGGTGGGTAACACTCCCACAGCTAGGTGTTTGTTCTGCCCTCTGAGTCGGCCTTCTCACCGTAAATAATAGGACATGGAGCCAGAAAGCCAGAGCCACCAAGACCTTCCAGAGAGGGGTGTGGCCAGACACAGCTCATTTACATATTTAAAGGTACAGACACAGAAACAGCCTGTTCTGAGCAGGGCTGAAATAGAGGGGTTTATAGACATGATCAAATACAGGATCAGAGTGGATTTAGAACAAGAAACTTCACACACATGTTTTAAGCTCTGAGACTTATTCAAACTTGATGAAAAGGAGGAGAATATGTGACCTTTAAAAGTACTTTGTGGGGGGAAATGGGTGTTACCTTACCTTGAACATGTGTCTGGATGTTGCTGTAAAAAAAAAAAAGGAGTGTTTGGTTAGTGTATTTTGTCATATATATGTGTTCATATTTATTAAGATAAATCATGTCACAGGATTCTTTAGACTGATATCTTTAAAAAATAAATAGTTATATATGTGGTTATAGTTAGAAATATGGTGAGCAATACAGTGAATGTTTGAGCAGGAAAGAAAATAGATTGGGATAAATAATATTTAACATTATTATCAGGATATTTCTTAGATTCTCAAGTTACATTTAAGACTTTTTAAGACCTTTTAAGACCACTTAAAAGGAAATTTAAGGCCAAACATGACAAAACAGGCAAGCATCGGAAGTATAATAAACAAGCTAACAAATTTGAACATATAACAGTACAGGTCTATTAGCATAGCTATGCATAATCAAACGTACCACCAACACACAGCCCCATGTAAATCTTATGGAAACACAATTTTCTGTAAAAGGTGGACAATTTAACACTTCCGTGCAGTCTAATCTGAAATAATCATGTTGTGGTTGTGGAATTTTGTTGTTTTTCTGTTTTACATTTTTATTTATTTATATATGTTTTAATCGTCCTGCTTTATTCCTGTATTTCATTTAACTTAATTTTTATTTTTATTTGCCAGGTCTGTTTTTGTTTTTTTCTGTTTGTTTTTTTTTGTCTTGCATTGATAGTGTTTCCCTTGTTGGGTATTGTTCTATATCATTTATTAAAAAAACGCACCACCAGCGCCCCGACGACCCTATTTTCAAGTCATCCAAGGCTTCTAGCAGCAAACTGTTCAAATGTGCAAAACGCATGTGCTGATACCGATGTGTCTGTTATAGGCTCATTTTAGCTCATAGGACCAAACATTGTTCAGTATGTTGGATCCTTGTTCTCCTTGCAGGCTGCTGCCTTAAATTAAGTGTAAATTTCCTTTCTTGGTTAGTGGAGCCGCAGTATCACTCACCTCTGGAGTAAAGGTTGGCGAATGTGGTCACCATGAGCAACAGAAGCAGCAGAATCCAGCGAATGATGCTCCAGATGTGATGACCAGAGGCTGCAGCTGGATGAAAGACATGTCAATCAGCTTTGGCTACTGATTGTTCAGATTAAAAATGACTGTTATTTAAACATCTGACTTGTGGCTATCACAAAATTAAAAAAAAACTGAATCAGAGGCGTTGGTAGGATTTCTGGGCCAAATATAAAGATGTGACTTTTGGCCCCTCCTCAACAGCCTCAGCCTCACCCTGCATTATTGCAATAACCACACCTCCATTACACAAATTAAACCCATTAAGAGCTTTTAAATAAGGCTGACAAAAGTTACTCTACATCTTTTTAAGAGGATACAATCCATTTTACTTTAATGTTCAATGGTATTTATAGTAACACCAAAATAAACAGTCTGATCCATATATGTATATACATTAATACGTGTAGAGTGACAGATTCACAATACCAACAAAAAAGCATCAAACAATATACTGGAGAACAGGAAACATAATGCAGCTGTTTCATTTTGTGCAAAGAGATCGAAGCACTGCATACAGTCAATGGTTTTCCTTCATTGTATTGAACTAGCTCTTATTAAATATTCAATAAATAACCACAAAATAGTTCATCAGATATGAACTCTTTCATTAGAAAAAATATCCCATCTTTAATAGTTGAACATATTTACAGTAGAGACCATGTCAGAGAACTATGAGGGCCAAAAAACAAAAAACTAAATAATCGTTCATTGATAGTAATTGAGGTCAAATGTTCAATTAATCGTGATATTTATTTGAGGTCATATCGCCCAGCCCTAACCATCAGTATGAACTAATCCAGCCGAACAGCAGGAGCAGCTTGAGTGTCTTGCCCAAGGATTCCTCGGACATGTGTGGCTGCAGGAGCTGGGGATTGAACCTCTGACCTTCAGGTTGAGAGACGACTGCGTCAGAGAATCAGTGGCTGGTAATGAGGTTGATGTGTCTTTAAATGTCAAAACAATAATCCATCTCACAATGATAACATTTGAGTCTTCTTTTGTACTTACAGTGGTGAAGGTAGCCCTCAGCCACCTTGATGATGGTGTTATTTTTGCCCAGCAAACCACACCAGTACACTCCCTCTCCATGGCTGGGCACCAGCACTGACACGGTGAAAGAGGCCAAGCCTTGAGTAACCTCCAGTTTGCCTCCATCCAAGACGTGGGCGCTCTCACCGAAGGTGAAGCCGGTGCAACAGTCAGCCGAGCTCTGCCTGCACCAAACCCTCTGCAGGCTCTCGTTCTTTAACTCATAGGGACATGTCAGCTTCTGCCTATACACTTCTTCACAGGCACCTGCACAAAGTCATGTAGAGTGAGTTAAAAAAAAAAAAAACACACACAGCTGTAAATGAATTTGAGCTTGTATATTTCTTTTCTAGTCTTCTGACTACTCAAAGCACTTTTACACACCTGCACGCTCACACACTGATGGCAGAGGCTGCTATGAAAAGTGATTATCATAAGTAACTAATCCCATTCTTACATCACTCGTATGCTGCCCATGAAGCAGCGGGAACAATTTGAGGTTAAATGTCTTGCCCAAGGACCAAGCAGGGCGCTAACACCGGCGTACACACTATAGCTTGGTCACAAATCTGGCTAGCACCCGGTTCAACCCCCTCATGTATGTCTGCTTATAATTGAAGGAAAAAAAGGAGAGAACTTCATGAAAATCCACTATTCATAGCACCCCAAATTCTGGCGCCGTCTCTGTCAAAGACACATTGGATATGTAGCTGTACCGACTCTACCAACTGAGCCACAGCCGCCCCTGTCACTTCCACTTTAACAAAGGTGTATCATTTCCTAATGTTCAGGATTTAATCCCTTTTTCACTGATATAAATATTAGTGTGTATTAGCCTACTCAGGCTCACAACACAGAGAAACCTCATCGAGGCTAACCCATGTGTGTCAGATTCTCATGGCCGTAACAGATTGTGATTTTAATAAAAAAATAATTTAAGAGGAAAATATTACTCTCAAGTAGATATTTGGTTGATCAGGGTACATGTTTATCTCTCATAATTCACCAAAATGCTTTGTTTCAAAATCAGAACAGGCAACTGTTAACCCTTTAAAATCGTTGTTTTTAAAATTGTAATTATGTATTATTATTTAAAAAACATGATTTTTTTTACTTACCTACAGCAAAAAGGAGAATCAATATGAGCGCATGCATAATCCAAGCCTTGTAAGTGGTAAGCTTCAAGTCAGAGACGTAAAAGAGGAAGTGAGGCTGCTATTTCTTGGAGGTAGAGCTTCAGGAAATATAAACACAGATAAGTCTGCAGTTAATCTTGATACTCAGAGGGCTATACGATCAGTTTTACATAAGCAAGTACCTCTTTGACTCACATGTTGTGTTATATGTAGTCATCATTATTTTGTCAGAGAAAAAGTCTAGAAAACTTATTCAGGTCACGAGAAGTTAAAAAAGAAAGGTGTGATGCACAAAGACTTGCAACACTATGGCTGCCAATTATTATCTTTATTTTACACACTGTATTAACCCCTGATGGAAATTCTGGTTTAACACTGTGTTATTGAGAGACATGCTTCTTACACACAAAGGCCTGAAATACACACATGTACAAACAGGAGCTGTGGACGTGCATTAGTGGAGAGATGTCAGAGTGAGGCTGCTACACAAGGAGTACACCAGAGCTGTTGGGGGTTCAGTACCTTGCTCAAGGGCACCTCAGCATTGCTCAGAAAGTGACCTGGAACCTCTCCAGCTACCAGACCCACTTTCATTTTTTGGTCCGCACCAGAGCTTGAGCTGGCAAACCTCCGGTTCCCAACCAGAGTCCCTACAGACTGAGCTACTGCAGCTCTTTATTTGTTAAATGCATTTAACAACATGGGATCAAAACATTTTGTTTTGTTAATGCATATAGTAAATAAATAAGTGTATCTAAAAATACAATTACTGCATTTACTGTGATACCAATCACTGGGTGATTGAAGAACTAAAAGTCCTTGGAAGGACTCTAAACATATCTCCCGGGTTAAGATTAAGAAAAAAAAAGAGAAATACCAATTACTGGTTACTTGAAGATTGTTAGGAAAGAGGCAATTAACTGAATATTTGAGATTAATAAAAGTGTGTCCTGGTTACAGTAAACCAAACCGACTCCCTTAATAAAATCTGGAATATCAGGAGGTAATAAAAATGCCAAGGAATGTCGAATGATGATGAGTTGTTTGTTTTAGTGATTTTTAAATGTTCTATTTTAATATTTCTTTTTTTCCCCTCTGTCATGATGTTTTTGATGTCTTGTGTGAAGCACTTTGAATTGCCTTGTTGTTGAAATGTACTATATAAATAAACTTACCTTGCTTATCTTTGGGAGCCAAGTCTTTCTGCTTCATATCACTTGAAAAGTTATGATTTTATTGTCTGTTTGGTTCACTTTGTGGTTCAAGATTGCTATGAGGAACACTTAATGAGTTTATGTCTGTCCACAATGAAAGTATTCATACATATATTCAACTCGCTGAAATGTGACTCGATTTTGACATTTACGAGAAAAGCTTTAACAAAAATTAAAACATTTTGGGTGCTGATAGCCTGGCGGTTATGACACGACCCCCATAAGGAGGCAATGGTCGGTAAGGCCTCATACCGCTCAGTACAGAAAATGTGTTTGGGGTCCCTTGCTTGTAGACATTACTGAGGAGTCAGTGGTAGATTTGGTGAGGAGATTTGCTGCGGTACCAACTGTGAGGAAGAGGTGTGAAGGAAATCATGAAGTCATAGAAAGCATGACAGCTCAAAGAGGAAGAAACAGATATCATGAGGCCGAAATGAAAATGACTCAGTTAAGGGAAAAGCAGTGAGATAAGATGAGGAGGAGAACTGAAAGACAGAAGAAACAATAATATCAAGACTATGACACAAGATTAAACACTATTTAGAATAGATGTGATTTTGGTCAATCACACCTACCATTCACACACTGATGGTAGAGGCTGCTGTGTAAAGTGACCATCAGAAGTAACTAATCCCATTCATCCACATTCACATGTCAAAGAACTCATTGGACATGTGGCTGCCGGAGCTGGGGATCCAAACCCCTGACTCGTCAATTTCAGATTGACTATCGACTCTATTGAGCCACAGCTGCCTCAGGGTATAGTTCCCGAACTACAGTCCATACCAGTTGGTGAAAGTAATGCACCACAATGTTGTTTGCCAACTGCCAGAAATCACCAAGAAGTATTGAGCGCTCACAGAGGCAGGACGAGACTAAACATGGAGGGGACTCTCGCTGGGAACAAATGAGGATAAAGTGTGAGAGAAAAAGAAGTCATGACCTTTTTACTTAAAAGAATATGAAATATATTTGTACATTACATGTTTACATTTTACAAGGTAGACAAAGATAAAACATGAACACATTGGTTATCATTTATTCACTTGTTAATTTTTATTTTAATATTTTGTAAATTAATCACGTAAAACTGGCTCCCTTCTAAATACTCCAGTACAGTAGGTGGCGGTATACACCTTTCAATTTGGAATTGCAAGCAATCCAAAGAAAAAATAGAAGAAGAAGAAGTATCGACCGCTCTGATTGGCTCCTCTATCAGCCAATCAGAGACACTCTTGTACCCAGGTCCCTGTGCCTCCATGTGTGTAGCGCCTGCCTGCTAGCCAGCGTTGACCTGAAGAACAATCATGGTAAGTTGAGAAATGATTGAATTTATAATTTGAATGTTATTCTACTTAGCGACAGCTTTAACGCCACTGAGAAGGTGTATTAGTAACCATGGTAACGGTAGAGATAGAACGTAACAGATAACGCGGCGGCATGTCTGATGTTAGCATCACAGTGTTGCTCAAGCTGGGCACAGTAATGGTCTTTTATGTACTGTAAAGTTTCCTAAGCTCATAACACATTAAAATACATGTTAGCTTTTATTCTCCCGTGTGGTTTAATGAGGAAAACAAACACAGGAAGTGGCACCAAGTGAAAAAACAAGAACTGGCTTTTAAAGTCTGGTTAATCAGAGAAATCCCCTGACATGTAAAACGTGGTTAGATAATAAAACGAGACAGCTGTATTCGACATTAACCATGCACTGTAAATATTAAGGTATGAACTCATGTCCGAACAGCCCTTTGGTTAAAATGGGTTTAAACTTTAGTGCTTAATGGATACAAGGCCAGGCGAGTTGATTTATGAAGCACATTTTCTACATTTCAATTCAAAGTGCTTTAATTGGCATATTTAAAAAAGAGAACAGTAGGAATATTCAGAGCATTACGTCTCACTTGGCAAAAATACTAAATACATAATGTGACTATATGCCACAAAATACATTTACCACACCTGATAAAACCTACAGTCTGGACTGAAATGAGTATGCAGCGCAGTAATCGTTTATTCTAGATTATCTTGTTGTCATGACCGTGGGAAGACAAAATCAGAATTCAGACTTGACTAAAGCTTTGTCCGCCTACCAGTGTTATCGTTTCTCTGAACTCACTGACTGAGAGGAAAACGTAGATCTTGAGATTGTTTTTGTAAGGTTCTTGATGAAATGTTGTTAAAGCTTCGTCGGGAGGTGAGACTGAGACGAGAGTACCTGTACAGGAAGGCACAAGAGGACAGGCTCCGGACCATTGAGGAGAAGAAACAGAAGCTGAAGGGCGCACTTGATGGTGGGATAACATAAAGCATTAGTTCCCATTTTTCTTGATGTGTACTTGATGTTATTATAAGCAAACAGTGTAAACAAATTATTGATTAACAAAATGTTTTTAAATCTCTCTGCAGAAAATCGTCTTCTACCAACCGAGGTACGCAAAGACGCTCTGCAGCTCCAGTCCCTGCTGGAGTATGACGACGAAGGGGCAGAAGGCAAGTATATTATAACATCATGTCATATACCTGATCATACCTGATACTCACAGTTCATTTAGATTTCATCCAACTGTGTATATTCATCTCCTCTACAGGGGTCAGCTCACACATGGACGATGAGTACAAGTGGGCTGGAGTTGAAGACCCTAAAGTCATGGTCACCACGTCCAGGGACCCGAGCTCCAGACTCAAAATGTTTGCCAAGGTCAGGTCGCTTCCTCTGCGGTGGAATGAAAGCACCTTTAATGGAAATGATCACCTCGTGATGTGTCGGGCCCTAGCCCTTCATCAGACATCTGAGACGATGAAAGTTCATGTCTGATGAAGGGCTAGGGCCCCCAAACATCACATGAGGTGATTGTTTTCATTAAATGTTCATTGGAGCAGCTTCTGGTGTGTGAACTAAGGTCCCGTATTCACCTAGCGTTTTTTGGCTGAGCGCCAGTGTCTTTCTGTCGATGAGCAGAGAGCATTTGCAGCAGCAGGCCGCTCGCAGAAACAAGCAAAACACCCAGGAAGGGGCTGTGTGATATTCCCTGGAGTGTTGCCGCCCACAGATCGTGTCTTGTACTCGCAACCGTCTTTGCCCCGTGTCCGATCGGGAGAAAATAAACGATTTAAAATGTATAACATGCAGTAAAAAGTAACAGAGCTGTGTTGGTCATAAATCGGCCGTTGTCAACAAGCTGTGGTCATAGAGACAGGGGGGACGTGCAGCACTTTTCTCCTCTGTACACACATGCTTCATGCAAACACTCCCAAGCGCACAGCCAGCGCTTTTTTTCTGCCCGGGAAAAAAAACCGCTGGGTGAACACGGGGCCTTCGTCTTCTTTCTGTCTGTGGATATTTTTTGTCAAGCACTCAATGATTTCAGATGTGCGTTCTGTTTGATCTTATTGGAATGAATGGACCTGACGTTGATGAGCGTACATTTAATTAAGCTGCTTGTATGATTAGTTGGCACAGAGGGAATGATGTGAATTTAGTCACTACATCTTCTGTTGTAAAAGCAACTTTTTTCTAAATCACACTGAGCTTAAATCTCAATGTTTTACAGCCAGTCAGCACTGCATGCCTGAGGAGAAGTGTGCATCCTTTAACGTCTTGATTTCTACTACAGTAAACATTTGATAATGAAAAGCTGACTCGGTGTCTGACTTTTCTATCTAAGTTTGCACTGACTACATAGAATACTGAGATGAGTGCATAGATTAAAGTGCAGCGTATGAATCTCCTTACAGGAGGTGAAGCTGATGTTCCCTGGAGCTCAGCGTATGAACAGAGGAAACCACGAGATCGCTGCTCTTGTGGGAGCCTGCAAAGCCAACAACGTCACAGACCTCGTCATCGTTCATGAAACAAGAGGACAGCCAGGTACGCCTCTTTACTTCATCGTTTTCACACATGCACTGCTGAAAATGTCTCGAGGGTTTCAGGAGGACTGCCTCTGAAATCCTCCTGATCTGGTTGTTCACACACGGACGGGAGGGGGGGTAAGGTGGACCCCTGAGGAAACGACATGACGTAAAAAGGACAAAAAAAAAAGTGCTCTTTAACCAGGTAAAAGTCTCATTGAGATTAAGAATCTCTTTTACAAGAGCGTCCTGGATAAACAGAAAAGCATGAGTCGTGTGCAGACATTCTATGTTTGTGCACCATTCGCAATTAAGGAATGTAATCACCCCCTCCCACTCACTAGAGGTGAATTCTCCTGATTTATAAACTGCTGCGTTCTTATCATCAGCTCACTCTGACTTCAAGTTACAATGAAAGTGTGAACAAGGCTTTTGTTTTGGAGCAGGAAGTCATAAGCAGTAACCACAAGAACTAAGCACTGTGAAAGCTTCAGTCGTGTCCTAGTTACTGTATATAAAAAAGAAAAGACTCATTCTAAGTTGTATATAAAGGGCCATGAACGTGAGAGATCAGTGAAGAAAATCTGGTGCTCAGTAGATTCAATCAATCAAGGGATGATTTGATGAGACGGCCTCTGCAGGAGAAAAAATGACATTTTAGGGGAAATACTTAAAAATATAGTTGTAAACCCTCAAACCTGCTTGATCTTTTCCTATTCTTTAAATATGCATTTTATTTCTACAATGCGTAACGCAGACGCTATAATCCAAAGAGATGAACATCAGAGAGTAAGAACAACACAATCATCAATCACGATCAGTGTAGGTGTTCATGTAGAGCCGGGACTTTTTTTAAAGCTGCAAAGGGACTCTGCAGATTAAATGGAGATAGGCATCGTTTCACCAACGGGGGGCGACAGAGGAGAAGAGTCTAGCTAGAGACTTAGGACCCCTGTTGTGAAGTTTGGATCAGACCAGTGGGCGGGGGGGAGTGTAGACCTGGATGAGAGAGTTCAGGGAAAGAGAAGCCGTTTTTGACGCTGATTTGTAATCAAGCAGCAGAGTTTAAAATCTGATACGAGCAGCTCGTATATTTGAATCACTTTTTTTAGTTGGCTGTAGGCATAGACATTTAAGCACTTCATGAGATTGAAAGAGCCTTCAAGGAACATTCAAACTTTTTTCACAAACTGGAAGATTTAATTATTTGATCTTTACTTTAATAACCTGGAATTTGAAAAGCTTTTCTGTAAATAAATCCCTAAAACTTTACCTTTTTTTTTATAAATCTCACTTCTGTGTTTGACGGGCAGTAAAAGGACAATCAGAAAGTATTGTGATTTTAAACAGAGTCAGTCCTTCCTGTAATGAGAGACAGTAGAATGAATCTGCACATGAAGTGTCTGATCTTTTTCTCGTATATTTTACAGATGGCCTTGTGGTGTGCCACCTGCCATTTGGACCCACAGCTTATTTCACACTCTACAACGTGGTGATGAGGCACGATGTTCCAGACATAGGCACGATGTCGGAGGCCTACCCTCATCTAATTTTTCACAACTTCACCTCACGACTCGGCAAGAGGGTGAGTGAAGCGCTGAAGACACGACACTGATATTCTCTTTCACCGCTTGTTTGCGCTACAACTAATTAATTCTGCTTGTACAGGTATCGAATATCCTCAAGTATCTCTTTCCAGTGCCGAAGGAGGACAGCCGGCGTGTAATCACATTCGCCAACCAAGAAGACTTCATCACTTTCAGGTCAGTGTGAGAGGACTCTCCTGATGCAGATGACTTACAGATATTTGTGCTTTGGACATAAATAATGTTTATTTATTTTGTTTGTTTTAATCACAGGCATCATACCTACAAAAAAACAGACCACAAGAACGTTGAGCTGACAGAAGTAGGACCCAGGTTTGAGATGAAATGTAAGTACTGATCAGTTGAAGGCTGGTACACACCGAACAGACAACAAAGAACGAGCTGAGACGTCCTGTTGAGTCCGCCGCTGTCGGCCCAAAAAGTCTAGTAGCTAGCAGTCTGCACATGTGCGAGTGGCAAAGAAACTGGAGGATATACAAATAACAGGCTTTCTGTACTCGTTCATCATTTTTTCTGATGAATGCCTTTGTAGTTGCCTCGGCTTGAGTAAATGTCCAAAGGCTCTGGCAGTACACGAGAAGAGACTTCTGTGTGCCATCGATTCTACATGTTGAATCAGGCAAAAAAAAAAAGCCTCCGACTAGCCCCTTGCAGATCGGACACAGCTGTTTCCTCCACACAGAGCAGAGCTACCGACTCTCACTAAACGTTTTCACATAATGCACTGCTGAAAATATCTAGACCATTTCAGGACGACTGCTCTGGATATTCTCCTGAATATCTATTCAAGGGGTCTGGCAGGAGAAACTCCAGGTGACGTCTGAGTGAAAAACTAGGCCGTTTGCTCCTCCTGGAAATATCAGGAGTTTTTCAGGAGTTTTCAGCAAGTTTGAAAGCTGACAGCCCCGACCCCCCCATGCTTAGCCTGGTGTGTTCCCAGTTCAAGAGATATTTGCCTTCAGCCACCACGTTGAGTTTGACTCGCTGCTTCCCAACATTATGACTCCTCACGGCGGTGCTTATTACATGAATGAGGGTTACATAAAAAGAAATGTAGAGGTAGAAACTGACAATGAATTGCAGTGCATGAATACAATAATACTGAACTGTATCTATAAAGAGGTAACAATTCATGAATAAGGCAGAACAATAACCGACTTAAAATAATGTTTTTGGTTTTAAGGCAACAGTTATTTTCTGTAGAAAATGTTGGGTCTAATTTCTCTGTTGTGCACTGCTTCTAAATGTTGATGTGTAAGACGTTTTGCATCTGTTCTTCCTTCTCTCTTAGTGTATATGATCAAACTCGGCACCCTGGAGAACGAGAGCACCGCAGATGTCGAGTGGCGTCACCATGCATATACACACACGGCGAAGAAAAGGAGGTTCCTCAGCGTGCAATAGGGAACTAATAAGGCAAAAGAAAACTGTTTACCCCTACTCTAAAACTACGCTAATGTTTTACAGAAGTATTTTGATAAAGTGTCTTCTAAAAGGACTGTGGTGTTTTGGTGGGATAGCTATTTTATAAACAAAACAGGCAATTTTTTTTTTTTTTTTTTATTGTTTTGAGTCCCATTTACAGAAAACTGTATTTTGAGACTTGTTTTGACAAACCCATTCATTCAAAACATGTTCTATTACAGTGATTGTGTTATTTTGTAATAAATTGTGTTTCCAATCACCTGCGTTTGTTCCTGTACTTCCTGTTTATAAAAGGAGAAAAACATCAAAGATCATACTTCTTCATGTATCTTAGATGTATTAATGATGTATCTATGGGTGTTGAAATAAGTAGGGGAACATCCGTGCTGCGACATGAACACTGGAGCGTATTTACATGACAAAAAAAAAAAACACGAGTCCCTACTCCCACCCGTGACGTATACGCTGTGTTGTCCAATGAGAGCGCAGCTGGAGGAATCGACCAATCAAGACGAAGCAGTTCCGAGAGGTCTTCCGCTTTCCCCCTCAACTTCTTGACAGATCCGACTTCAGATTGAGAGAGGATTCAAGATGGCTGCTACAGGTAAGAGTTTAAACTTGTATTTAAATTATGATAAAAACATTTTGATGGAAGGACGTGTTGCTGTTATCGCAACAACTGTACCGTGTTGTGTTACGCTTCTAAATGAATAAATCAAGTGTATGAGGTGTATGTTCGGAGACACCAGAAGTAGCCAACAAGCTGACGCGGTGGTAACACCCCCCCCCCCCCCCCAACACCAAGTTGGCTAACGTTAGCCGGTGTTATGTCGAAATGTGCTACCTGGTCGAAACATTCCACCAGAGCGCAAAACGACAGCAGAATTAGAACAAAATGACTTTAAGTGCTGTACTCATCACACATCCATATGCAGGGTACAAGCAGCACGTTTGGTTTCTGTATTATTTAAATGTGTCCCACCTACAATTAATAACAAATTATTAATCATTCTCCTTCTCTTATATCGTGTCGCATTGTTTATATGAATTTGTTTCGTTTTGTTATATTTTAAGCTCATTTGATTGTTCAGATAAATACCCATGTAAGTCTAATTTATTATTATTATAAGTTTCGAGGGGAAGCGCATCTTGAAGAACACATAAGTACACAGTTCATTACTTAAAACACCATTACTCACTGCGTTTACACTTTAAGGATACTTTGTGATAAATCCTTTATTAAAGGTTTGACAGGATGCCTTTCTCTAAAGACGAAAATCCCCCATCAAGTAATGTTCCCTGTACTGCAGAGTCGCATGGTAGCACATTTCGATGGGTAGCGATTTTCAACACTACACCCACAGGCGTATGTTAGAGTGAAGTAAGCTAGGCGCCGAGTTAGCTACATAATCTCCACTCAGCAGGTCAGCTAGCTAGCGCCGCTTCAAGTCGAGTTGGGAGGATTTAACACAAGCTTTTAAAACTATGTATCGTCAGGAATATGTTCTGCAAATTGTTTCAACTTTAATCCTCCCGCGTCTACATGTAAAAGCAAAGTCCAGTTTAAGTCGTAAACTTTCGGAACCTGAGAGAAACACGGCCTCCCAAAACTAGAAATGTCAAATCCCATGCTAAGCTAAGCGGCTAACGTCAGCTACCGTTAGTATCACGTAAGTGCGAAACTTTTAACCGTCTTCGTTTGGGTTTAACTTCACCTCAGAGGTCATCCAGGTATGTGAAGTGACATTTAAATATTTACTGGTGTAATGCTAGCTGCACACGTCGTCATATGGTTAATCTGTGACGTTAAATTTCACAGATGTGACGTTAAGATCTGCTACCTGACAATCTAAAGCCAGGCGTGATTCAACTCAGGGGTTTAACTTTGTTAGCTGTGTGAGCAGTGTTAAGAGTCTGTATTTGCTATCCTGCAGGATGTTGATTCTTGTTGCTGTCTGTGCTCAGCTGTCAGCATTTTGTTTTTGTAGCTTCTCTTCATAGAAAAAAAGTGCAGTGTTGAGTCTGGAGCTACACAACCCCATTACCCCCTCCACACCTTCATGTTTATATCTCCCTATACTCCATAGTCTTAAGCACTCTAAGTTGCCATTAATCATGCCCCTCATCAGATCTGTTTTTATGTGGCATTACAAATTATTGCTGTAGTGGTCAGGTAGTGTCAAATGGTGAAGGCTGGGCGATATGAATAAAGATGTCATCATGATAACATTTTTATATAATTTGACATTGATAATTATCAGGATAATTGCCTGATCCTAATTTCTTTCAAGTGTAAAGGCACAGTTTTGCTCCTCGGTGGAAGTTGAAGAAACCAGATGGTTGAATGTGTTTTTAATGACTTCATGACTTCCTCCATACAGTTCTCATTATGTTGATTTTTTTCCTTATACTCTGACTAGTCCTAATCACTCTGAACTGCCATCAATCGGTGCCCTCTACTAGGGCTGGTCGATGTGACCCTTAAATCAATATCACAATTAATTGAACATTTTACCTCGATTATGATTAATTAATGATTATTTTGTTTTTGTTTTCTGTCCTCATAGTCCACTGACATGTTCTCTACTGTAAATATGTTCAACTATTAAAGCTGGCATATGTTTTCTAATGAAAGAGTTCAGAACTGATTAACTATTTTGCGGTTATTTATTCAATATTTGGAACTGAAATCAAAGACAAAATGTGTCCTTACGACGGACATTGCTTCCATGTCGTGGATTGGACGTGTCGTCACGTGACTCTGCCCTGGAAATAATTGAAATAATCAACATGGGCAATATTATGTCGGTTAGAGATTGTGAATGTCTGTTTCGATTAATGTTTGATTAATTTCCCAGCCCTATCCTCTACTCTTCCACCTGTTATGTGGCATTGCAAATTATTGTTGTATGCAGAGCGATACTTTATTTATGGCCTTGTTTTATGAAGATCAACTTGATTAGATCGATGCGTTTGGCATGCACAATACACTTTGGTAGTTGGGGAAGTTGTGAATGAAAACCCTACTTTGTTTCTTCACTGATATGGATGACTTTTAAACTGTGTTCTGCTGAATGCAAATCTTTTTTTTTTCTCGCATTGCTAAAGTATTTTTGGCCAGTGGATCATTTTTGTAAATTTGCATTGGTTTAATAAAACCTGTAAATATTTCCCCTTCTAAAAACACAGTATAGTTCTGGTTTATAAAATAATCTTGAATAGGGCTCGACTGATATGGGATTTTTAGGGCCAATAATAATATCTGAAAAAAATCTGATACCAATATATCGGCCGTTGACTTTCTTAAATCTAAGTTAAATCTGTAGAGAAAGGAATAGATATTCACATGTATTGTGTTGATCCCTCAAATGCAGATCAAACCCTTGTGGAAAAGATTTTGTTAGCGAGAACAAGATGTTGACCCGTACGTGAATCACGGCTTGACACTCTGGAGAGTGATAATGCTTGTTTTAATCCATATAGTGCCCTCTGCGGGTGAAAGAGAACTGCTAGTGTAATACAATACAACTCAAATGAAATGCTATTTGACTGGTGAATACGTCTGCGATACAATTAGCCAATATGATGGTATTGGATAAAGCTTATTGGCCGGTATTATCAGCTGGCCAATCAATCGGTCAGACTCTAATCTTAAGGGTACAGTGCTGGGTTAACTTCAACCCTTCCCTACAAACTTGGTCACCTTAACTTCCACTTGCAGCTACTTGAGGCCAACCTCGACCCAGTTTGATGTCCTGTTATCAGAGAGTGCATATAACGAACTCAGATTCTTTGGCTACCTGCTGTTTTATACAATACCTGTGTTTGCAAAATGCCTCTCCTGAATCCAAAATAAATCCAAAAAAAACGTTTTATTTCTCTTCACCAAACTGGCACTAAAATGATCTAAGGTTAGCAAAAGCTAGCTGTAGCTTCATGTGACTGCATCCAAATGGTCTGGAAGCATGAACATTATAGTCACGCCTCCATCCAATAGGTGCAATCTAACATGCAGAGTCAGAAAGCACTGCTTGACTACTGTACAGTTTTTTTTATTTGATTTATTGCGATAAAGTTAGACTTCGACCCTTCGCAATAAACATGGATAAGATCACAATTAAGTGCACAGCCCTATGTATAACATGAATATTTGTATATGTGTTTATATTGATGCACATCTGCTTTGAAGTAAATAATTAAAACATTTTAAAAAGAAGTTTCATTCCCCTTTGTCTGATCATATCTTCTGGCTTTATATAGAGTTAGCTTTTTACAGTTCATTTCTCAGGAAGGGAATTAGAGCAGTGGTATTGTAACATCTAGGACAGATTACAGAGGACTCTACCTCAACAGTCGGTTCCACTTTATTTCGTGGTATTTTGTCTCCACACTGAAGGATGTCTATGCTGTTGCAGGTTCTAAGTAAAGGAATTACTCTTTTGGATCTCACTGTGCATGAAGCACTCCCGAGGTTGTGGTGTCTGATTGCTGCGTCGCCTTGCTCATCCTGCCGCTCATCATGTCCTCCACCTCCTCCTCCTACTCCTCCTCGGGAGAGACTAGTCCGGAGGATCTACCCCGAGGTGGGGGCACTATCCGAGTCTACCTCCCAAACAAGCAGAGGACAGTGGTAAGATGTTTGGCTTTTTTAATCGACCTCACAGCAGCTCTTTATCAGGGATGAGTATGCTGTAACAAAGTGTATGTGTGATAGCTGAGTATTACATCTTCCATGCAGCACTGTGAGCAGTAAGTGAAGTTTCTCACACAGAATTTGACATCTTTCACAGTATATCAATGAGTAAGCTCTCCAACAGTTGGTGTCAGGTTTCACAGATGGTGCCCGACACTGTTTTTGGTTTGTTTGGCTTGTTGGTCTCATCAGACATCAAAGGCCTGTGTGCATATTCAGGGTTTTTCCTGGCGCAGAACAAGGCGGAGGTGTTAGCTTTCCTACCTCGTGCATGTGCAGATGCACCACACATACTGGCTCGACACTTTTCCAAGCAACATTAGGAAGGATAATGATTGAAGAAAGGACAAAGCTCACATGAAAACCTAGTTTATCATACAAACGAAAGGTCCCTATTCAAATTAAATCAATACAACATCAAAACTAATTCGTTCATTGCATCCGTTTGAGCAAATATGCTGAGTTAAATTAAACCTGGGGGGTCTTGGGTTCCTCTCCCTGCTAAGTATGAGCAGCAAACACTGTAATTCTTCTATTCTGGTGTTTTTTTGTGCACCAATTTTTTCATTTATTTGGAAAAATTAACCCAAATTATTTCAAGTAAAATTTGGTGGATGATGGATCACACTGTAGCAGGTTTATAGTTAACATTTTACATTCACATGAAGTCTGATGATGATCATGTGAGAGAGGCATTTACTTTTTTATCTCAGCTGTTTTCTCACCTCAAAGAATGATTAAGTCAGATTTTAACATCATTCACTTTCTACATTTTTACTGCAGATAGTAACTTTTTTTTGCAAGTTTCTCCACTTTCTCACACTATTTTATTCTGTTTAATATCAACGTTTTTCTTCTCTGGTTCCTCTAAAATATGTCTGCATTTCAAAGCTTTTTATTCAGATGCCACAACGATGTAACCAAGACGCTTGTATTCAAATTAATGTTTCATTGAGTAACTTGCCACTAACATAACATGACTCAGTTATTATGTATTGACATATTCCTCAGCGTATAGTCCTGGACGGTGACCTCACAGAAGCTGATGTAGCATTGCCTGACAAAGAGAGTACATTTAGCTCGTCCGCAGCTACTGGTCTCACTCCGTTTTTGTTCATTGCAGGTTGCACTAGCAAGTAGTAAAGTCAGCACACTTGTGTCCTTTAATGTCTTTTAATCTGGGTAGAGCAGCAAGGTATAGACCAGCAACCGATGCTTTTAGCAAGGAGCCTTCATCAGACATGTAAAAAAAATACATTGTACTTCCTGTATATAAGGGCCATTTAAACTTTCTGTCAACAACGCTGATGAAGGCTCTTTGCTGAAAAGCATCTGTTGCTGGTCTGAACGCTGCTGCTCAACTCAGATTAAAAACTTTAAAGGGCATCCAGTATGTTTTCATTTTTTGACTTTTTGTGGTCGTGCACCTGAAGAGTTGTTATTGTTTTAGTGTGCTCCTTTTTCTATTTTTTTAAACCAGCTCCCCCTAACTCTCCCAGCTGACAGAGGGACGAGAACAGAAGCCAGGACAAGTGACTAACACTGGCAGATGTCTGCTTGTGTCACTTACGTCATTTGCTATATTCACATTTTAGACTTGTTTTTTTATAGTGGCTCTGCTGTTTTAAACAAACACAACTGTTACTGCTCTTCTGAATTTAGAAATAATATATTCTCTAATGAGGTATCATTTCATAATGAACAAGACCTGGAAACAATATCCAGCGTTATGAGCGCTTAATATTTGTGAGCTATCTAGTTTGTTAATCGGCTGTAGTTGACTGATATCCCTCATGTGGTCTGAGCGATGTCGTGGTTATTAATGTGGCAGTATTTTAAAAACAATGTTTAGTACTCTGGACTTAGGTTCTGTCACAACACAGATAATCAGTTGGGTCAACAAAGCTCAATGTCAGCGGTCACTTTTACTTATCAGGACTTACAGTATGCCTCTGTGTTACATGAATGTACCGGGCCAATGATTGTCATTTCAATGTCACACTTGTTTAAATAAAGTTTTGTATTTTCAGGTGAATGTTCGCCAGGGACAAACTGTGCACGAGAGCTTAGATAAAGCCCTCAAAGTGAGAGGCCTAAGCCAGGAGTGCTGCGCTGTATTTCGCCTTCTTGAAGGGTAAGATTTATTAATATTATTGTTTTAAGATGACTGAATGACATCCCCTACAGTGTAGATATCATGCTTTGTATGACGTATTGTCTGCATGAAAGATGAAGATGTGGCAGTAAGTACCTGTCATGTCAGCACTGTATATTGTATGTTGAGTTTGTGAATACATACACTGCTCAAAATTATTAAATGGAACATGAAAATCACACATCAGATCTTTATGAACAAGTTATTGAAGTCGAAAATAAAAATTACTGATGTGCATTGTTTAATTTGTTGAGAACAAAATGATGTAACAACAGTCAATGGAAATCAAAATCATCAACCCATTGAGGGCTGGATTCAAAGTCACACTAATTAGTAAAAAATTGAAAACAGGCTGGATTTTATCACAGCAACTCATAATGAGACCCAGTCATGTGTACCTCCCCTACGTGCCAGTGTGCGCTCCCTACAACGTTTTGGCATGCCCCTGATGATTCGGCGGATGGTGTCCTGGGGTATGTCCTCCCAGACTTGGATCAGTCACCAGTGAGCGCCTTGACAGTCTGTGGCGGTACTTGGTACTTGGATGCACTGATTCATAACATCCCATAGGTGCATAATTGGATTGAGGGCCAGTCAATGGCATCAATGCCTTTGTCATCCAGGACGTGCCTTCATCAGGGTTCGGCAACCTTTGGCACCTGGGAGGTTAACCAATGGCACAGGTGTGCAACATCTCGTTCTTTTGGAATTATTGAAATGCCCTCTCATTTGCAGCCATTTACAGTAGTCTGATTGATTCTTCCTGACTGTCTTGAACGCATTCCGTGAAAACCCCCTGGCTACACACTTTGGCCACATTAGGCCGGGCATTGGTCTGCACCATGAAGAACCCAGGGCCATTGCATGGAGGTCTGTGCAACTCTTCAAGGATATGCTTCCCCAGACCATCACTGACCCATTGCCAGACTGGTCACGCTGGATAAGGTTGCATAACATTCTCCATGGCGTCTCCAGACTCTTTCACACCTGTCACATGTACCCAGATTGAACTTGCTCTCATCTGTGATAAGAACGGGATGACCTGCCAATTCTGGTGTGCATGTTTCTGACAGTTAGGTCAGAAACATGCACACCAGTAGCCGGCTGGAGGTCATTTTGTATGGCTCTGGCAAGGCTCCTCCAGTTGCTCTTTGCACAAAGAAGCAGCTACTGTTCCTGGGTCGAAGCCCTTCTTTGACCCTGTCCAGCTCTCCTTGTGTAATGTCAATCAAGTGCAATCCCAATCATGAAGACTTGGTCTGTACCAATCATGGAAAGTGTTCGGTTGCACTAAAAGTAAACGGGAGCGTATGGTGGCTGGGGTTCCTGTGTCTGTGTGCACATGTTGCTGTATTAACATGCCCCAACGGTGCTCTGTCATGCAGACAGCAGAGGAGCAGGAGAAAGAAGCTGAAGCTACACCAAACACGTCTAAAACTGCATTTTTTAAAATTATTTTATTATTATTATTTTATAAATGACTATACCGGTAATTGTAAAGATATTTACCCACGATGTCACTCAGGAGGGATGAGGAAAGAGAAATTGTCTGTGGCCACCACGTAAAAAACCTTTCGCTTTCTGGTGGTTGTCTTGCCTTCGCCTCTCCATTGCCCCTGTTGTCAGGTTTGTTTTGCACCAAAGCAGGTGAAATTTATTCACAATCACTTGTGCTTCACACACGGAGACATTTATATCTCTTAAGTTTATCTGACTCGGTGTTGTAATGTGAAATAGGGCTGCTCAATTATGGTAAAAATAACAATCAAGATTATTTTTGATTGTTATTGGCATCACAATTATCAAACACGATTACTCGTTGATTTTAAAACATCTGGATCACATGCATGCAAACACTTTACTTTAATACACAAGATAAAACCTAAAACAAATCAAGTGCAGCACTGTATGTGGCACAGTTATCGTTTAATCTCGATTACCTTAATTTTATGATCGTGGGAAGCCAAAATTGTAAATGAAATTGAAACTCGATTAATTCCCCAGACCTACTGTGACGATTCAGTGTTCCTTTAATTGTTTTGAGCAGTGTGTATATGCATGCTGTGCTGCCTGACGTACTGTCTGTATTACAGTGTTACAGAAATTAATCACATTCTGAATTGTGTTTTTTTGTACCATTCTTGCAAATGCACAAAACATAACTATTCACCCCAGTTGTGTTCTAAAACAACATCTGAACAAAACAAAGCTCGTTGTTTACAGTCTGCAGCCGTAGACATTCTGCAGAACTGAAATATTGCTGAAACAGACGCTTTGTAGATGTGTAAACAAGAAGTGAAAAGAAAAGGGCTCATGTCCACCAAGTCTTTTTTTTCTTAGCGCCAGTGTCTTTTTTTCAATTGTTTTCAATGATGAGAGAGCGTTCTCAGCAGAAAGAGGCTGTCTGGAGAAAAAGCGCAGCGTCTTTTCATACAAGTGATTTGCCTTTTTTGTGTGGCTCCTCCAAGCGCTCAAGTTGAAAATGTTTCAACTTTCCAGAAAGGCACTGTTGACCGCACCGGCGCTCTTTTCCTAATGTTTGATTTTTCCTGTATTTTTGCCGTCTACTGATCGTGTCTTGTACCCACATCGTCTTTGCTCCATGTCTGATCATGAAAGAAATGATCTGAAATATAAAAACATGCAGTAAAAGGTAACGGAGCTGTGTCAGTCATACAGCGGCCGTTGTCAACAGACTGTTGGAGACAGGAGGGACATGCAGCGCACAGCCAGCACTTTTCTGCCCGGAGATAGAATAAACAAGAAATTGTTTTTTCCTCTCATTTTCAAAAAATTATGAGTAAATCATGCAATATTTGCCTATATCGTCCAATAAGAACATTTCTTTATGACTATCTCAAGAAATCTTAAGTTACACATTATTCTTATTGGGGAATCACTTGAACAAAGTAATAACAGTCTAAAGTTTTGGAATTAACTGTTTTTTGAATGATAATGTGTAGAATATCTTTTCTCAAAAATGCTTTTCTCCTCTCTCGTCCTCACCAGCCGTAAGAGACTGACAGATTGGGACACAGACATCACTCCTCTGGTCGGAGAGGAGCTTTTAGTTGAGGTCTTAGATGATATTCCACTTACCATGCACAACTTTGTAAGTAACTGTCAAACACACAGCCTGGATGTCAACATGCTCATTTCTACATCTGAAATGTTTATTTTTACCTCTTTATCTGTACAGGTACGGAAAACCTTCTTCAAGCTGGCTTACTGTGATTTCTGCCACAAGTTTCTTTTTAACGGCTTCAGATGTCAGACATGTGGATATAAATTTCACCAGCACTGCAGTAGCAAGGTCCCTACTGTGTGTGTGGACATGGATACAGTGAGCAAACGGTGAGTAGAGGAAGACGGCAGCACTTTGCAGGGCATCACATTTATTTGCTGTCATTCCATGCCGGCCAGATTCAGCATTAGTTTTGTACATTGAGAGATTCCTTTAATGCACAATATTTCACCTCGAAGAACACTGCCTTACATCCTGCATCAAACACAACATGCCAGATTCTGTCTCGTCAGCTTTTATGAAGATGTTTCTGAACTTTGTGGACAGGCCATCTTAATTAACTTAAAACGTTGTTAACCAACCTCCTCTTTGCCTTAACTTAAAGCCCAGCCTGCAAAAGTCCTCAAACCACTGTGTTACTTTAAAGGTCACATATTCTCCTCCTTTTCAACCAGTTTAAATAAGTCTCAGTGCTGCCCAAAACATGTCTGTGAAGTTTCTTGTTCTAAATATATAATATATTTTAAACAGAAGGCTTTGTTTGGGATCATCCATTTACCAAGATACTTAAAGACTTAAACTATTTTTAACTCGACTCCTGGCACAACTACAACCAAAACTAGACTTTTTGCAGATTTTCCAATCACTTTTACCTGACAGTAACAAATTCCCAAATCATCCGCCAGTGTGTGATACTGACAAATCTAATTAAATAGTGCCACCATATATAAACATTTATTAAAACAAATTAAATCAAATGACAAATTTCTTCGATATAGGATATTTCAGGATGGAGTCTCGGTTTTTCTTGAATCATAGACAAGCCACAAAAAGACTCAAACACCAACAATTACATTCAGAATTATAATTATTTTCAGCTGTAGTCATTTGAGCCTGAGAGTATCAAGCAAACAAATGCTGAAGGAGAAGAGGCGGCTGCACGTGCACACACACAATGCGTCCACTTACCAGCTCGAAAGCCCATTTGACTTACCGCCACAGCCTGTCCACTATTTAATTTTTGTTTGTTTTTGTTGTTGTTTCTGTTTTCAAAATCACTCTTTAAGCTGGAATATTTAGGTAGGAAAAACTAAACACTGAGTGTAGAAAGAGAAACACTTTTTCCACTGTTTTTGGTGATGCAGGCTCTGCAGTGAAATCAGTGGGACAAACATGCTTACATTATCCATTAGGGAAGATTTTCAGATGTAGATGATAAACAATAATGACGTGTTACAGAACTTGTTGGTACATTTTAATTGTCCCCTCCCCTTCCCCCTCATGTTTGTCCAGGTGTGATTCCACTACCTGCACATATGAGTACCCACAGATTCTATTGCCAGATAACTCCCCTTCGCAGAGCAACCTAGCCTTAACCCCCGAGCCTTCTGGGTAAGCACATGTACTAAGAAAGTCATATCCAAACACATAGAGTAGGATACTTTTTTAGTGATGGTGGAATACAATCTTCACCAATTCTTGTACTCTCCTAGGATGGACCTCCTGTCCCCGACCTCGGCTTTCCACTTCCCCTTGCCGGCTGGAGACGGCCAGTCTCTACAAAGGCATCGCTCCACCTCCACACCTAATGTTCATATGGTTAGCACAGTGGGCCCTGCTGGCGTCAGCATCATAGAGGTCAGTGTTGCCTCATGGACCATGTTTTGATTGGGCCTGTTTGTTGTCAGGATTTAACTTGTATATCATATACAGTTATTTACACCGTTCATGCAGTGCATCAGACATGTCATCTTAATAAACTTGGGTTATGCTATATCTGCGTCCTTTCTTTCATAGAGAGGCTGTCTTCACATCTGTGCAGTTTATGAAAATGTTGGTCTCACTCATGAAAATCCATTGATTCAACACCTTTACTAACCTGTGTATGACATGAAATAAACACTTAAATGTTGTCTTTCCTCTACTTTTCAGGAAGCACTAAAAATGAACAACACAATAGGTATGTTTTTTAAAGTTTTAATAAACAATCTTTTTCTCTGTTTCATCATTTGTATGATATGTTTTTCTTATGTACAACCTTGTCCTGTCTCGCGGTTTTGCAGGTCCTGAGCCCTCGCCGAAGCCCTCCACCAGCCCACCGTCTCATCTGGGCTCTCCTGGTAGGAGACCTCCCAAGTCTCCCTCAGAGCACAAGGAGCGCAAGTCCTCCTCATCGGACGATAAAAAAAAAGTGGTATGAGGTCGTTGATCCTTAGACTGACGAATAGAGAGAGAAAAATCCTTTCTTAAATACTCATATTGTGAGTTAAATTAAATCCTCGATGTAAACATTTATTCCAGCACCGAGGGGGCTACAGAGACTCGAGTTACTACTGGGAGGTTCACTCGCGAGAAGTCAACATTCAGAAGAGAATAGGAGCTGGATCTTTTGGAACAGTCTTTAAGGGCAAGTGGCACGGAGACGTAGCGATTAAGATCCTTAAAGTCACTGAGCCGACACCCGAGCAGTTACAGGCTTTCAAAAATGAAATGCAGGTCTTAAGGTGAGAGTCATGGTCCCTTTTTTAACATACTTAAGAGTCTTTTCTGTTTCATAAAAACAAGGAAACATGTACTGGAGCATTTTATCTATCATGGAAAAATGTCTTAAAATAATATAAACTCTATGGATGCTACTTCATGGTACATGGATGTGTTGTTTGTGAATGGGCAAATGGAATATCTTATCCTGTTTCCATTCATGTTCTCTGCAGGAAGACCCGCCACGTCAACATCCTGCTGTTCATGGGCTACATGACTAAGCCCAACTTCGCCATCATCACGCAGTGGTGTGAAGGCAGCAGCCTGTATCGCCATCTGCATGTCACAGAAACCAAGTTTGACACTATGCGTCGCATCGATGTGGCCAGACAGACGGCACAGGGCATGGAGTGAGTTTCAGGGCCTTGATTTAATTTCATCTTTCACTTCTTAAAAGAGACTTTGTGGCTCACAAAAACAGCATTAATCACCACAGGACACAACCTTTTAGAGAGTTTTAAATTATCCTTTGGAAACGACACATTTATGTTCCATAATCTATAGGGATGTATAACGATTCACTCAACTCACGATACTGGGTTCACGCTACTCCATTTTCTGAGCGCACCTGAATGCATCTCTCATTGTCTGAGCACACCTGAATGCAGCATGGTCACAGCTCATCTCCTGAGTAACGGTAGAGAGAGACATACCCAGAAAAGTCCGAAGTCAACTCAGCCGACTACTTTATTTTCTGATGCTTCTTACGGACTTTTTATTATTGCGTGTGTCCGTGAGACACAACCACACACACCCAGGCCTCGGCTGGTGACAGTGTGTGTGTGCGCGTGCGTGTGTGCGCGTGCGTGCGTGCGTGCGTGCGCATGGGGGGGAAACTCCGCCGTGCCTAAACTAATGTCTATGAATGGATGAGTTACTTCTGATGGACACTTTACATAGCAGCGTCTACCATCAGGGTGTGAATGTGTCACCATTCAAATAAACCTCAACGTCTTATTTCTGTTGGTGATGACACATGCATCCAGTAGTCAATCTTCAGCAACAGACAGCAGCCATCTCTATCCATTATTACAATACAGTGGTCGACTATCTTACACTCTGACAGGGTTTCATGTTTATACTGAAAAGGATTTTAACATGACTGCATGAAATCCAGACCTGGTGCTTCAGGTGTGTCTGTGGTCCAGAGTGTTAGGGTTGTTAAACAAGTTGTTGAACTGGTCTTCATAAGATAATACCAAACAGCGCAGTTAAACCTCTTGCAAAAAAGCTCCTCTGAGAAAGCGAAATGACTGATACTGCGGCTTATTATTAATCTTTTGATTTTCTCTTTTCTTCTCTTTTAGTTATCTTCATGCAAAGAACATCATCCACCGAGATCTGAAGTCAAACAGTATCCTTGTATTGCTCAGTTAAAACTTTGTATACCTGTGTAGGTATGAAGGCTACGATGGCTGTGAACTTACCTGAAAACTATGAGAATTTGGGACATAATTATCTATAGATAGAAAATGTTAAACCACTAATACAGTTAAGAAAATAGTCAAAATACTGGAACTGAAATATTGTCGTTGGTTTTTTCAATGTGCTTTAACATACCTTGGCTTTAAAATGAACATCTGAATTGAATGAACATGTCTTCAAGGTAGGTATCATGTTTCCTTTAATCGGGGACATTGTAGCAGGACAGTGATCTTAAAGAAGTAAGAGTAGGTAGTCTTGATCTTTTTTATGAAATCACATTTCAGTGTTCATGTTGCTCCCTTCACCCCTCAATCCTCATAGCTTCTTGTGTGATGAATTTGTACCCCGGTCCTCTGTTTATACATCCTGAGCTCTGCTGCTAGATATTTTTCTCCACGAGGGCTGGACTGTCAAGATCGGTGACTTTGGCTTGGCCACAGTGAAGTCTCGATGGAGCGGCTCTCAACAGGTTGAACAACCCAGTGGATCCATTCTGTGGATGGTAAGTCTCTTTATACCAAATACTTTAATGAATAGCTTTTAAATCCTGAAAAAATTCTAGAGAATTTCAGGAGGACTGCCCCTGAAATCCTCCTGATGTGGTTGTTCATGTATGCGTCTCGTGAGGCAACACATGACATAAAAAGAACAACATGGAAGTGGCAGATGAAGCAACAGAGTCCACTATATAACGCTATTATGAGAATATTTTCCTTTATATCAATGTGACTTGTAGTTCAACAGAATAGCAATATCAACAGAGAGTAGAAAAGAACATACTGGAGAACAGGAAACTTAATACCCTGCTGTGTTTTTACATCAGCTCGCTTTCTGATGAAAATATACCAGGGGGCTGGCAGGAGAAAATTCGGGAAAAGTCACAATTAAAAATTCTGCCGTTCACACATGTATCCCACCCTGAAAACTTTAGGAGTTTTGTGCAAGTGTGAACCAGGCTTAAGATATATCACTAGAGTGAGTGACTTTTCTGGAACTATAACAAGGACTGAAATACGAGACAAACATTTTGAACTGAAACTAAAGAAAGCTTTTACCAGGATAATGATGATCATCATCCACCCATACTTAGCTGACATCATTTTGATAAATATTCTACATCTCCTTACTGTGAATTGATAGGGTCACAGTTTAATTGAAATCCACTGAGTGGATGATGAGGAAAGCTAAATACTGTATCATCATTATCCAGACTAAAGCTTTTTTTTCAATCTATGTTTCAGTTATAAGATTTTTATTCTAGCATCTTGTAGGAGTTTGGGAATATTTTGACCTATAAAATGGAGATAAAGTTGTATGTAGGCCATACAGTTAGCCACACTCTGCACACTTACTTTTAGACTTTTAGTTTAAATTTCCATTTAAACAATAAGGAAGGAAACTAGCTGCTCAGGAACATCACTAGTAGAAACAATATGACTGAACGTAATAGTGAGAAGGGGTCAAAATGTATTCAGCTGGGTCAGATGTTACGATCAGGTAAACGCTTGACTGACAAACATTGAATCCAATCATCCTTCAGCATGGTTTAGGGCAACTTTGCCTCATGTGAGTGCGCCCTAATTTAATGCAATTTTTGAAGGTCATTACACTCATTGTCTTTTTGATTCATTTTTATTTTCCTAAGGCACCTGAGGTGATCCGAATGCAGGACACAAACCCCTATACATTCCAGTCTGATGTATACGGCTACGGAGTGGTGCTGTTTGAGCTGATGTCAGGGACCCTGCCTTACTGCAATATCAACAACAGAGACCAGGTTAGTCACGTGGTCATGCTCTCCTGTAACACTAACACATTACTTCAACTTATAATGTGGAAATACAACTTAACCACATGTTCATGTTCCGCTCAACAAAAAGCAGTAGATGGTATTCAATACAACTCTGAAATGGAGGTAGTTATACACACACAGCAGTAAAAGTATTATCAATAATACAGAATATTTTATTAATATAATAGAGCTACTGTAAGCTGTATCTAGGGCACACCTACTAATAGAAGGACTTTTTGTTTTCCACATTTTGTTATAATAGTAGATATTAAAACGTTTCATTTTTGTTTTGGAAAGATTTGCATACATACCAAGGCATTAGGGATGGTATTGATTAATGGTTAATCGATTAATCACCGTTAATAATTTAACCGATTTAAAAATGTATTAAAAGACGATCTGTTTGTAATTTTACTGACAGTCACATGTAATACCATTTTATACCAAGAGAGGGCGTCCGTCAGATTTACAACTCCCTTTATCACTATTAAAGGAAGAAGTCGTACTAGGAAAAGTGAGGCTAAAATGAAGCGGTCAGCAGAGAGAGTGTTTTCTGCAGCTTGACTTTTTGTGAACAGACTGCACACGACTCAGCCCTGATCACTTACATGTGTTCTTCCGTCTAAATAACACAACACTGTTTTTTCAATATCTATAGCGCTGACAGATTCAGTAACTGTCTCCTTGTTTTCGTTCTCAGATAATCTTTATGGTTGGACGCGGTTACTTGTCTCCAGACCTCAGCAAGCTGTCTAGTACCTCACCCAAGTCAATGAAAAGGCTCATCGTCGACTGCTTGAAGTTCAAACGGGACGAGAGGCCGCTGTTTCCACAGGTGAGTGCTTTAAAAGTAATGCATCTCCATATTTAGCTCAAGCTCAACAGGGAACACATTCCCTGCATCGTCTCACCTCTGTGAGTCCATGACCACGCTGTCACGAGTCAAGTGTTACTACTACAGTATTATAGAACCTTTGTGAAGGAGAGGATATCGGTGAGTGTACCTGAAGTCTGCAAAGTTTAGTGTTTACTTACAGAATGAGACGTGAGATGACGTAGTTTCTACACAATGTAAGATATGAGCTGAGGTCCGCTTCTGGAGCAACAGCGCACGTGCATGTAAGAGAGGGGGCGTGGCTTTAGAGGGAGCACAGAGGGGAGGGGGTGCAGACGGAGCACTGAGGGAATGCCACTTTCAAAATCATGCTAGTTTTGAAAATAACCAATCCTGCCTTAAATGTTGTGTAGATGCTCAAAACAAATGTATGTCTGCCATGTTCTTTTGTCTAAATGCAGATAATGTCCATAAAAAGCATTAGCACTGTCATCACATGCACATATGGAGTTGTTGGAAAAGAGCAGTCACATTTAAAATGTAGCAGGTGGCTTGAGAGTGATTGCTATCTTTCTACAAACACCATAATGAATTCTCACTTTGACGTTTTTCCTCTCTATCTGGTATTCCTTCTTCAGATCTTGGTAGCCATCGAGCAGGTGCAAGATCTGCTGCCAAAAATTGAGCGGAGTCGCTCGGAGCCGTCGCTCCATCGGGCCGTCCATGCTGAGGATCTGAACCCCCTCCTGTTCCACACCACCAGGCTAATGCCCCTCTAGGCTCACCACAGCACTGGGCAGAGAAGGCCATCAACCTGTCCGCAACTTCAGCATTCCAGTGCCTCAGAGAGGCCACAGGCTGACTGTCCTGACAGACCACGAACCCCCAAACTCACCTTCCACCACTGCAAAGCCCCGGAGCTGCAGCACTCAATGTAAAACACAGTAACTGCAGAAATATTATAACCACATGTTGAGTCTTAAAGTGTGTCGTCTTTCCCGTCAAACAAGTGACAAAGGTCTGCTTATTAGGTGATATAACTGTCTTGTGAATCTCAAAGTGAGACAGAATGCTTGTTGCCAGTCCACTAGAGAAAACTCATCAAACTGCTCGGGTCGCTTTACTAACGTTTTTTAATATATTAGATTATTCGGATTGCGCTGACGCCGCAAAATGGTGTTGAACCATGATCATTAGTAAAACAGTCCTTCTTATACATCTTATGGGGCACTTTAATCGTAGCCAAAGATTTGAATCAGTTCACGACCACAATCATCGTATGTCAAACGCTCACTTGTCATGTCTGTTGCCATTTGAATGGAACCCGAGATTTAAAGATCGTGATTGGAAACCAACCTTAGTGCCAAGTTTGAGGTGGAAAATATTTCACATGCAACCGATCTGACCGTAGCAACATGAGAAAATTGAAGCCCTGCATAGTTTGGTCAACTATGCATAACTCTTAAAGCAGAGGTTAACAATTACGCCTGATGTTACTTGTGCATTGAATCAGAACAGAGTTCTGTTGTGAGCCGCGCAGGTTCTATGTGATGGGTGTGGACTCCTATCTGCTACTTGAAGAACTACAAAAATGGTTGACTCAGTGTTAGCCTAATCATGCAGGACCTTATTGATGTCTACTAGTATTGCGACCGAAAATATGAATACGCTTTACACCTACAGACATTGTAAACACTTTGAGAGAAGCTGTTTTAATTTTCTTCTTTCTCTGCTGAGTTTTAAACTGTATGAATTAGGAACAAGACAACAACAGATCTGACTCAGCTGGTCAAACTCTTCAAAGTAAAGTACCACATCAACAGAGAGTCAGGACCCCTCTGAAGAGGATAAAACGTTAAAATGAAACGCATGTTATGTTTTTTAACTTGTTCCACTGGGACTCAGCTCGGATTATAAATATGCAGTTTGTTCTGGATTTCATGATGATTTCAAATCTTTGCAGGTTCTGAGACAAACCCCTTCAAACATCACATCATACTTTTCAAAATAACAAAATGTTGGTACACATAAAAAACCTGTTTGAAGAGAGAGCTGAGGTTAAGGTCCCTTCTTTAAGTCCCTATACTGAACACAAATATTAAACCAACACTTACTTCCCTGTTTTATAAGTTTAAATTAATACAACAAGACTTTTTCTGTTCACGAGAGAGAATAAATCTAAATTGTTGAAATCCATGGTAAGCAATTCGGCTTTGCATGTAGTCCCTCCACTCGTTACATGTAACCTTCTAATGATTTCACATCCCTCTACAAAATACACACAACAAATGCTCCAGATGTTGCAGATTTCCAGGAGCGTGCAGTAGACGGGCTGACTGCAGCGACGTCTCTAATAATTCAAACCCAGGATCCCCATATCAGGCATCTTCACCTGCAAGATTGGCTGAGGCAGTGTTCTGTCTGATAAAAGAGAACATTTCAAATAGTCTCCCTTTTTATTAACCCGTCAAAGACCCCAATGTGTTACAACTGTTGTCAACTAGGCTTACTAAAACGGACACAAACAATTAGGAACAATAGTTTTTGAGAGAAATGAAAACGATCTCCATTTTTTTGTCGTTATCAAAAGATTCTGACATCATGTCAGCTCAAACACATCAACATGTGCAGCTCATTGAAGGACAGATTTATTTTCAGTCATCTGTTTCTCGTCACAGTTTTAACGAGGACATCATCAGACTGCAGGTGTGAAGATTTGACCTGCATTGTTTTCTCTAATAATATGTATCCTCGAGAGAAATGAACAGAATTTAGTGAATAGAAGTCTTAATGTCAAAGTGACTGCTGCTTCATACACACAGGAGCACACAGCTTCAGGTCACTCGCACTCGAGTCTTAAAAGTGAATTCAAACGCTGCGACACAGTCACATGCAAACATGCACACTCAAACTACACGCATTCAGTATCAGACCAGGACGACTGCAAACAACAAGTTCCTGCTCCTTTTTAAACGACAAAACTGACAGAAGAGTTCAGAAATCAATATTTAGTGGAATAACTCTGATGTCACTAGTCTCACTTTGCTGTTGGGTTATGCAACTCTAGGCGCAAAAAGTCCAGCAGCTAGTGCGTAAAATGACAGTGTTAGTCTTCACTCTGCTTCCAATATCCCATCATGAGTTTTCAGATTCAGTCGTACTTTTAGTGTATCGTACCTACAGGCTGGGTAAAAGTGTCACACATTGAAGATCCTCCTGAAACTAAATCAGTCGTTACCGCGCCATGAGAAGGACATGCGTATTGAAAGACGTACTTCTGTTACGGCCTCCTAAACAAGAAAATAATTAAACCAAGGCTCAGAAGCTGGAGACGGAAACGTACAAGGACGCCACACAGAATTAAGTTTAACCCTGAGCTGTTTTAACCATTAAAAAAAAAAAAAATCAATAAGAAAGAAAAGGCAGACCCCCGCCAAAAAGAACAAACACAATCGGCCGTCGCTGATCAAACTAACTCCCAGCGTGAGCAGCAGCCACATGCTGTGTTCTCATAGCGCAGCATGGAGAAGCCTGGCGGACAGCTGGGACGCTGAGACAAAGGAGTTCACACGGTGCGAGATAATAAGATGATTGTGGTGCACCTCCCCCTAAGACTAAGAAAAGAGAAGACCAGAAATAGGACTAGTGGTGGTCTCCAGCCCAAACTAACGTGACAAAGCCGAGCAGTCTAAACATGCCTACTACTCACCTTGATGTTGTAAATCATCTTCTGGAACAGTAAAGATCATCCACACTTCTGGGACATCAGAGGAAATCCAGGGATTAGATTAGCAGCAAACTGGGCTCGCAGACCGTGAAGCCGCACCGCAGAAACGCTGATATCGAACATTTAACTGCTTCATTCTGCGTTCCCACTGGAAACCAGTACCAGTCCTGTTCAGAGATTAGACTGTAGACACACACACACACACACACACACACACACACACACACACACACACACACACACACACACACACACACACACACACACACACACACACACACACACACACACACAAAGGCTTTTCTTCTGGCCGGACTGCTGAGTGTAAAGAGTTACTGAGAGGGGAAAAGAATATTCAAATAGCTCGACTCGTTCAGGGTTTCTCAGCAGAGACGTTCACCTTTTTTCAACATTTCAAAACCCACTCTCGTGTGTGTGTGAGGACTTCTTTTCCTGGATTGAAAATGAAACTTTGAGGGAACTGTTTTGTGTAATGCACTTGTCAAATACAGAACACACTGCAGTCGGGGAGGGGGGGGGGATCTGTATTTATTCATGTGGTTTTTTTCAGTGTCTCACTTTGAGTTAGTGGACTATCAGCAGCTGTGAAGGGGCTGCTTCAAGATGTGGTTGGTGGTCTGATTACCAGCCTTGCTTCTCTGTATCTCGTCTGTGATGCAATGGAGCGTAAAGGCATAACAGATCTTAACGTCTGCATCGTGATTAACTGCAGATCTTGATGCTAGAAATCTTGATAATTTATGTTGTGAAACTAGGGGCTGGGTACCCTAACTTGTTCTTACTCATTCCAGTGACGTGGTTTGACTGTGGTCAGGCGGGTGTCGGTGACAAACGGGGGGTCGGGGGGTCGGGTGGGGGATGTATTCCTGTCACTTTTTTATTTATTGACGTTCATTGCGGATATATTCTGGTCTGCGACTGCGGATTCTTTTTGGAGGTGGATTTAATGTTTACTGAGAGGACGTCGTCACGGCTCTCTCTCTCTAACAGGAATGTTTGTTCTAGGCGCGGTACTGTCCACTCCTCTGAATGACTCTCCGTCTGATACCGTCTCCTGTCGGGGGCATTTGTTAGGACTCTTCCTGTGAAACATCCCGAGCTCCAACTTGTTATCAGGCAACATTTTTTGTTCACTGGGTTTCACTACGATAGCATTTATTAATAGCAACACGTCAGAATACTGTAAAGTAATCTACTTCTTCTTCGATGGTGTGCTTTTTAAAAAGTAAGCGTGTCCTGTGATTGTTTCCGAAATGTTTTCTAAATGAGCTGCTTTTTATAACTTTCTCAGCAATAGCAAAGGACAGAATGTCTATTTTTTTGAATTTCCATAATGCAAAAAAAATAAAATAAATCAGGAGTGCTTTATTCTGAAGTTGCACCAGCTTTTTGTAAACTCAGTGTAATAAGTACGTCGCCCACTCACTACAGTGGAGGACTCTTTTTATTTCCCCCACTCAGAGAGGAACATTGAATCATTTCGGTTATGTGTTAGCGTTGTGTCCCCCAAAGAGGACTGTGTTTCTCTAGAATCTTACCAGAGGAGGAGACAAAGTGCCACAGTTACTGAAAGCCCCGCAGTGCTGTCTGCAGCACAAGGGGAAAGCAGACTGCTGGGTCCATAGAAGAAGAAGAGATCTGTATCAGAGTAGTTTTTTTTTTTTTGTCTTTCATATCTCTAGGTGAATTGCAATACTTGTGTGTATAGTTTCTGAGGTGTCAGGGGGTGTTCAGTTTGCAATAAATGGTATATTCTGCTGTGTACAGTTACATTTTTTTAAATTACAAAAAAAAATTGTACTTGTTTCTATTTTTTGTGTGATGGTTTCGAAAAGAACAAAATTATTTTAAAGTGTAAAGGAAATCTTAGTATTTTTTTAGTTTGTTGTTTTTTTTTTGTCTTAAAATATTGATGCAGGATTTATTCTTTAAATAAATGAATTCATATGTGTAACTGGCCTGGTGGTTTTCTTCACAGCCTGATTTCTGTCGAGCAGACCGCAAAGAAAACGTGTTTCACACTTTGTGTCGTCACAGGTCGTCTTTATCTGAATCACTTCTTCAAACAGTTCATAACAGTCAGACAGGTCTCTAAAAATGAAAAACACTGCGTCCCACCTCTTAGATAAAACAATTCAGAGAAACATGAGTGACACTCTGCTTTAAGAGGAACGGAACTGATGGTTGAAAATGATGAAAAGAGGAAGTGGTCACATTTACAGCCCCACCACAGATCACTCCCCTAGTGACGGGAAGCATGAAGGTCTGACAACAAAATGGAGGATACGACAAAATCATATATACATAGAACAGTAAAAACACTGAACTCACTGGTACCTGACCTTTTTAGATTCGTGACCTTTGACTTCACACAAGTTTGGCGACCCCAGACATCCAAAACACATAAACAGCTGTTTGGTTAAATTTGTTTTCAATCATGTAATAATTTTTTTTAGTCAGAGCACATTTTGTCTTTTTCATGTTTATTATTGTGGACATAGGAAGAGAGGCTGCGAGGATGTTTCTGCACAGACAGACTCTGCAGGTTTCTGGTTTTGGCATTGACTACTGACCTCAGTAGCCTTTGTTCAATATATTTTATTATACAATATATTTATTATTGATCAATACATACACATTTCAGGGCCCCCATTTGAATTCCAAGTGAAAGAAGCAAATTTCATTTACCCGTCTTACTGTAATTGAGTCGTTTTTTGTGGACTTTTTAAGTGGTTTATAAAACCTGTAATTTTACTTGAACTTAAGTAGGTTTTGTTATAAGTATTGTACTTCGCTACATTTTAAATCACATCTGTTACTGAGTTTAAAAAAAAAAGAGACACATACCTCCGTAAGGGTATTAAATGTCATGCATCAACATTTTTTTATTTTGCTGTTATGTAATTTGTACAGATTTGCCTTAAATTAAAAACAACTTTTTATTAAAAAAAGATACTTTTGGGCCTTTTTGCCTTTATTGGACAGGACAGCTTAAAAGAGAGGAAATGCAAAGGGCCGAGGTCGGATTCTAACCCACGGCTGCTGCGCTGAGGACTAGAGCCTCCTTACATGGCAACACATACCTATACATTATACATACGTCATGACCGCTAGGCCATCGGGGCCCCAATTAAAAAACAACTTTGAGATTTAAAATCACTTTTATATGATTATTAATTTCATAACATGTTGAATTTTAAAACTGCTTTCATTTCTCACTGCACAGACCTCAAAGGTGTCGTGTTTATATTCAACCCTTGAAAAGCACGAAATGGTGTTCTGGAACATTTACATTTATTTCTAAATATGAGGTCATCACATAAAAAGAAGTTAACTCTAACTCAACATGTACACAGAGAAATCATCTTTGGATATTCAATCGGCTCATTCAGAAACAAAGCCTTTTCCAGTCTTACACACAGGATTCTGTACAGCAGGGAAATGTACAAGGTGAACTCTGAAACACGAGTTAGAACAGATGTCGAGACGGAGAATTCAGATTTATAACTTGTAGCCCAGTCCAGATCTACTGATGTGGCAGAACAGCGTCATGGCGAAACACATCCCCAAGACCTGTCAACAAACCAGATTAAAAAAAGAGTGAGTGAAAAAAAGATTTATCTTAGTTTGTTTTCTTTTGTTAGTTAGATTAGAAAACTTTATTAAAACGTTATTCATCTCCAGCAGGGGAAACTCATTTTACCACCTGAGGTCCATTCATACGCACAACGAACATGATCAACAATAAAATCACGATACACAATAAGTAAATAAATATCAAACACCGTTCAAACCTTTTGAGACGTTTTTTAATCTGAACCCTTTTTTTAAAGTCTGACTCTTCTGCACTTTGCTGCTTTTATATTTTTCCAGCCTTCTTTCATTTAAACCCTTTTTGTCTTCATTTCTGTTTTTACTACCTGCGATGTGATGCAGTCTTCTTTTATTTTATATTATTGCCTTTAGCTTGTTGACCTTTTTTTGTTTGTTTGTTTTTTCTTTAATTATATAGCTTTATAGTCCTCACTGGCTTTTGAGATGGGCCTGTTGTATATTGTCTTATTTTCTTATATCTTGTTTGCATTTCTGTGAGTCTGGGGTAATGCCGATCACAGATCCAGCCCTCTGGATCAGCTTATTGATCCTGTATTTATCATTCACACACGGCTGGCTGTGTCACTCAGGATCTATTTGGGGTTAAACGGCTTGCCTGAGGACACTTGGGCGCCAGAAGTTCAGTCAGTAGGGACTTGGGTTGGGAACCGGAGGGGTGGTCGGTTCAAGTCCCGGTGCGGACCAAATTACGGAAGTTGACCCAAAACAGCTCTGGTGGGCTTGTAGCAGTCTCACTCTGACATCTCTCCACTAATGGACATCCACAGCTCCTGTTTGTGAATGTGTGTGATTCAGGGTCTATGTGTGTGTGAAACATGAAGCTCAATAACAGAGGGTAAACCAGAATTTCCTCTCAGGGATTGATAAAGTATTTTAAAAAACAAAAACAAAAAAAAACTTCAACATGTGGAGTGCAGGAGCTGGAATCAAACTGCCAATCTTTCGATTGAGAGACGAGACGACTGACTCTCCCGCTGAGCCACAGCCGCCTCAGCACAGGTAACCTCATGAGCCGGGGATCCGGCCTGAAGATTTCTGCCTTTTAATAAGGACGTTTTTTCTTACCACTGTAACTTTTGCTGCTTTGCTAAAGTGCTCATGATAGATAGGCCGGATCTTTGTAATATAGCAATAAGTAAGGTCTTCTACCTGCTTTTTGTAAAGTGTCTCGAGATAACACTTGTTATGAGTTGACGCTATACAAATAAAAATTGATTGAAAAAAAGCCCTTCTAGGAGACAGCACAAGAAAAATGTAACCACCATCAGTTTACCTCAACAACACAGAGCACGATGACAGAAATCCCAGTAGTTAGGAAATTATCCTCAAAGAAAGTCTTCATCTTTGCCAGACAGCCCTGCGGACAGAGAGCATATCTGTGAGATCACGTCACCAACATTAAGATGAAGTCATAAGACGTGACCTCTACAGTCACAGGGGTTATATTTGTTTACTTCCTTGTACGGAGGCCTTGGGATGTCACACTTGTCCTTGCAGCAAGATGACGGCACACTGTCTCCCCAATCAGTCACGTTCTTTACTCCACAGCAATCAAACTAAAATGAATCATATCAAAAAAACTCTTTCAAAAACAGACAGAGGTCACTTAGTTGCCGTTGACATTTATAGTCATGTGTGTTGAGCTGTCGTTTTCTCTGATATACTCACATTATTGTGAAGTAGATCCCACACGCTCATCCCATCGGTTGAATTTATCATCTTTCCTTTTTCCTCCTTCAGGCCTTTCTTAAGGTCTTCTTCCACCCAGGTGCCAAGCTAGATAGCAAGAATTATTCACTTTTTATTTTGATTGGTTGTGTGTGTGTGTGTGTGTGTGTGTGTGTGTGTGTGTGTGTGTGTGTGTGTGTGTGTGTGTGTGTGTGTGTGTGTGTGTGACCTTAATTAGCAGGTTTCAAAGTGTGACCCTACCTCTTTCTCAAACATCAGGAGCAAGCACGCTACAGTCAGCTCCACCAGCATCAGCAGGAACAGCACCAGGAAAAACTGTACCAAATGACACAAGAGTCCCATTAAAACATACAGTATGACAGAAATTAACTAAATAAACACTTCAGGATGATTTCAACAGGCGTCTAGTTTTTAGATTATTTTCATAGGTTATAACACTGTATTCAGGTATTATTAACCTGCAACCCTGCCTCCTCATATAGGGGTTTTAAAGTTCACATATTATCCTCCTTTTCAACCAGTGTAAATAAGTCTCAGAGCTCCAAATCCACTCTGATCCTGTATTTGATCATGTCTATAAACCCCTCTATCAGCCCTGCTCAGAACAGGCTGTTTCTGTGTCTGTACCTTTAAATATGTAAATGAGGGCTTGGGTGTACTCAGGCTTTCTCGCTACATGTCCTATTGTTTACGGTGAGAAGGCAGACTCAGAGGGCAGAACAAACACCTATCTGTGGGAGTGTCACCCATCTGGGGGAGGGGTTACTGCCCTTTGTGATGTCACAAAGGTAAAATCTCCAAACGGCCTGTTTGAGCACACATTTTCTGAAAAGTAGAGCAGGCAAAAGACAGAGAGGATGGACTTTTCTCTTAGTTTGGGGGTTTGTAGACAGAGTTAAGGACACATACTAGAAAAACATGGTGACGTGTATTTTGCATAATATGTGACCTTTAAGCATTTGGCACACCTTTCACCATCCACTGTATCAATCATGGACGTAGGCTCAGTATTGTCACCCATATCTGAAGAGGCGTTAGGAAGCCAAAGAGGGTAGTTGCATCTTTTTACATTATATTGTTTTATCACTCTTCAGCACACACATTTCTTTTCTACATTTCTCTGTCAAAGGAACGACTACAAGCTGAATGCTGAAAAATCATGGTTTGTGATTAAAACTCATCATTTATACCGTTTATGTTTATTGTTCTAGTGGTTGTGGAGTAAAGATTACTTTTAAAACTAGCAAAACAAACTGTAAATAAATAATGATGTAGAGTTTGAATAACTGATATATACTGTATGAGTCCTGAAAAAGGTCAAATTTAGCTGTGTGTGTGTGTGCGTGTGCGTATGGCATACCGTCAGCAGGAGACAGCGGTTCTCCTTCAGAGCACCCAGGAATCCCAGGAAGGACAAACAGGTGATGACGATGCCGCTGATCACCAGCAAGTTGGCTAAGTTGTATTTGGCCAAGGTCGGCGTGAGCACGCTCATGTACACCATCATGTACACGCCGAAACACAGCACAGCCACACCACACACCTGAGAAAAGACACTGCAGTCAGAAACATGCTCTTCTTGGTGTAATGTCCTATATTTACTCATTCATTTGTTCTTCAGGTGAAGATATATAGTGTACTTTTTTTTCACCCGTCACAACAATGACACAGCGACAGTCAGTTATAAGATGAAAGGTGGATTGATCAGATACAATGTGTTGTGAGACCCTCACCCTTTCTGACAGAAAAGCCTCTAAAAAATGAAATTCAGTTATAAAGTCAGTTATAATTATGGCTATATCATAATTTAGTTTACTAAGCTGAGCTGCACTACACTTTCTGACAACTGTAGGAAAGTCTGGGAAATATGTTTTTACTGTAGTGCTAAATAGTTTCACAAGGTGGTGCCTTCCTCTGTTTTGTCAGGCCCTAAAACAGGTGCTGCTTGTCAACAGGCACGGCAGGCAACTGCTTAGGGATCACAAACTTTAACCAAAGCAGTGGCCCAAGATGTGCAGATTTTGCAATGACAGTAGGAAACCTCCCTAAGGTGGCCCCATTTGATAGGACTCACTTTCGTTGCCCAACAAAGAAAAAGGAAACATTAAAAAAGAGGAAGAGGAGTAAGTGTTGGGACACTGGCAGGCATTAATGGTGATGAACGCTGGATGGAGAGCCCCCCAATTGGTGCCCCAAGAGACTCTAGAATGGCCACTGTCAGGAACTTAACCACAAGACACAAGGAACCTTTGGAGGATCTCAGTGCTTTTCTACTGCAGGTACCAAGGTGTGAATCAAGCTCAGATTAATTTACCCCCCCCCCCCCCCCTCAAAAAGAAGTTGCGTCTACAACTCCAAATGTACAGAAACCTTGAGGCTCGGGCCTACGTCACTTTTTATTTTGATTGGTTGAATCATCTCAGCAATTAATCCCAGCCACCACTTAAAAATGTGCAGCTGCAAGGCAGTACGTAATTACTTATTTTTTAATCATGCTATAAGAAAAATGTACATTAACACATCAGTGGAGGTGAAGAAGACATCGAAGGTAGATTGGCTGACGACAAACACAGGCAATTTTTAGCTTTTAAATTGAGGAAGAAATACAGCTGACTTCAAAATATGACCCGCAATAGAACCAAAAAATGTGGTGTCACTGTATAGGGACTAACAGTTTTACAGTTTCAAAAATGCCTGAAATAAGAGGCTGAAATAAGAAATTGGTTCTCTCTGTAGACTTGAGTTTGGGTCTAAAAGTTGCACGTACTTTTTAGATAAGTGTCTTTAGACAACACACTCTTCAATGACCTCTGATGGGTGTTTCCAGGGAAACCATACTTACAAAACAAAGGAAGTTGGCAAGACACATGGTGTACTTTAAACACTTGAGGCAGCGTTGAGCCATTCTGTAACGCCTCTGTTCAGACCTGCAACAAGAAACAAGCAAATAAAAGATTATCAAACTTCATTGTTTATCTGATCTTCACTTAAAAGCAGCATACATAACAATACTTATTTACATTGTCAGGACTTCTTGTTCACATTGTTGAGACTTTTTTACTGTTGTTTGGACTTTTTGTTAACATTGTTGGGACTTTTTGATCTTATAGTCATTGGGATTTTTTCCCATTGTTGGGACTTCTTGTTCATATTATTGGTAATTCTTGTTCCCATTGTCGGGAGGTGTTGTTCATGTTTTTGGGACCTTTTGTACCGGTTTTCCGGACTGTACGTGCACATTGTCCCACAACTAACAACAGCTCAGCGCTCCCAGGATTTAAATGTGAGGAGTTTACTGGCTACTTCAAGGATAAAATAGTTGACATTAGGGCCTGGTATTTGCCAGCAAAGCAAAGCACACCACACTTTCTCCAGTATCATGTACAAACAAAGATGTCAAGTTGGAACATTTCGCCCTGGTTGATGCTGCAACACTCAGGAAAGTGGTAACAGAACTAAAACCATTCACTTGTTCCCTTGTTCCCATTCCAACATTCCTTTTTAAAACCATTTTAAATTCAGTATCAGAAGATGTCCTCAACATAGTTAATCACTCCTTACAGCTAGGTGTCGTCCCTACTGATTTTAAGACTACTTAAGTGTAAAACCTGTTTTAAAAAAAGGGAGCCTGGATATTTTAACACCCAGTCATTTTAAACCCATCTCAAACCTGCCATTTTTAGAGAAGTTCGTTTTTAATCAGCTGAGTGCCTTTTTAAACTTAAACACTACATTAAGAAATGTTTCAATCTGGTTTTAATGCATGCCACAGCACTGAGACGGCCCTGGTAAAAGTAGTTAATGATGTCAGAAGAAACTTAGACAACAACAAGCCTTTGGTTCTGTTGCTACTTGACGTGAGTGTTGCTTTCGATACTGTTGACCACCAGATATTTTTAGACAGACTAAGTGAGCATGTCGGCCTTTCTGGTAATGTTTTTAACTGGTTCACCTCGTATTTGTGTGACTGCACCTCTGAACACTATGAGGTTATCAGTGGGGTACCACAAGGATCAATTTTAGGACCATTACTTTTTGAATTTGTACATGTTACCCCTGGGTGGTATCATCAGGAGGCACAGCGTCTCTTTCCATAGCTATGCTGATGACACTCAGCTCTATGTGGCTGTGTGTCCTGACGACACCAGACAAATTGACTCACAATTTAACTGTATTTTAGATACAAAATATCTAAATAATATAACATAATATTTTGCAGCTCGGCATTTTACCACCTGAAAACCATCGCCAAAGTGAGGTAATTTCTCTCTCTGAGCCAAACAGAGAGACTAATGCACGCTTTGATCACAAGCAGGCTGGACTATTGTAAAGCTCTCCTTCTGGTCTACCCAAAACCTGGACGGCCCCTCAGATCCTCCAGATCCTCTCTTTTAGTTGTTCCACAGAGCAGGACAAAAACCTTTGGCAATTCTGCTTTCAGCTGTTACACTCCGAGACCCAGAGGGTCTGAGAGGAGCAGAGAATATCTTAAAACAAATTTATTCAGTCTGGTTTTTATGTAGTACTTTATCATTTTATAGCTATTATGTATTTACTTAGGTTTTATCAGTATCTCTATTTTTAAATGAACATTTAACCTTTTGATTCATTTTTTTAGTATCTATGTGATTTATTATCATCGTGGTTATTTTATCTCTCTTACTTTATTAACACATTATCATTTCTAGAATCTTGTTCTTATATATTATGTATTTTTACATTTATAAATTACTTCAATCTTAACATTATTTTATTTTATTATCTAGCTACAAGTTTAAATGTTTCTTTCGTGTATTCATTTTATTATCTTATTGCTTTTATGTCTCGTCTTTTATTACTTTTTTATCCATCTTCTTTTATTGTTATTTTTATTTAATTTTATTGGTGCGCATCAGTCTCTCAATGATTTTTCAAACTTCTTTTTCCTCAATAACTTTTTCTGCACTCTTGTAAAGCACTTTTGAACTGCAATTTAATATGTCTGAAAGGTGCTATATCAATAAAGTTTGATTGATTGGTTGATTGTCGGGACTTCTTGTTACCATTGTTAGGACTTTTTGTTTACGTTGTTGAAATTTCTTATTCCAATTGTTTGTAAATTTTGTTCTCAATATTGGGACTTTATTTCACATTGTTGGGACTTTGTGTTCCAACAGTTGGGATTTCTTTTTGCATTTTCACAAATTTCTGTTGCTGTCATCAGGACTTTCTATTTAAATTGTTGGGACTTTTCGTTCACAATATCAGGACCTTTTGTTCCCATTGTCTGGATTTTTTATTTCACATTGTTGGGACTTTTTGTTCAAATATTTCGGATTTCTTTTTGCATTTTCAGATATTTTTTTGCTGTCGTCAGGACTTTTTGTTCATATTTTTGAGATTTATTTATTCTGTCTGTAAAGTAACTGACAAGAGAATTAACATTTACATTTGTCTTAAATTAATAATTTCCACTCCAACATGACATGTGGAAATTAAATATCCATATGTTTACCTTTCACCTCATCTGAGTAATTGTAAAAAGGGGTCAGTAAACTTGATTTCCCTTTGAGGACAAACACAAATCATGATATCAAAAAACATTCAGTTTTGGACTGAGACTTGATTTAAGGTGAAGTGAAGATCAGATTGAGGCAGATTGAGGTAAGGGCGAAGCAAATTGTAATACAAGTTGCTTTAATCGACATAGAAATGAATATACTACGTCACTGAAATGTGCTCAGAGGTGATACAACAAATGTGTGTGTTTCTCTGTGTGTGTGTGTGTGTGTGTGTGTGTGTCTCTGTGTGTGGATGTGGGGGGGTTGTCACTAAAAAAAGTTTCATGGTCATACTGCAGGGAGGAGAAGCTGACACATTTCACTTCCTGTTTCTTCTCAGGCACAGTTGAAACTTATCAAACATGATCGAAAATACGTCGTTAAAATACGTCGCTAAAAGTTCCTCGTTAAAATGACATCACCGGTGTTATAATCAATGTTTCTGATAATATCATGAAGCTTAAAATGACCACGACATCAAAGGAATACTTTACCTCTTAACTATCAAGAGACAATACATTTCTCAGACATAAATTGAATGTAGAGACTTACATTTTCGATCTATTAATAACTGATTTGTTGCTGTTATAATGATACATGAAGATACAGTAGATACTCAGTACTATTTGGATTAATATAAAAATCTACATCTGCGTTATTTTGTTTCTCAGTATAATGTTTAGTTTGGACGTAGTTGTTACGTCGTCTTAGATGACTTTAAATGTTTTATTTTACAGAAAAACCCTTGCTGGAGATTTAATGTCAACACATTTTCTTAAAATCAACTTCAAATGTAAAGATGTTTTTCAGAAGCTCAGGAGGTGATCAAATTCAGTTCAGGTCTTACCTTTTCACGAGAAAGTGGATCGTCTCTGTTTTTCAGACTTGTGTTTCAGTGAACTTCGCTGTTGTTTGCACTTCCCCTCGTCTCGATGCTGTGGACCGTGCATCACTTCATGGGGCTTTCAGCACCTCCTTCTCACTTCCTCTTTCTGATGTTTAGCAACACGGAAAAACCTATGACTGAAAATTACTGAAGGCGGGGGGTGTGTGTGTGTGTGGGGGGGGGGGGTGGACTGAAATAACCAATAACCAACTGAAATAACCAAAATAACAGCCACACAGACAAAAGGAGCATGACGGTAACACTCTTATATTAAGACAAACATGAACACTCAGAAATAAAGACCAAGTTAACGGCCCCACTGTGGTCAAAAGCTGTAGAGTCAACAGTATGCTTTAGTTGTTTAATCAGCACTTTAGCTGACAGTGATTACATCAGAGGGGGAAAAAAACATCATCACATGTAGGAGAAGGTGAAATGTTTTGGAGTAACAGAGTTATGTCACTCCATGTTTACCTGTACAGATCAGAATATTAGCCAGGTATACGCTCACACTTAAAAGGTTCAAGGTCAAGGTGACCTTTATTATCCCAGCACAGCAGTGTGGCTACATGATGCTGTTGAGGTGACCAGTGGTACCAGGGTCAAATTAAAATGTGTTAGTCCTGCAACACGAGGCAAAGCCCTTTGTTTTACTTCACACACTGCTTTCAGCCTGATCACTTGTAGACCATTAATTGAATGTCTCTTGTCTTATTGGATTACCCAAAACTGTAACCTAACAACCTTATCTTTGCCTTAAACACCAAGACCAAACCTTGATGCATTAAAATACTCGGGTAGGTTTAGGTTAATGACATGGTTTGGGCTTGAGTTCAGAAGTCTCTTTCGTGAAATGAAACAGCTTCGGCGTAACGGCCAAAGATCTCACAAAGCGTACAGAAGATGACATCATTGGCCTGTGGTTGCTGCAGAAAGGTAGGTGTCAGATGAGGTGGTGATTGGTATACAGCATCCTGCAAAAACAGCCGCTCTTTTTTTATGGCAGCAAAAGGATTTTTTTTTTAATCAAAAAACACTGCTTTGAATGCACAGGACAAGACTGGAATAGGTTAGAGGTTAGAGGTGACAATCTGTCCAAAGAGGTTGTCAAGAGGACACAAACAGCAGCTTGTACAGGTGTTTATGCGTCATCATGAGAGGGGAAATGATACAGGATCTTTATTTCTTATAAATGCTTGTTAAAGCCACATGTTTAAAAATGTACAATGTAGCCTGAAACTTGCAATCATTTTATTAAGACACACTTTTTTTTTCTGTGATGAAATGTCTGTTCTTCTTTCACTTGTACATTTCAATAGAAAGAGATAAAAGAGGGAACACTGTCACAAATGATTGAGCTTCAACAGATTGACATACTGAAGAAATCACCGAAGGGCAGACTGAACATTAAGTTTCAGTTTGGTATGAGAACCACACCCTGAGCAGGGCCGATGAGATGAGGCCGCTGTAACAAACAGCTGCTGGAAGTACAGAAACCAGTATAAACCAGCTCTCAGAACGCTCTGTTTTGGTGTGTGTGTCTCTTTAAAGGGATACTTCACCCGTTGAAACATGAATCTGTATTGACATTGGGTCATATATGTAGTAGAAATGTGAAATACATTTTGAAGTTGGTGCCACTCAGAAAGTGTCTTTTTGGCTCATGTGGATGAAAGACACCAAATCCCAGAATTCACAGCACTGCAGGCCACTCCCACTAAGGTCCTCTAGTTCAGAATCAGAATCAGAAATACTTTTCTTCCAGAATTGATCTTGTAAATTCCTGTCAGAAAACAGACTCTATGTCTGTGTCCATAGGCAAACAGTGAGAGCACCGACACCACCAGTCCGCCCCAGCTCCAGCCGGCCCCGGCTCCTCGTCCTCACTGCCGCCGACAGGCAGGCCTTATGTCTCCGCTGCTGAGCTGGCAGCGGCCGGTGGCGTCCAGCAATATAGCCGCGAGACGGTTGTTGCCAACAGGCCGGTCTGGTGTCACAGCGGCTAGCGGCCAGTATCGGCACCCAGCGGCGGCCAGCGGCGGCCAGCAAAGAGTTGCAAATGTCGGCTGTCTCACCTACAGTGACTTTCCTTTGTGACAATTAGAGAATTCACACAGATGTTCAACCTACACACACACGCGCGCGCGCGCACACACACACACACACACACACACACACACACACACACACACACACACACACACACACACACAGAGAGAGAGCTCTCATTAAATTTAGATGAAAAATCCCACTTCTCAATTTGTGATGCTTAATTTAATGCTCATGCTCAGATCAGCATTCTTAACACATTAACATCCATCATTTTGGGATTATCTTGAATATTTGTTGTTGTCTGTTTCAGTCAGATTCTTCATTTTGTTTGAATGTAACAAAACGTAACAACCTTCAGCTACAACGGTTTTACTTTTAATCGATCCATTTTCTTCCCTTGGTGATGATACCTCCTAACTGTATGTCCAGTTCAGCCTAATGACCACCCACTGTAATAACTGAGTTTGACCTTTCTGCTTTTAAATGTCGACAGAACTGTCAGACCCATTGACGGTACATAATGATAAAATGTTATATACAGTCTATGGTCAGACCAGACAAAAAAGACGTTTTTACAGCAGAAATCAACATGTTTACAGCCTGGTACAAAAAACAAAATAGGTCTGATTAGTTAATGTCATCACTGGCACACACTGTGCGGGGGGGGGGGATTTTAAAACATAAGTGTTATTCCTAGTTAGGAGCGCAGCTGACATGATTGACAGGTGGGCCCTGTGTAACGGTCCGTCAAGAGGCTTAAAACCCGCCTCAGCTCCAGCTCTCAGCCTGTTGTTAGGTTGACTGAAAGTTAGACTGAGACAGGATTTCCAACATGGAGACTGCTGCTGATGATCCTCCAGAGCCCCCTGCAGGAACAGATGGGTGACGTCACTCAGGCTTCATCCGTTAATATTTACAGTCTATGGGGAGGACACACAACGAACTGGTAAAACGAGGGAGGACACACAGGGATTATAAACAATAAAGATGAGGGGATAACGAGACGCAGGCAGGTTCAATCAGGGCGGGGAAGCACAAGGCGGGAAAATCCAGGGATCTGAAAGAAAAAGAAAAAGAGACAAGGGGAAGTACAAAATAAAACAGGAAATGAAAATAATACCAAAATAAATGGACAGAAACAAAACATGACCTTGGGTGACTTGACGGGTTGTGTCATTAATTCCCTTCCTCTTTAATGGTCTTCATGTCCTTTCATTGTTTTATTTTCATTTCTATTATTTGTGGCTCTCTTGTTGTGAAACCCCACTCTCTTTCTGGTCTCAACTTTACATTCTGCATTTTTCATGAATTGTTGTTCCCTGCAGGCCGCACGATGGTGCAGTGGTTAGTGCTGTTGCCATACAGCGAGTAGGTTCCTGGTTTGAATCCCTGTCAGACAGGAGTCTCTCTGTGTGGAGTTTGCATGTTCTCTCTGTGCATGGGTTCTCTCCAGGTACTCCAGCTTCCTCCCACAGTCCAAAGACATGCTGGTTAGGTTCATTGATGACTCTAAATCACCTGTAGGTGTGAATGTGAGTGTGGCTGTTTGTCTGTCAGCCCTGTGATTGACAGGTGACCAGTCCAGGGTGTAACCCCGCCTCTCGACCAATGACAGCTGGGATCAGCTCCAGTCCCCAACGACCCAGAATGGGAAAAGCAGTATACAGATAATGGATGCAATGTTTTCCCCCGCATTCCCTAGCAATGGTAACAATTATTATAACTCACTGATAAAAATAACAAACGCTACCAGAGTTAAATATTTAGATCATTTTATTTCCACATGGCAACGAACAGTTTCTTCTAAATTTAAGAATCCACAAAAAAAAATTAAACTTCTGGACTTTTTCCATTCAGTTTTTCTCGAGTACACAGCTTAAACACCATAAAAAAGTGCATTTCACCATTACCCTCCAGTTGGTTCACTAAAATCACTCTAAATGATCAATTCTAAATCAATCTTACAATCTTTAATTTAACTATAAAACATGAAATAAACCAGAACGGACTCAAAATAAGGACTCCAGTTTGTCAAAGGCAACGTCTCACACAGTGGTAACTATCCCCGTTAATACAAAATCATTCACAGTTAGGATCATCTATAATCTACCACATGACAATTAGATCATTATGACACTTTTTAACAACACCTTCTTCAACATCCCGTCATCGAAACAATGAAACAGGAACGAGTCAACAGCTTATGGTCTCTGTAACCACCGAACAGGACAATAGTGTTTTAAAGTCAGGTACTAGTTTTATTATATCACTGATGTTAGGGAGGTCTAAACCCTGATAGTACTGATGGTGATCATGTCTTTGAGTGTCAATCTGTTACAGAGTTTGAAATATGAAGTTCCAGGCAACAGGTGAGCAGCAAACCATTTAACAAACTAACCTCCGTCCAGGTGTGAGCACCACACATGAAGTGAAAGGCTAGTTCAGGTGCTCGGTTAAATGTAAGGGGTCAGTTAGAGTTTATCTACACACACGCAGGCAGTAAAAGGCAGTGTGAGGTTGAATAATAGACTAAAATGTGTGGACTCATTATGTGACATAAAGGCTCCAGTTATGTCCAGCAGAAAATGAATCTAATGTTACTTGTTGACGCTGTTGAAGGTCAAAGTCAAATTACGACGTTGTTGTTACTTTTTTCTGGGTGCCTCGTTTCTATCTAGGGTAGGATTTGAACTTTTTCACTGCTGATATTTTGACATGTCATAATGTAATCATCATCAATAATAATTAGTTATGGTAGAGCCAGAGGTCTGAGTAACCCGTCTTTGCAGTTGGTTCAAACAAACTTTAAGAACTCCAACTGGTGAATAAATCCCTTCAGTTTGTTCTTATTTTGGACAACTAAACCTCCTTCTCCACAAAGGGGCAAACATGGTTTCCTAAAACTATAGGAATACCTTCTTCTATTTTTGTTTTCAAAAATGTCATTTTTACATCTTACAACAGCTAAAGCAACAATATGTAGGAATTTGGATTGGTGCGCTTTGGCGCCCACCGAAGGACTCTGAGCGCAACTGCACTTTAGTAAGACACCTAATGCTGTTACGCCTCCCCGTCTTATACAACGTGCGTCTGTGTACAAGCAGAGGGTGAGAAGCCGGAAAGCAGGTTCCAAGACGCTAAACAACCACGTCGACTGACAAGGTACAGAAAAATGACCGGATTTTGAGCAAAGATTAATTTGCTAGTGAACATTCTGCATGTGGAGTGCATGTGTGTTCATGTGTTACCATGGTAACTACAGGCTGTGGCTAAACAGCTTCATTGGAGAGGCTATTACATGCTAGTTGATAAAGGTTTGTAAGGTTCCTCTACCTCTTAGCCTCAGGCGTTGTATCAGCCCGTACAGAGACGGGCTAACTGGATACTTGTCTATAACTGAAGGCTTGTGTCAGAACTGGTGCCTTAAAACTGTACACGCTTTGAGAGATGACCTCACCCTGCTGCCAAAGTTACACACTGCAGCAAACAGGCGATCAAGTCGCGCTGTGGACACGAGAGAGATGCCATTCTCCCTGTTGAAAGTTATTATACTTTGAATCAATTGTTTAAAGATGGAAAAGTTACATATTGTTGCTTTAGCTTCTCCTCTGTTTCCTTTGTGCTTTATGTGAGCGCACATTCAAAGCTCACTCAAAAAAGGAAGCAATTTTTACTACGCTTACTAACAGACAAAAATAGTTAGCATATAAAACTCAAAAACTGTTTAGTATGTAGCATGAATATTACTAACTAGGACATTGCTAAAATGTCTGCCATGAAGAAAAGTCTCTGGAAATTCTAAATGACTATTATGAAAATGTCTGAGGGACGGTTGTATAGAGAGTCTCACATGTTCTCTGAAGAATTAGCTCCAGATAAGAAATACATTCAAGAATCACATCTAAGGTGTGCGTTAATCATGTTTGAATAAACTATTATCACAGTGCTCATAACACCTGTCACACCCACGGCGTGCAGAAATCCCTTCATCATCAGACACATGTAACACTTTACAGTTCTGTGTATGTGTTCATAAACACGTGTGTGTGTGTGTGTGTGTGTGTGTGTGTGTGTGTGTAAGGACAGTATTTATGCAAGTTTCCTTATTAATGCAGGTCAGAAGTAAACCAGGCACTATGTTTTTTTTTGTCCCTACCTTTATGGTAATAAATATTCAAATGTAATCTTTTCACTTGTTTTGATTAGTGTTATGTTTATGTGTGTATATAAAACGTTAGCTTATATGTAAACAATGCTGTAGTTCTCTGAGGTTATTATGGTAGGAAGCAGCTATGCATAGAACTGTGCCAAAAGCCCTTTTCACACATGAACTCCTGAAAAATATCTAGATCATTTCAGGAGGATTGCTCCGGATATTCTCCTGACCTGGATGTTCACATACGCTCCTCACAGCGGGTCAGTAAGAAGGGGGGTCGAGGGACAGAGTCCGCTACATGATGCTATAAGAGAATATTTACCTTTATATCAATGCTACATATAGATGAACAGAATCTCAGTATGTCTATGCACCGTGCAGCAGTCACAGTATATAAACGTCTCTCCCCTCTCCTATTGGCTCGAGGTGAATTCTCCGGATAATATCCTTCTGCGTTCTCACATCAGCTCACTCTGATTTGTTGTTGAAAAAATACAAGGGGTCTGGCAGGAGAAACTCCAGGTGAAGTCTGAGTTAAAAATTAGGCTGTTTGCGTTCACACATACAGCTCCTCCTCCTGGAAATATCAGGAGTTTTTCGGGAGTTTTCTGCAAGTGTGAAAGCCCTAAGAGATTGGCACTGCATATTATAAAAGATGATATTGAAAAGTTGTGCGTATGTTTATGTGGTGTATGAAGACATCAATCTTTTACACAGTTTCAAGGCGCTCAGGGTGCAATTCCCTTAATGTCCATGTTTCATTCCTCAGCTGAGCTAGAGACTACAAAACAAAAAAAACTAAATAAATGAGTGAATAGATTTTTGTGGGGCATTTGAGTGAGAACCCCTTTTGTAGATTAACTTATTTTAGACCGCTGAAATGTGCAGGAAAATGAGACACACTGGGGGTCTTCACTCCTCCTTGTGCTCACGGGTTTGAGCCCAGAAATCATCAGCAGTTTTGTGTCCTGCACACTGAGCATGCTTCTTGGCTGCATGTTTGTCATGCATACATTTCAAAGGTTAGCAGCTGTCTGTGCAGGTTCTCAGTCATCCGGGTCATGGTAAAATTGAAGCTCGATCCAAAGGCAACTGGACTTAATTGAAGATCTTGAGGACGTTTCACCTCTCCTCCTCTGAAAGGCTTCTTCAGTTCTAAACTTACTGGTGGATGGAGCTAGTAATGTAGGCCTCTGTGGATCATTAGCATGCTAATGATCAGTGACTGTCAGCATAACTGCACTGAAATGTGTGGACACACTCAGCAGCTCTAACAGGAAGTCAGAGCAGATGTCATGGATGTCATGGCTGAGAGTTTTGTGAGGGATTCTTGGGCCGACGTCGACTTCTGATTTGAATTTCTTCATCCTGTGAAAAAAACAGAGACACGCTTGGTTTACTTTAAAATGACTGCTTTTCTGTAGCTCGGTGATGATTTCATTTTTTTGAACGAGTACATTAAAGTTCTTTAATGCATACTGTTTCTGCAGTGTCTGCCGTCTCTTCTCCCTCAGTGTATTCACTGCCGGCGTTGAATGCCTCATAGTCCGACAGGGCGCTTTCCACCGCCTCCTCGTCATAGTCTGTCTGGTACTCATCAGAAAGTTCCTCTTTAAGAAGACAAGAGCACACAACATGATGATCAAATACTGTCCTATTTGTAATTTTTATTATTTTTGGAAAAAGTGACCCGACTCAGCAAATCACGCCATAGTTCCCTGATATGAAACCAAACATCTCAGCAGACGGCTTCAAGCCTCTACTTAAGCCATTGAAGCTGTTACAACCTAATGATTGAGAGACGGCCCACTACCACTGAGCCACAGCTGCTCCTGCACCTCCTTTAGGGGTCTATTCAAGCTGACAGATTTATGGTCTCTCTCTCTGCTCTCTGCTCTGTCATGTCCAGCTCTGACCTGCACCAGTACTGCACTCTTGCTCAAGTTAGAAGGAGGACATACTGGCTGCTGCATTGTTGTCAGAGAAGCCAGCACTTCAACAGAGCATGTTTCCTGAATGTCTGATCATATAGTAAGGTACCTTTATCATTTCAGTCAGTAAATATCTTACAGATTGGACCTTTAATATCTATATAAAATATATTGTTAAGTAGGTTCACGATTTCAGCCTTATACTTACCATTAATCAAGGCAGGTTTGACAGGTTCAATTCTGGACACTATCTCTGCCAGGTCAGTGAAGGAGGCATTGGGACAGGTGACCACCTGAAAGACACAAAGTGCATGATGTGAATGAAGACTTTAAAACAGCTTCAAGTTCAATATATTCACACACGTTTTTATGTACAGACATAACAAGATACAAACGTGGGGTCTTTATTGATGCCTACAAATACCTGTCTAAATAAACTGCAGAGACTATGTGACGACAAAGCCTTCACATCTTGGACATTTTTTATAGCTTGCCATTGCGTCGCCATGCTGGAAATGTTGTCTCAACCTAACTTTCAATAAACCGACTGACAGGCTGAGAGCTGGAGCTGAGGCGGGTTTTAATCCTTGTGTTATGAGATTGTTTTCTTTTTATTTCAAGAAGTATGTTGTCAAGAGATTTGTCAAGTACAAATGGAATTAACAAAAAGATGCTCGATAAATATTCAATATCTATGTTGTCTAATGTAAACAGCTGATCATCAATGGGTCTGTGCCCTGTCTTGAGATCATCGATATTGAGTTTTTTATAAACTTCAGTGCCAGAACTCTGTTGACTTGATTGTGTTAAAATCATTCAGTAAATATGAAAGAGAGAGCCTGTTTTAGAAGCTGAAGAATCTCAATGTACAATGAAAATAACAGCGGCCTCTGTAAACATCTCAACTCTATTTGTTTGCTGACGATAAGGAAGTGTGACTCTTCATCAACTGTTACTATTTCATCAATTCTCTTAGCTTAACAAATCTGGAACCAGTACTCGCTATCTCATCCAATGAACCATCCTTTCAATTAGACCAGTTTAAAAACCGTCTGCTTAGTTCGAAAAGAGCGGTCAATTAATTTAAGACTGTGCTGATATCATTTGCAAAGTCTTTTATTATAAAGGTGGCTGTTGAGATTGCTGGAAATAAAACATTTGAATGCACCGTGGGGGTAGAAGATCATTCTGATATTTCCACACATATTCGATTAAAATTAGAGCCTGACAGATTAATCAGCCGGCCGATAATATCTTCGGATATTAGCCTATCAGGTGACTATAGGTATCAACTAATGTTATCACAGATATGTGCGATATCACCAGATTTATTCACCAGTCAAGTAGCATTTCATTGGAGTATCATTACACTAGCAGTTCTCTGTTACCAGCAGAGGGCGCTGTATGGATTAAAACGAGTATTATAATCCTCCAGAGTGTAAAAACTGTAAAGCACAAACATGCAAGTTATTTTCCAGTTGAGTGACCATCTTGCTTTCGTTATATATCTTTTCAACAAGTGTTTGAAAACGTCATTTGAGGGTTCAACGCAATAAATGTGTTTATCTATCTCTACACATTGAACATAGATCTGAGAAAGAAATTGGCCGAAATATCCCTAATATCGATATCGGCCCCAAACGTCCCACATCAGTCGGGTCCTTCATGACATCCAGCTTGGTGTAAAGTGAAATACACGATAACGTCTCTACAGAGTATCTCCTCGTCAGTGATGTGTGTGCTTTACACTCACATGGCCAGTTTTGGTCTTGTGGAACTCCTCCTGATGTCTGTCTTTAAGCATGCTGTCCACCACGCCGCTGCGCTGCCACACATCGAACAACGTCTTCCCGTGCTGGTATCCCACCTCCTGCAGCCGCAGCGAAGAAAGGTTAGCGCTACATTCAACCCTTGGAGGAGATGAGGTCATAAGCATCGAGGAACAAAGAGGGGGGGGGGACTCACAGCTATCTCGTCGAACTTGCCAAAGTCTAGAGTGCCGTAGTGGTCGATGGGAGGTCGGATGTACTCGCAGTATTCACACTCTTTGACCACTTCCAGCTGCCGCACACAGCAGACGTAAGCGAGCCGGGTTTGGATCTCCGCCATGTTCAGGACCTGGAAGGTACAATTAGTTTCTCTGGGGTCTGACAGCATGCTACGATATTAGGTGAAATGTTTCTGCTCTCCTGAGGACATCTGACATGAGGGGTTACCTTGATTTTCTCTGCCAGAGGATTGAAGCGTTTCCACAGCAACCACCAGCCGTTCAGAGAGTCGCCGTAGTTTGTCAGATTGGTTTCATCCCGGCTCCCAACATCAATTGCGATCACAACCTTTGCCCCCATGGAGCGAGCCACATCAGCTGGAAATTATTAATGAGAGAAACTCTTTTACTGTCGGTCAAATAACCAACTTTAAAAATCTGTTTCTTATATCATTAGCGCTGAGGTCTGACGGGAATTCAACATTTTCTGCCAACGTAAGAACGGTCTCAGCAATCTAAAATGAGAGATAGGAGTATGTAGATTGTTGTTGTTTGTGTTGCCGTATTTTGTTCAAACAATCCCCAATCGGTCATCATGATGCAGATAAGCTGCATTTTTTAAAAGTTAAAATTGGAGAGTTTCCAGGGTAGATAGTGGATGTCATTTTGTCTGATATTCAGGTATAGATGTGTAAGACTTAATTTAAGTTGACTCTAAGTTTCATGGTTTTTGAAAAGTGATTCTACACATCTGAGTCTGTCCCTGGAGGTTCTATAAAATATGTAGGAAACATTTTTAGAAAGCCTTTTTGAGCCGTCAGAAGGAGCGTTAAGAAATCTGACAAAACGTCTCCCTCTCTGTCCATGGCGCCACTGTGCTCCCTTCCCTCCGACGTCTGTAACCTTGGTGTCATCTTCAATCCAACCCTCTCCTTTGACCAACATATCAAACACACCACCAAAACAGCATTTTTCCATCGCAGAAACATCGTGGGTCTTCATCAATCCTTCCCCTTCTCAGCTGCTGAGATCCTCACCCACACATTCATCACCTCCAGACTGGACTACTGTGATAGTCTCATCTACGGTTCATCATCCAAAACACTCAGGAAACTACAATATAACCAGCGCTGCTCGTCTCCTGCACCCGTGACCGCATCACCCCCGTTCTTCAAGACCAGCATTGGCTCCCCATCCCCCAGCGTATCCACTTCAAACTCCTCATCCTCACGTACAGAGGCCTACATAACCTTGTCCCCCCTTTTTTTTAAATAAAGTATAATGATAAGGAAACAAGTCGTAGTGAATGGAGTTGAACTTGCAGTGATAATGCTTAGAGTAAAAAAAAAAATAGATCCAAGTCATTTTCCTTCAAAGCGTGAAGCCGTGGTGTAAATGTCTCTCAAACAGGTCGAGATGATCCAGAAGGTCATCATTATTATTCTGTCATATAAAATGACCATACTGACGGTGTTTCTCACCGGGCAGGTTGTTGATGTATCCTCCGTCCATGAGCAAGTGTCCATCTTTGGGATCGCAGAGAGGTGGCAGGTAACCGGACAGAGACATGCTGGCCCGGACATACCTCCACAACGAGCCTGAGCACAAGGTGAACATGTTTATAGAGACAATCACACTATCACAGTCAGTCATTTCTTATAGTTTAGAACCACCTGTTAAATTAAAGCTTTTTCTCCAATAGCATCTCATTTCTATCACTTTTTATTTTAGACAGCCTATGTTTTATTTACCTTGAAATAATTTTGGCACAAAAAATAAATGATCTAGTGTGCACACATCCAGGCTAAATGCATTCAGGTGCAGCAGGACATAATGAGAAATGTCCACACACTGTTCAGCTCCCAATTTAAACAGAACAACAATCGTTGTCAGACCTGAGGCGGATCTTATGGATTGAAATGTTGCCTTGTTTAAAATAAAGATGCTCATTGGGAGCTGAACAGTGTGCGGACATTTGTCTTTTTTCTGCTAAAATAAATGATACGTTACAGTAATTAGTACAATTAGCACTCAGTTTGATTTGAAGTAGCTCCCAAAAATAAACATCTTGGACCACAGGAACTTTTTCATAGTTTTAGGAACTGTTAGAACTTCTTCCCCTTTTTTATTGATTCTGCACCGCAGGAACTATGAACTATTTAAGTTCCTAGAACCCAGTTTAGAGGAACCTTTTTAGCCCCTGTTTCAGAGTAGGTAAGTGGAGGTACTCTCTCCCTGCTCAAGAAAGACTTTGAGTCACATCAATGCAGGCTGATTGGTCGAACACACGAGCCAATCCAGTACCACTAACCGACCCTTTTTAAGTCCCAATGTAAACGTTATCAAATAACAGTAAATAAAAAGCTCTTAAAACCATTTAAAATATAAAAACAACACAGATTAATGGGCCGACAACAAAGTCCAGGCATAATTGAGTGTAAATGCGACAGAGGAAATATGATGCCCTTCATCTAAGCTCGCAAGTCTCCTTTCAAGCTTAGATCTATTGGACGATGGTCTCAGTATTATTGATGATGATGATGGTTGTGGCGATGGTTTTTGTTTGATAACGATGACTTATAAGATGGTTTCTATACTGATTAGAGCTCTCAAGAACTGCCGTCAATGTTGTGCTTTGCCTCTGGTCACTTCCTGTCAGCACCTGTGTGTCCAATCAGACTCAAAGCTGATCATTTACTCTTACTGACACTGTTCCCTTTTTTTCTAGATCCTTGCTTGTGTTGTTCTTACTCTCTGATGTACGTCGCTTTGGATAAAAGCGTCTGCTAAGTGAATTGTAGAATTATAGAAAACCAAATGACACACAACAAACACACAGCTCCCAACACATCCTTCTCCATAGTTACAGCTGTGACTTTAAAGATTATATCAGACATCACCATGGCGATGTGAATGCAGACAGACAACAAGCCCTCGTTGTGTGAAGTTCTCAACGACCCCCCCCTAGTGGATAGTTCCTCTTTAAAAAGTCTCAAGACCTGTTTGGTCAGAAAACACCATTATAGTCACGGGGTACAAAATATGAGCTTTATAAAGAAAGAGAGAAAGATATCTTTGTCTCCCTCTTACCTTCAGCTCCACAGAAACATAAAGTCGCTCTTTCCTGTCATCTGACCGTAGCGCTTGTGTGACAGGTGTCCCCAAACTCCTGTTTGTTACTGCACAGGCGCTCTTATGTTTCTATCTTTTCATTAAATGGTAACAAATCTCCTTTCTCTAAATCTTCTTCCCTGCTCCCTTTAAGAGTCACACACTCAACCAGTGGATTATTATTAACCTGGACATATTTATTTAACCCTGAAACAAACCGGTCAATACACTGTGTAATATCTGTTTCACACAGTTCATCTTGTCCATTCATTATGTAAATATTGTTTTATCTCGTACATATCTTATTATAGTGGTCCTACCTGGTACTTATTGCTTGTTTTATTATCTCTATTCTATTTTATTTCCTACTGCTGCAATGGTAACACCAAGTTTCCCGCTGGCATTAATAAAGTATTTCTGATTCTGAATATGAAAAAGAGATTTTAAACAGAGGTTAACATTGTACAGACCGTCAGTGTGAACCCTCATGGAGGAAGCTGTGATGTCTGTTGTGATGTTGAAGTACGGCAGCCACAGGTCCTGGTGAAAGTAAAAGAGACCGTTATCATCTTACAGTATGAAAACACAATCTCACAAAGTGTTACACCAAGGAAATATGCCCAAAAATAATTATCTTAGAAATAAGAACCAGTAAAGATGTTAGTGAAATATGCTTTAATAACCAGTAAAGACTCATAACACTGAATAAGAAGTTAGAATTGGCTTTAATTCTGCTTTACTATTTACATTTGAGTTTTGAATATAAATGTTGGTATCATAAATTCTGATGAAGGCTGAATATTTGTTCCTCTAGTTAAATGAGTCATTGTTATTGTCTGATTGTATCCTATAATTTCTTACAGTTTGGTCCTCGGGCAGTGAGAACCAAATGAACCAAGTTGGTGCAAAAAAAACAAAAACAAAATGAGAGTCTGGAGTGCCCGGAAGTTCAATCAAAGTTTAGTGAAGGTGCTCTTTTGGGGAAAACACAAAAATTCAAAAAGATAAAACTAAAGCACTCCTCTTTAGCTCCTTAAATACATACTGGACATTTAGGATGTATGTATTGAAGTTGCTGATTGTGTGCTGAAGAAGAAGGCCCTGAAGAAGGCTGTTTATGATGATACAGATGGGTTGTACCCAGATTTTTAATGACTTGCCTTGTTTTTCAAATGTCATACACGTTTTACTCTTTTCAGAAGAATGAATAGTTTTTTTCATCTTTTTGAACCCACTTGGTAATCAACGTTGCTATCCCTGAAGTGTACTCTGATAAAGACACATTACAGAGCCGATAGTTTAGAAGCTGCTGGTCACTCTCTCCTTGTGAAGGGATTGAACACAGCTCTTCCTCTACATTAGGCATTTTCGTTCAACCAGTGCTTTAATGTTAAAGTCTAATTCTTTAACTCTTTGGAGAACCTGATTTTAAAAAAAACTCTCAGCTTACCTCTATCTGTTTGTCCTTGAAGACGGAGCTGACGCCGGAGTTAAAGGAAGCTCCAGAAAACATGGAGGTGACCGGGTAGGTCAGATCCAAGATCTTCTTAAAGTAAGACGTCATATCCTGAGACAGGAAGAAAGAGACGAAGGAGAGGGAGGAAAAGAACAAAAAGTATGATGTCATGTGTTATAACATATACAATAAAACTTCAGTTAATACCCAGAGCTTTAATTTGCTTCAGACCATGAAATGATCCTGCCTTTCTTTGGGACAGACGTCGATATGAGACCGGCTTTTCTAGCTAAACATGTGCTCAGTAAATGTGCGAAAGACTTTAAAATGATAAATGTACACCAGTTTTTGGGTTTTTTATGCCTTCATTTTCGAGAAGGACAGTGGATAGAGCCGGGAAAGGAGCAACAGGTCAGACCTGAACCCGGACCACCGGCTCCAGGGACCACAGCCTCTGAACATGGTGTGCGAGCACTAACCACCATGGCACCGGCGCCCCACCAGAAAGAATATTTAACTGTGTACAAACTCAAAATAAGGATATTGATGAAACAAAGTGAATTATAAATCAGTAATTTGGCCGACTTTTTTAAGAGAGTATTCTGCTGCATTCATTACTTTATCTTTCTTGGACAGATGTTGAAGTTCATCATCACCCTCTAAGTGAGAGCTGCCTTTATCTGTCAGGTCAGCCCCAGACCAGTAAAAGGGACTGGACTCTACATTATAATGGTTTATAATGCTGTAGGATGTCAACTCACCATGGACCACTCTCGAGCCCGGACCCTCATGCGACTGTTGCTCTTCTCCTCGGCATACAGCGCTCCCATCAAGGAGCCGATGGACGTGCCGCCCACCATGTCAACGGGGATCCCCGCCTCGTTCAGCGCCCGCAGGATGCCGACCTGAGAGCAACCCCTGAGGAGAGACGGACCTCCATCAAATAACATCACAAATAAAAACACAACATCAAGCTTACCTTCACAGATGGTCATTCAGTCTCTTATTAACAATTTAATTCCTTTAATCCAGCTCCAGAATCATACTTCATATCGCTCTTTTAAAAGCCGTCAGTCTCCGTCTACAAAACCATTACTTTGACCTCCCTGAAACAATGACTGGAGTTGCTTGTCTACCAGTGAGCAGGTTTGTTTGTTTGTTTTGTTGTGGGACTTTTAAAGGATTATCCAAGGTCTGCTGAACACAATTATACAGCACAAGAAATAAGCCAATCCACTCCATGTCATGCTCTGCTCTGAGTTGTCCTGATATAATATGCCTTATTAGATATTTATTGTTTGTTTTTGTTTTCTCATTTGTGCTCTGTTTTTATTTTATTTTATTTTTTTGGAGGGGGGGCTTTATGTGCCTTTATTTTAGAGATAGGACAGTGGATAGAGTGAGAAATCAGTGACAGAGAGGGAGTGTGGGGGCGCTGTTAGCCTAGCGGTTATGATGCGTTCACCATATACAGAGGCTATAGTCCTCAGCGCAGCAGCTGTGGGTCTGAATCCGACCTCGGCCCTTTGCTGCACGACTCTCTCCTCCCAACATTTCCTCTCTCTCTTTAGCTGTCCTATCTAAAAAAGGCAAAATGGCCCAAAAAATATCTTTAAAAAATAATAACAAAACAAGAGAGAGTGGGGAATGACATGCGGGAAAGCAGCCACAGGTCAGATTTGAATCCAGGCCACCCGCTTGGAGGACTACAGCCTTCATACATGGGGCGTGCAAACTAACCACTACGTACCGTTTGTGCTTGTTAAATGCTGTGTCTATTTGTAAATGGACTTCATCTTGTACCGACTATTCTTCTACCTCTAGTCTTCTGACTACTCAAAGCTCTTTTACACTGCAGGTCACACCTACACATTCACACACTGATGGTAGAGACTGCTATGGAAAGAGTCCATCAGAAGTAACTAATCACAATCAGACACATTTATACACCGCAGATAAAGTAGAGGGAGCAATTTAGGGTTAAGTGTCTTGTGACATGTGACTTTACATTTCAGTCTTTAAGAACCCCCTCAAAAACCAGTGGGCTCTAACCACACAAACCAACATGGATAATGAAGACTAGGGATAAATGATCACTGCTGTAGTTACAGGTCTATCAGGAGTCTCCAGTCATAGCTGAGAGGAATACAGTCCCTACCTTATCTGAGCTCCAGGAGAAGCCAGAGCAGTGAAGAAAAGAGAGAACGGTCAGAGTAAAAACAATCAGCCATCACCGTCTTATACAAATAAACACATTGTAGACATTAAATTACCAAGTGTCTGCTTTCTTTTTACTCACACTAGAGTGGGAATTAAATGCTTCTATGCTTCAAACGTTTGTCTGCATAGTAGTTCAAAAGTGAAAGCTGCATATGTACTGTGGTAGCTATTTGTGTTCAAGCGCCAAAACAGAGATATGACGAGTGGCCATGCAGTTGCAACAGGCAGAGGCGCGGCTCGTCAACAGACAGGGCAGGTGACTAATTGGGGCCGCAGGCCAGTAGGAGGACCCCGGAGGACTCACAAACTTGAAACCAAAGCAGTGGCCCAAAAGTTGCACATTTTGCAGCGACAGTAGGAAACCTCCCTAAGGGGGCACCACCTGACAACCCTCACTCTCGCTGCCCTGCTAAGCGTTGCATGCGTGATAGCTGTGAAAACCAAAATCTGTCAATGAAAGTCAACAAAGAAAAATGAATAGGAATTATTATTATAGGTGAAAAAATAAAACAGGAAGAAAGAGGAAGAGGAGTAAGCATCGGGACACTGGCAGACATGATGATGATAAACGCTGGACGGAGGGCACCCCCCATTTGATTTTTGCCTAGGGCCCCAACAGACTCTAGAATCACCACTGGTATCAGCAGTTCAATAATTATGTTTACTTTTTATATAATTAAGTTTTGGCTACAGCTGTTTAAAAAGCAAAGACTCTTAATTTTATAGTTCCTGACACATTCAGACAAAATGAACTGAAGCTAAAAAGTGAATCAGTCGTCAGTTTGTTCCTTTTCTATCTACAGGAAGCTGGTAGAGCCTACGTGACATTTCTTTATGCTTCCCTTACTTTTCTATCATGTGCTGTAAAGAATGACATGCCATTTAAAAAAAAAAAAAAATCTGCTCTGCGGAGGATAAAAAACATGACTCAGGCCGTGATGTGTATGTAAATGCTCCTATTGGCTTTTCTACCTGGCTCCGCCTCCTCCCAGCACAAGGGCGATGCTGTTTCCTGTCAGGATCCTGGCCAGACGAGAGAAGTCAGAATGACGATCGGGACCCTTCTCGAACACACGCTGGTACAGCTCTCTCTGACACACACACACACACACACACACACACACACATAAAAATAAAAATAAATAAAAAAGGATGAATGTTAATAAAGCATTTTGTTAACCAGGCCAGACATAAAACGACTTGGTGGGTGGATGCTGTTGAGTACCAGCTTGGGTAAACTCCTCCTGGAGAAGACTCGGCGCGGGCAGGACAGGTGATGGTGTTTGGAGATCCAGCTGCGCATGTTCAGCCACATGGCGGTGCCTTTGGGAGGCGGGCCGTCCTCCTTGTGCAGCAGGACGAGCTGCTTCTGAGCACGGACTGCACTCCCCTCCAACATGCGCTCCAACTAAAGGGGGACAAAGGGAAGAGGAAGCAGGTAGTTTCTCTCAGCTCATTGAGGAGACGTGTGGCTTGTTCACACTGTGATGGCTGAAGTAAGCGTTCTGAGCTAATGAGACAGACTTTTATTCAAATGTTAAGGACACCAGAGTTTCAAAACTCAGGTTGTAACGTAAAGGCAGGGTTGGTAATTCTGGGAAGCTGAAGCAAGATTTGAAAACATCTCCTCACAGCTCTGTCTAAACCCAACCCCCTCCCATTTGAGCTCCTTCAAACGCCCCCCCCCCCATATATGTATGAGCGCCACAAGATCTCAAACGCTCTAGTACAAAGCGAGGGAGGATATCATCACATCGCTTTCAATTTTATTCTACTGCGTCACCTCATGTCTCATTCAGCGGTAGGAAAGCACCGAACATGAACAAACTGAATAATAAAAAATAATAAAAACATGGCGTCGCTTTTCAGTCCCTTCAACTCCCTTCAGTTGTCGCCGTCACTGAAGAGCTTTATGAAAGTCAACTCTGGTTTGTCCTCTCGTTAAACTCTTTGTCGTCGCAGCCTTCTCTTTAGCGGGGTGAGCGGGGAACAAAGTCATTGGGCAGTGGTCCTTCAAGGCGAGCTTTCTCTGCCATCCTCTGACGTGGAATACCTCCAGTGGCGGTGAAGCGCGAGGGTCGAGTACGCACAGAGAGCCAGGGAGGCATTTGATTGGTACTTCCCATCCTGACGTCACGGCAAAAGATTGGTAGAAGACGTTTTTACAGATTTACAGCAGCTACAGAGGACGCATCTTTTCAGACACTTTTCAGATAAGATTATTTATTGATTCCTGCTGTGGTGTAAAGATCGTTTTAACAAATGTGTTAAAGTGTATGCTGGATAAAATGACCACCCCTACCTTTAAGTAGCTGGTCAAAATTCCTTACAGAGTATCACCTTTAATACACATTAACTAATCTTATCTAGCTACTAATAGTCTTCATGGTTCTCTTCCATATGGATGCGACATTTGTCTACAGAAAATACAACAACTTAACAAACTGCACACAACAGGACTCTCTCATCTTGATAACAGAGCAAACAGTCTGATACACTCTGCCAGATATTATTCATCCCTGCTTAGAGGCACTAAAAGCTCCTGATCAAAAAGTTATTAAGAGCAGCTTCATCCACCCATACTTACTCGATAATTAAGCGATAAAGTATTCTTGGATCAGATATGTGATATCATTTTTGAACTCTTATGACCTGCTTGTCAAACTTCCTGTGTGCTAAAGGAATCTTTCAGCCGCTGACCCGGTTTGAGTCTGTTTACACTGACCTCACCCACTGTGGGCTCCTGCTCCCCCAGTCCCACGATGATGATGCAGTCTGCCTGGCGGATGCAGCGCTGGGTCCAGGGTGTGAGGCTGGAGTCAGACTGGTAGAGGACGATGCGATGGATGTCCTCCTGCTGCCCGAGCCAACTGGACAGACGGTACTCGTGGACACTTTCAAAGATTATGAGACACAAGTATCAGCTGTGTCACCTGTAAACAGCCTATTCATTTAAACAGCCTGTCACCAAATCAGGTATTTTGCAAAGCAGGATTATGAAGGAGCTGGATTTTAATGACAGCTGTGTTTTTGGTGATGATTGATCAATTGTCTCATTTTCAAAAAAGACAAAACAAAGCCTCATAGGACTTCAAACAATCTCACTGTGATTTCTTTCTTACGTATTTAAGATGGTTAAATCACTAAATCTAACTTCTACCTGTCCAGAGCAGCAGAGCCGAGTCGCTGTTTGATGGAGTCACTGGTCAGGAGGAGCGTGGGGCCTTCAGAAAGCAGGACAAATCAAACGAGACATCAAAATATGACAAAAAAATAAAGTCAAGTGCAGTGTGGTACATTCTTCACCTGTATTCATTTATGATCAGGATGTTGAAGGTCACTGCTTTTAGCCGTCATGCTTCTACTTATATGTCTCCCTTGTTCCTAGAGAGGAATCAGCGAGCACCCAGGGGTTCAGAGCACCAGGGTCTGATGCCCTCATAAAAGCCTGACCCCAGAGTGGCTCTGGCTCTCTCTCTCATCCCATCTTTTGAACATTTTTGTTATATTTTGCTTCACAACATCCCACACTTCATTTATGCCACACGTCCACATTAACACTACAGACTTTACTGATAGACAGTAGTCTGTACTTTCTAACAATAATTCATTATTATTTGCAGTTTACTCGTGTCCTTCCCATATCTGTTATGGCCCTTGAGCCAGGTTATGACAAAGTAGTGTAAGTTTAGGTATTTAGGAATCTTTTTTGTTAGCACTTAAGTTCTACAGCAAACAAAAGGTATGAAGGTATGCCCATAAAAAAGCAACGCAGCACTTGGATCTCATCAGGAAAATCAAACTTGCTCAATAAACTTGCTGCATTTCTTGTGATTTTATGTGACTGTGATTTCTTTTTTTTTAAGGTTTATTTTGGGGCTTTTCATGCCTTTATTTTAGAGATAGGAAAGTGGATAGAGTCAGAAATCAGGGAGAGAGAGAGAGAGAGTGTGGGGAACGACATGCAGGGGAAGGAGCCACGGATCGGCCTCGAACCCGGGGGCGCCCACTTGTAGGACCACAGCCTCCGTACATGGGACATGCGCACCAACCCCAAAATCAGCTTTTTTTGTACAACATACTTCTCTTGATTTCTGTGTTATGTTTGATGTACAGATCTATTTCTGATCATGGTAAGAGTGCATTAGTTGTTCTAAATGACTCTCTTTAATGTATTACACTGTGTGCCGGCTGCCTTCAGGTGAAGTGTTCAAACATGCAGAGTACAATTTAGGCATGAATATGTGTAACGTTTCAAGCAGCCGGAGGAAACTGGAACTGTAAAGCGCCCGATGGTCAGCTTGAAAACAGTGTGTGCACTGTTATGGATTTTTGTGCTGAACAACATGTTTCCCTGAAACTAAATAAAAAAGCTTTAAGGAACATTTTCTCTGGTTTGCAGAATGTGTGAAAGGTTGTCAGCAGTAAACACATGTGATCCACATGGAATTAAAAAGGCACTGCGCTCGCCCTAACACAACATGTACAACAGGGTGGTTAATGATCCATGTGTTTGCTCTGTTTTCCCTGAGCTGAATGTTCTGCACACACACAAAAAGTTCTGATAGGAGGATGAAACATCAAACCTAAGCAGTGATCCATTTTGTGCACATTGGTTTGTGTAAAAAAAAAAAAGAAAAGAAGAAAATCAGCAGTCGCGACGGATCCCTGCAGCTTACACTGGAACGATCAATGAGTATGGAAAAGTGCCGTAACTAAGCTCAGCCGTCATCAAGTCTTTGTACATTTATATAGATTCTGAGACAGTTTATAATTGGTGTGCCAGTCTGTGAATTCACGTTGTGTTTCAGCGTTGCACAGCAGGAGCTTGACAGTTTGAATAGGGCTTGGAAATCATGATACTTCATGTAACATTTTAAAGGACAGTCAGCACAGTGTGTGTGTGTGTTCGTACCAATTCCACTGAGCGCGTGCTGCAGCTCCAGAGTGAAGGCAGTGAGGGGAACATCCTCAGACACTGGCAGGATGGCCACAGTGGACAGGTTGGAGGCTGGATTCCCAGCATCCCACTTACTGGTAGGGGTGTGGAGACCCAGACTACGAGCTGCAGGCAGAGGAGAGTTTTTTTCTCATTAGATATAAAAGATAAAGAACAGTTTTTACATGTTTATACATAAAATGCTGTAAACTACATGTACGGTATATAGTCTTTCTTTGCCTGATCTTGGAACATGTGCACCATGTGTAATGTTTAATGTTTGATCAGGTTTACCATGTGCTGCTTTTTTTTTTACTTTTTGAAATGATTATTTTCATAAGTTCTACTGTGATGACAGGTATATGACAAAGTTTACCAAGGGGACAATAAAAGTGAACCTTAATGTATAATTTGTATTTGTGCCGTCCCTTTAAGTTGTCAAAGTGTCAGCTGGCTGTGAAGTGTGCTGGCCCTTTAAGAGAGTTGATTGTAAGATGTGTGAAGCAGAGCTGTTATTTTTTACTGTTCTTTATTTCTGCTCCATCTGAAAGAGTGCACATCTGTGAGTACAAGTTGTCTGTGAGTCTGTGAGTCAGAAATCATTTCTGTACACCTTTCTTTCAGCACATGTCCATTGTGGATATTAGCATTTCAATTAAGAACAATCACTGTATGATTCAGCGAACTTATTGAACTCCCTCTAATTACATTTTTAATATTTGCATGTCAGATCCTACTGATTAACAACTCCTTTAAGAAGTATTTGCATCTTTGAAGCCCCAGTCCTGATCAGGGAGAAGTGACTGGTAATGGTGGATACATAAATTGACAAAGATACAGAAAAGAGATTTTGGTTACCAGCCAGAGGTCCATTGACCTGCTGCATGTTTCCCAGGATCTTCTGTCCGAGCAGATGAATGAGCCTGGTAACAACCTGAGGGTACCTCCTCTTGATGGAGTTCAGAGCTCCTTCAGGAAGCTTGGCCAGCTCCGAGTCCCTGACAGCGTGGACTGTGGTGGCTCGGTTCATATGGGTCAGGGCTTCAACCTGAAAAAATCAAAACAAAGCAGGTGTCTGTCAATGTCAATGTGGGTCTTTTAGATTGTATTATTTTATTTTTTTTATTAAAAAGTTTTAAAAGAGTTTCTGGCTAACTTACAACACCGATAAGATCCCCACGGCCATACTCTCCAGCCAGCTCCTTCTTCCCATCATCCTTTGCAATGACAGAACGCAGACGGCCACTGAGGACAATGAAGGTGCTGTCGGACTTGTCTCCCTGTCTACGAACATTCAGAACAGAACAAAATCCAACATGACGTTAAAACAAACATTAAAAGTTATTCCATTAAAAAAAAATATATATATTTCTATGGATTAACATTTAAAAGTCGTTTTGTTCCTGCACTATATGCTCTGTTATCAGTCTCTTTTCCCGTGATAATCATCCCCTATTTTTTGTTGTTTATGCTTGTACAAGTTTTTCACCACAACATGAACCCTGGGCCACGTGTTTTCTTACGTTTTTTCATGTTTGTTGTTGCTTAAAGGAAGAATGTGCGACTTTTTGATCCAGTGGATGTCGCCCTTGATCACCAGCATGAAACCAAAACAAACTGCTGTATGGAGACACCTCCTCTATTCTGAAGCCTCTGCTCTCCTACAGTGGCACACCTCCAACCCCTCTCCCATCAACTTGCAAGAGGGAGTTATGAATCAGAACGCACCATGATTAAGCACTATTAAGCGCAAGCGGCGGAGAAAATTGTCCTTTGCTCGAGCTGCAATTCTCTGTGTCCTGCATTGTTATGTTAGCGGGCTAGTGTTGGCACTCTTTGGTTAGCTCGTAGCTTCATATTGCACATAAATTGAAACAGAATGACCAAGATCTAAACACACTGACTTGACATAAAAATAAGCAGTGATTATGTTCTTCTTCTTTTCTCTAGTTCTTGACTAAAACAGCTTTTTTACTCAAGGCCGTCCTGTCAATGTAAACATGATGTAAGCACGGCTCTGACAACAGTACAACTGGCAGGACTCAAGCTTCTCACTCATTGTAGACAGTCATGACTCAGAGACATTTACACATATTTATCTGTAAAATGTCACACATTCTGCCTTTACCGCATTTAGAGCTAATCACATGTGGTATTCATTAAAGTGTGATGACAGTCGAGTATGTTGCTACCCTCCTGGATATGTTGTTGACTTTTGTACAATTCAAATGGGATGTTCTTGCCAGGAAGTTTTTACCACACCACTTTACCATATGAACCAATATGTGTGTAATAATAATTGTTTTCATGCACAATAACAAGCTCAGTTCAGTTCTTTCATGTCGTTAATGAAGGAGGCTCACAAGACGTAAGTCATGAGAGGAAGCTAAAGAAACGATGATTTACGTGTTTCACCAGAAAGTCCATCAGATACCTGTAGACCGCCCGTCCAGCCTCCACAGCCATCCAGTCCAGAGCAAAGTCAATCTGCCTGACGAATGGTGAAACCCTCCTCACCACAGTGTGAGCTACGTTCAACACCACCCTGGGCTCCTCGCGCATTATCCTGCAAAATGAAAAAAAAAACACAGATCTGTGTGCATCCTCGTCATACGCAGGGAGGAACCCACATGGAAAGAAATGACTGACTGTTTGGTGTGTGATCTTACTCGTAGAAGTGAGCCTTAGATATGGAGAGGAAGGTGCAGTCTCTCTGAGCGCGGACACTGAAAATCAGGGGCTCTCCCGTGAGAACAGCCAGGTGACCCACCATCTCCCCCGGGTGGGTGACAAACAGCAGGGTGTCCTCCTCACGGTCGATCATACGCTGGTAGACGTGGAGTAACCCCGAGATGACGAACGCAATGCTCACATCCTGTGAAATGTACATACGCACATAAACAGAAGCACAATAATGCAAACATGCAGAAGACCATAAGTACAAGCTGTCTCCCCCCGCCCTCCTCCTCTCTAGAGTGGATGCTCTAGGTCACCATGTGGTGAACACTGAAGCTTCAGTGTTTATCCAGCTCTGCATGGGTCTGTAAACCTTTCTGTGTTCTAACCTCTCTCCATTTTTCGAAAGCATCTCCAATATTGATCCTAGTTTGATCACGTTTCTGCTCGTGGAGCTTATTAGAAACATGCAGAGGCTTTTTAGGTCGGGTACAATCACTTCTATCTGAACCACTTCTCTTGCACCTTTCAATCCTCCAACACCTGTTGGTTTGCTGTTTGCCTGATAAACTAAAGGGCGTCCAAAACAGCCGTGTGGGGGTTCCTTCAAACCGCCTACCTTCTCTGGTCCAAACAAATCCAGAGCATTCAGGAGCAGAATCTAAAGTTAGAAAGAGGACATACTGGCTGCTGCATTGTTGTCAGAGAAGCCAGCACTTCAACAACACTTCAGCATGTTTCCTTAATGTCTGATCATATAGTAAGGTCACTTTATCATTTAATTCAGTAAATATCTTACAGATTTCTCCTTTAAATATATTTTTCTAGATGCTTCTTCCTTCATCTTGCCTCCCCCTGAAGCACGGTTGTGGCACAAAAACAGTTACCGGTAAATCCAAAATAATGAATGTGGATTACTTTCCAAGACATTAATAAAAAATAAATAAGAAACATGTAATTTATTGGAATTAGAAAATGACTTTCATGAGTCACAGTTTGTAAAAAAAAACAATAAAAAAAAACATACACAGTCATCTAGCGCCTTAATAACAAAGAGAGAGAAGTGTTACAAACTGACCTGGTCTCCCTGGTTGCCTACAGCAGTGCCGGCTTTGACCTGTCGCAGATTCACCCTCCCCTCCAGCAGGCTGGGGTTCTATTGACATGACATGACATTTAAAGGAACCAACTCCGGCTGAAGTATCTGGTCATAACCACTTTACAAAATATACAGTAGATTCATGATGACAAACTATTGCCAAATCAATACATGTCAGACTTTTACCATCTGTTACGTTTAGATTTCAATGTTTGGGCTCGAGGACATTTCTTTCTAAACTGTGGGAAAACCCTGAAACAATATTACTTAATTTCTCCACATGTAAGACAAGGTTTAGGATTAAATATTTTAAATAAAAAAAAAAAGATGTAGTTGGTATGCTACCTGTAAGGGATGACTTGCAGCAGATCCTTTTTAGCTGCTTGGAAAATTGCATTGACTTTATTATGGTTGACGTTTCCTCCTCCAGCTTCACTGTAGTGATAAACAGCAGATGGAGTGTGCAGCATCGTGACACTCTTCTTTAATATAGACTGAGGAGACAAAGACAGAAAGAAAAACAGAGTGATGACTTTTAGAACAACCCTAAACCACAAGCTACACACTCGTGTTGAGCAGCAGTCGCCTCTTTATGCCAAAAATGATCGACTGAATCTGCAAATATTTGGCAGCAGGAGCGTGTCCAGAGGGCCAGGGGTGGCATGGCCCCCCTAGAAATCTGATTGGCCACCCCAAAAATCCTGAACTGTCATTGGCTATTTGCCCTGTCAGAGGCGGGACTAATGTTTAAACCAACTATTAGGTCAAATTTTGGCAAAGGCTGCTCGTAGTTTTTTTTACATATCAATGTAGCATATTTTCTTTTGTTTGCACTTTAAATTGCAAATAACAACTTTGCATATTTATTTCATAAAACAGGTTATTAGGAAAGTAATGCACTCTGTCTAATTTGCAATCAACTAACTGGCAATGTGTCAGCACCAAAACATTACAAGGTAGACTGCGCAGGAGTTTGCATACATTTTACGTACCTTAAAAGGCACAGTAAGTAGATTCCACCACCAGGGGGCTCTCAATCAATTCAGTAACAAAAGGTGACGTTGAGGCTGGAGGGGAATCATGGGAGTTCTCTCTGCTACTACCCATTAAAAATGAAGCTAATGTTGCCATTATTTCGTGACATAAAATAACATCTGATTGGTGAAGTTAGAAAGGGTAAATAATGTATATTAATTTGTGTGTATGTGTGTGCACATCACACTTCAGGCCACCCCTGCATTAGTCAGTGCCCCAGCTGGGCCACCTAAAAGTCAATATAGTCTGGACACGCCCCTGGTGTGCAGAGGCCCAAGAAATAAGTCTGGTCTATTTGTCTTCCCCTCTGTGTGGATGAATCACAAACAGGTGAAAATGTTTTTGTTCCACCAGCAACATCTTCAAATAAATCTTTCTCTTGAATCTTCTCTGTAATTTAAGTATTTTTCAACTAAGAAAAAACAGTTAGGATGTTCTGAAATGTTTGCAATAATCATTTCCAAGTCTCCATCGGACTGTGTCGTCCCAAACCATCTCATGCACGCCTGCTCCGACTTCTACCTGCGACAAAGTAAGTGTGCACAACAGGAACGAGAGGAATACAAAGGAAAAATCCTGAAGCATCTTGTGAAAGTACGCTATACAAATAATGATTGACTGATTGATCATGTCGTCTTCCACTTGAGTTTTTAGTATCAGCAGAGGAATAAAAGTCTTGATCCATGTGTTGGTCTTTCAGAGCTCCCTGCTAAAATTCTTGAAAGTTATCCAACATACTTTTTTACCTTTCTTTATATACTTGGAGTCAGGATTATTTTCTGTATTTGATCTGAACTGTCAAACTTATAAAACTACACTAAAGAAAACTGGGCAGAGAGATCAGTCAAAAAGGACCTTGAGAAACTGGATCTAGATGTTTGAAACCTGGACTCAGACGGACATCACGTGGGAGACAGAAAAATTGTTTTCCACTGACCTTCACAGACTTTGTGACACCGTTTCCTCTTTGGCTACCCGAGCCCTTTCATACACTCTGTTGAGGTCATCTGACACATTACCTGCATGACACAAAGTAGACAGTCATCATAACGTTCATTAGTAAGGCTTAGCAGAGGATGGAGCATCTGGATGAGGTGCTGTTATTAGTGGCTGCAGTGTTACATTACGTAGACCTGCCACAGCTGCTGACTAAACCGCAGGACCACTAAAAACTGATTGTTTTTTTTACTTGGATTAACAATAAAATAGAAAGCCATTATTGTCATTATACAACGCTACATAAAATGATTTACCTTAAAGTGCACAGACAGTACAGGCATCCATCAGAAACAAACAACTCACATTCAAGTAGAAGAAGAGGACAAAGTATGTGTACAAATACTTATATTGCAAAGCTAAGAAATATGTATTCTGAAGTAGAAAACTCAAATTTGTACAGGTAAGAAGAGAAACAATATATGCATGCTCAGGTAGAAATTTTAAAATAGTACCTGGGATATCTTGAGATATCTAAATTAGCTTTTCTTGCTAGTAGCTAGTAAACTTTTGATGAGCATGTACAGGTAAGAAGAGAACAATATATGCATGCTCAGGTAGAAATTTTAGAAATAGTACCTGGGATATCTTGAGATATCTAAATTAGCTTTTTCTTGCTAGTAGCTAGTAAACTTTTGATGAGCATGCAACTTGCACAGTTTTTTGCACAGCTGAGTGTGGGACCTTTAAATAGGGACCGAGCACATTCATAAACATACAACACATGCCAGATTGTAGCAATAGGCTAAGTTTCCATCTGTAGTCCTTTTGGCAGGTTGGTTGTACTCATGTATGCAAATTTACATAAAACCACAACGACAAGCAACGAGTGAAGACCAAACAACAACATGAACTGTACAGTAGTTGACAGAGACACATTTATAAGAGCATTCAAAATGGCCGTGCATGTTGTTCAAAACAAACCAGGGTTAAGTGACCTTCAGGGTTAAAGTGCGTACAGTGCTGCTACGGGATGTAAACTGTCAGAGTATTAATGTGAATAAGCGCTGGAGTAATGCTCATGATTATGAGGTACTGATGTAAATTGCACATTTGCTCTGGAGCCTGAAACCTTAGAGTGCTGGTGTGATATATACTGTAGCACTAGTGCACCGAGTTAGCATAAAGACGTGTATGAGTTACACTGGTTCCAGTAGGGAGTATTAGAGGTATTATGGTTTAATAATAAATCATAGCATTTGATTTATCACATGCAATAACACTCTTAAATCAGTGTAACTGAAGTAAAGTTTTTATGTTTTGTATTTTAACTCAACAGATACAGGGCTTCAAAGCAGTGACATGCTAGGAGAGTTGACTTAAAATACTAAACTGAGTATCAGAGAATAGTGAGTGGGTAAAGAGAACAAAAATCAGAGATGGATGTTTATTTAAGTTTTGTTCTGAAATAAAAACCTTCCTCCTTTTTTATACCTGCCTCTTATACTGAAAATCCCATTTTTTTATCTCTCCAAATGTCATCTTTAGTCTTGTTTCTTAATTCTCAGAGACGCTGTTTGTCAACAGGCAACTGCTCGGGCCCAAGGGGCTGATAAACTTTAAACCATAGCAGTAGCTAAAAATTTGCCAATTTTGCAATGACAGTAGGAAACCTCCCTAAAGGGGCCCCATGTGACAGCACTCACTATATAATAGTTAATTACTGAATGATACTTGTCTGAATGATACTTGTCTAGCCCTGAATATGGACGAAAGACATTTAAATAACAAAACTTCCCTAAAAAAATGTGTTTGTGTCAGTTTGCTTTAGAGGGGCCCCCTGTGGATGTTTGCCTTTGGCCCCAAGAGAGTCTAACATCGCCACAGTTTGAATCCCTTTGAGATGAATGTTTCTTATAGCTTGCATTGATACTGAAGCTCCACTTTATCTCTTTATTTGGTCTTTGTTCTCTTAACCAACAAAAATATGTTTCCTCTCCTTGTCAGGCCCTAAATCTGTTTCATACTCTGTACACAAACGAGGCACTCTGAATATAATGATAAACATATCCAGGTTGACACTCTGTGTGTTTATACCTGTCACAGCCATTGGGGTGGAGAGGGAGCGAGACTTTGTGTACTTGGATGTGGGCACTTCAGAGAGGCCGGACTTTTCTGGGACACAGAGAAACAAGATAACAGACAGCTTTAGACCACACACACACACACACACACACACACACACACACACACACACACACACACACACACACACACACACACACACACACACACACACACACACACACACACACACACACACACACACACACACACACACACACACACACACACACACACACACACACACACACACACACACACACACACACACACACACACACACACACACACACACACAAATGATTAAAGATGGCTGCTGTGTCTGACCTGTGTCTGATTTCTCAGAGCCCTGATCATCAGAGTGGGAAGGCTGCCTACGGAGGCCTCTGTGTGGATGACCATCACCCAGAACATGGGCCACCGACACCAGTGAGATGGCTTGGCTCTCCTGCAAAACATACAAGAAGAAATATTTTTTTTAAACTGTAATTACTGCTAAACGGTCTTATACCTCAGCCAACCAGCTGACTTAAAGATTACATCCACAGAATGATGGTGTTTCATGATATGTATCTTCTTTTTATTGGCTGTGTTTGTTGTGTGTGTGTTCTTCCTGTATCTTAAATAGGTGTGCCAGCCCCAGTAGCCGATTGGTCCATCAACTTCCTGCTCCCACTAACGGCAGGCTGCAGAGAGGCCTTCCCCACTATTAAGATCAGGAAGATGACTTAATGACTGACTTTTGGTTAGAAAAGTAAAAAAATAAAAATAATTTCCTGATCTTTAATTGTCAGAGATAAAATGGTATTTTATGGGGCTGTCATGAAAGGTGGATTCTTTTGTCTAAACATTTGTAATAATTTTTTTCTTCCTGCCCTGCTAATGATAGGCTGCAGAGAGTTCTTCCACACTATTAAGATCAGGAAGATGACATTGCCGCGGTGCAGGGGGAACCCCGTCTTTCACCTTCCAACAGGCCACACCACGTTTCCTTTGTTAATCTGTTCTGAGCTCGTTTTGTGTTGGAAGGGGGGTGAGTCACTAACTACTTTAACCTTATTTTCTCATGTTTTTGTTTAGTTGGGGAGGTAAGCTTCTTTTTGCTTTTCCTTGATCTATCAGGTTAGTTCGCTTCACCAGGTAGCCTCCGTTTTGTTTGTTGTGTTTGGACACAGATTCACCCTTATCCTTAGTTATTCAAATTGGCACTGTTATATCCCTGTATGTTATTTACGTTTATATCAAAAATAAAAAACGTTCTGGTTGAAAGGAGTTAACCTGTTCTCCATGGCTGCTTGGGAAGTGATAGATTTGGGCCTATGTTCATATTGTGTCTTGGCTTCCCCTAGACGGGGCATAATGACGGTGTAGCTGGGATGTATTTGTACATCAACATATTTGGAAGACGCAGAACCCTTAAAACAACACAACAGTACGAGTAGGACTACATTAAGGGGCGCTAATGGACTAACGGTAAGTGACGCCCCATATCCAAATGGGCAGCCTGGGTTGAAGTCCGTCTGTCATTCCCACTCTCTCCCACCCGATTTCCTACTCCATCCAGTGTCCAATCAAATGAAGGCAAAAACCTCAAAATAATTCTTAAATAAAGAAGGACTACATTAAACCAGGAGAGGGTGCAACGCCATCAGTTACAGGAGGGACAACAATAGAAAGTCTGTTCATGTGACATATCATCATGTGACAGTCAGTAGTCTGGAGACAACACGAGGGGAGCGTGAGGGGAGATAATCCACTAATCCAGTCATGGTGGGGTTGTTAACTCTGATGGATAATAAAACTCATAAACCAGATGTCATTTACATGAAGTCCCTCCACACTTTGCTGAGGTGTCACAGAACAGAGACTTTCTTCTTTCACTGCTAAAATATAAACAGTTCATCCTTGAGTGCAAAAGGCTGTTTGTGCTAAATTTAAAGACAAAGCATTCAGTCATTTTTTAGATATTAGGGTCACAAGAATGTCATGGGCCACTGCTAATGTCGGCACAAAGGTTTTACAATGATTGTGAGCAAAACATGATATCATGATTATGCAGAAGAGACAAACATGGCCCCCCATTTCCTTTCCGCTGTTGTGCTGTAAAACCTTGAAATGTCTGATCGGAGGAGGTCAGATCCATCTTACCCAGAAACACTGATGCTGCACCTACTCTTGGTAACTTTAACTGTATCATGTCCTATGTCGGAGATTATTTGTTCTTGTTACCCAAAGTTGTCTTGTATATATCTGTGTTTGTTGTTGTTTTTCTTTGTTTTGTTTGTCTTGTTAAGTTCCATTACTAATGAACATAATGTTAACGGGTTACATTTAATTCTATGATGCCAAATAACATCTGGCAAAGGGACTGCCCATGAAAGTTAGCGGCCAAATCGGGTCCATTTCCATCCATCTGAATGTTGATTAATGTACACTGTCCTTTTTCAAATAAAATAATAAATAAATTGACAGGCTATGAAGCATGATGCCTGGCTTCATTTTTTCCTCTAATCAGAAGTCTTAACTTACAGTTTTCTGTTTTCTTCTCAATCATTAAGCCTGGGTCTGCACTGCTACACATGTCATGATTTTAATCCTGCATGTCTTTATTTGTCATTTCTGAATATTAGAGAGTTGGTACGTCTGTTGGATGTGCTTTGTTGTACAGCTGTCAGAATTGGGACATTGTCTCGATGTCTTCCACTGATACATTGAACTCATGCTCTTAGGAAAAGCCTCCACTATGAGGAAATCCTGCATGACAAGTTCACAAAGAAATGAAGCAAAGCTGATAAAAAAAAAACAACAAGAGTATGAAAAAGTGTGAGGTCAAAAATGGCAGTTACTGTAAATACAAGCAAAAAGTGAGGTAATCCAACTAAAAATATTTGGGCACATATTTTTGAAAGTATAAAACTATACCGGGTTGAAGAGCTCCGTGGTCAGGCCGAGGTAGTTGTGTAAGGCAAGGAAGGTCACTCTCTGTAGACGCACCATGATTATCTGCAGCACAGACAAAACAAGAGAATTGCTTCCATGTAGTGAAGCTGCGTGAGCTGCGTCTCATACAGGCCTGTCGCTCTCTCTGTGAATCAAAGACACTTTACCTGTATGACACGGACCAGAGTTTCAGGATATTTTTCAAACACTGACTGAAAGGCTGCAGCTGGAAGACGCAGGACAGTGGAGGGAACGGCAGCTCTTGCAGAGACAGTTTTGTAAGGCGCTGGATAGCCCTGAAACACAGAGAGAGAAAAATGTGTGAAGACAAGTGGAACAGAGATGTTATGAGGAGTGAAGACTCTATGATGCTACCTGCAGTGACAGTTTCTCTTTTAGATGGTTTTCATATCACATGGCAGACTTACAGTTATTATGTCCATGATGCTGAGCAAACTGTGAACACTGTCTCCTGGTAACACTTCCTTCACCACAGCGTCTGTTCCATCCTGCAGAGAAAAAAAACAACACACAATCAAAGTTAAAAAAAGAAAGAAAAGTCTTACAGAAGCATGAGTGTGAATTCTTGTGATTTATCTGCTGCGGTCAGTCCCGGGGGTCTTACACTCTCGTGGATGCACAGCTCCAGGCGGCCATCTTGAACCACGTAAATACTGTCGTCGGTGTCGCCCGGTCTGAAGAGCGCCTCGCCCTGGTGCAGTGGGACCAGCAGCATGTGGCGACACAGCTCCAGGAAAAGAGGCTTTTCAAAATGGCCGAGCACCCTGGATACAACACACATGAACATCTGATGCAGTTAGACTATGGAAAATGGAAATAACATATGTTGAATACTTGTTATTCAATCTTTGTCTGTTTAATGGTATTATGTTAAAGACAAAGCAAGGAGGTGAGGGATGTGGTTTGTGTAAGATGAATGAATCTATTTTGTGTTTGTGTGTGATGTCTCAGGGTTTAGATGTATCAAAGTCTCATGTGATCCTGGTTTCACTCTTGAATAGTGTGAACTAAGTCGTACAGTATGTTACATGACTACTTCGCTCGGTGCTTATATAAACGTCTGGCTCAGAGAAGAAGATGGACACTGATCAAATGCCAAATTCAAGGCTTCAAAACAGCCGTCCAAAAACAAATGGGTGAAATCGTCTCCTTAGAAACAGTCTATACTCCCTCAGAAGAGCAACACGTCGAACTCTTCACTGAGCAGTCCAACAATCTGTGGACCGACAGGGCTTATTGTTCCATGTTGTCTCAGTAAGGAAAACGTCTGAGCTACCATGGTAACACCAAACTCATTCTTGATTTTTTTCCCTCTTCAGTAGGATTGCATTTAAAATGTGACCGTGTCTCTGTGGGAGTATTGTGGAAAAAAAGCTTGTCGTTCTTCTTACCTTACATTTTTCAGCATGTACAACACCTCTGAGGGCAGATGGGAGTTCTGCACGTCGAACTCCGTCAGGTCAGCCTCCAGAAGACAGGGTGGGGGCTCCTTGGGCTGCAGGGTGGGGGGTTCTCTCCGGATGCGCAGGATCCTTACAAAACATAGTGAGTTAGTATTCTTCCAGTTAAACAGTAAAACAGCAGCATTCACAACAGAGGGACTAAAAAGAGAAAGGACTATGAATAGCCTCGGACACCACACACACACATACATGCACGACTGTCAGGGTGCAGGTACAGGTCTCTCTTTTTAAGGACAAAGCGTGCCTCATTGCCTCTAACTTGAAGACCATCAATGTCAAACCCCTCTGATGAAACCTGGAGCCAGATTCATTCTCAACATATAAATACTAATAACACTTAATAACACAAAACAACAGGGAACAAACACTCACAGTCATCTTTATGTCCTCCCTCTCCCCTCTCTCTTGGTAGCCTCATGAGGATTTCATGTTCTCTACACTCGTGTGTCTCTTGTTATAATAATTATAATAATAATAATAATTTGTTATAATATAAAGACAAAACTTATGTATACATATAAACTTGACCTTCACTGTGTATGAATTGTGTAGATAAGGGATGATGCTTGACTTATATCATGGACATTTTTAGTCTACTTGTGATATTTAAAGGAGCATTATGTAACCCTAGTGTTTAAAATTGGTACTGCAATCAAAATTGAAAACATTATAGAGAGCTGTCTCCCCCCCGCCCCCCCTCCTCTCTAGAGTCAATGCTCACACAGGTCACCATGTGGTGGACACTGAAGCTTCAGTGTTTATCCAGCTCTGCATGGGTCTGTAAACCTTTCTGTGTTCTAACCTCTCTCCATTTTTCAAAAGCATCATATTGATCCTAGTTTGAGCACGTTTCTGCTCGTGGAGCTTATTAGAAACATGCAGAGGCTTTTTAGGTCGGGTACTTTCACTTCTATCTGAACCACTTCTCTTGCTGCTTCCATCACTGCAACACCTGTTGGTTTGACCTGATAACTGCTCTCATATCTGGTAAACTGAGGGGTGTCCAAAACATATGCGTTGGTGTGCCTTAAAACCGCCTATCTTCTCTGGTCCAAACAAATCCAGAGCATTCAGGAGCAGAATCTGAAGTTAGAAAGAAGGACATACTGGCTGCTGCATTGTTGTCAGAGAAGACATCACTTCAACATAGCATGTTTCCTTAATGTCTGATCAGATAGTAAGTTCACTTTATCATTTCACTCAGTAGATATCTTACAGATTGTTCCTTTAAACTGCTTTTAAAACTGCACTTGTAAGTTGTCAACTTTTTGTTTACCGTCTAGCACAGCTTTATGTTGTGTTTACACTTCTGCTTTAACACAGATGTTTCTATAACAAATAAAATCGATTAAATCGAACCTACCTTTGTTTTGAACCGCTTTAAAACACATCCCTAAAGAGGTACCATGTTAAGTTTTACCTCAATCTATTCTGTTTTAAAATTACGATTTTTTAAAGGGTTTACATTTTGCACTTTATCTATCAATCAATCTTTATTTGTTTAGCGGCAATTCAAAACAAATCTTATCTGCAGACACACAAAAGAGCAGGTAAAAGACCTTACTCTTTGTTAAAATATCTAAAAAGACCCAATGCTATAATCCATCATAGCAACATTTAGCAAAGTGACAGTGGAGAGGAAAGACTTCCTTTAAGAGGCAGAAACCTGAAGGAGACTCATGATGAACAGTCATCTGGTGAAACTTTATTCAAAAGATCTCTCTAAACTTCAGCAGTTTTTCAATGTGATACTTTATAAAGTAAAGGAACATTTCCTAAGCTTTAGCTGTTTTTAGAATTTGTTCTTTTCAGTCGATTAAATATTTACCAGAGCCGTCTCCGACATGATATCATGATTGATTTACCTGCTTATCTGCATGGACCTTGAGTTAAGATGAATGGTAACTGGACTTGAGCTTGTTTAGCACTTTGCAAACCTTCTGATTACTCAAAGCGCTCTTCACCCCGCAGGTCACACCTACACATTCACACACTGATGACAGAGGTTTCTATGTAAAGTGACCATCAGAAGTAACTAATCCGTTCACACACCACTGATTTGATTTGTCAATCAATCGCTTCCAGGTTGAGGTATGTACTGTAACACTCAAATCTTATGTTCTTTTTTCAACCCACTGACGAAGAGAAATGACTCACTTGCGGGCAATAGAGAGGACTTTGGTCCTCTTCCTCACTCTCTGCCGTGAAGCTGAGTTTGAATTTGAGGCAGGGGCAGAGGACAGTGTCTGGACCTGCAAAACAAGACAAGTTTGCTTAGCTGACATTTACATTTGTACTTTTAGAAAACAATACATGAGTTAACGCATATGGAAAGTTCAATTTCACTTTCATTACAAAATCTGAAGTTATGGAAGGAGTTTGTGCCCCACAAGAAACAGAGACTCAAGACAGAGTTATCTTCAACAGATCACTCAATCTCATCTGTCTGTGAAAGATAAAAAACATGATGACCTTTAAAAAGACCCAGGCCACTAAAGCACATCAGTTTCTTTTTCTGTCATTATTCTGAATTCTCTCTGTAAAATAAAAAAGCAGATTTCTGCTAGATAATAAGACATAAACTCCCAAAGTTGCATATCTATTTTCATTGAAAGTGATTTGTTGCAATGAATTTAGAACAAAAATAAATACTGACATGATTTGTTTGACTGAAGAAAAAATAAAAATCAGTATTTGTGTATGAAAACAGAACATGACCAAAAGTAACTTGACCTTTTAACTGAGCTTCAGGTGATTTAAAAAAACAGCAACAATTCACTCTGCTCTCAGGTTTATAACTGCTGATAGATTCATCACTGTGAGCTGTAGGAGAAGCTCGGACCTCTCCGCTTCAAAACAACGAGCCCAGTGTCTACCTTTAAAGAGTATTTTTAAGACATATCTTATTTTTCTGCCTTTCATTTATGACTCATTTATTAGTCTTGGTGAACACTTTATCAATTTAATTGTTTTATTTTATTTTCTAGCATACATTTTGTCTTTATCAACTTTTGACTGATTTTAAACTTATTTTTAAAATGCTGTGATTGATCAGTGCTGTGATGATCAGTAGTAGGTCGGTCGTCTCTAAACACGAAGGTCGGGGGGTTCGATCCCCAGCTCCTGCAGCTATGTGTCCTTGAGCTGGACACTTAACCCCAAGTGCTCCCACTGCTTTGTCAGCGCAGGGTATGAATGTGTAGATGAGTTAATACTGATGGTCACTTCACAGCAGCCTCTACCATCAGTGTGTGAATGTGTAGGTGTGACCTGCATGCTAGTTCGTATGAAAGCTTCTTTATCAATACAAGTGAGTGGAGGGGAGTAGAGTCCACTCTATGATTAAAACTCTCAGTGTGATGTAAAGAGGGTACTACTGACCTTCCTCATGATCTTTCTGCCGTAGAACATCACCTTATCCCTCTTGCGAAAGCGATAGTGGGGAACCCCGGCCTTCTCCTCTGAAACACAGCACACGGCCTCTGTTAGAACATTTGATCTGAATGAAGCTTTAATGGATGAAATGGACAGTGTGCAGGGCACTGACTTGACAGTTTGTATCGTCTGTAAAGAAGGAACACAACGACTCCAACGAAAGAAATCATCGACACAGCTCCGATCAGCACGGCTGTCCACTGCAAGACAAAACACAAAGAATATGAATCTGTTAATCAAAGACTCCATGACATGATCAAAAACCCCTCTCATGTACTCTACCTGTTCACGTGTTAAACCAAAGTCATTCATGTTTCCACATGACATCCTTCTCCAGTGCACCACCAAACATTCATTTAAATCAAACAAGCAACGTGAAAACAATGTCCCAGTCAAACCAGTAACGGTTACCATATTGGCTTCGGTCCTTTCTGCCAAAAACTTCTCCATGGTGTCCTTGATCCCACTGCCGAGTGGAAGCAGGGTCTGGAAGAAACATCGGGTGTGGAAACAAAACAAAGGCGTGAAACCAACCGGACTGTGTTTAAAAGAACTGTGAGAAACTTGTATTACTAATTCATTCAACCCCCCTTTAATCCTGTTTACGCATTGCATAGTGCAACATATCTGTAAGGTATTCCACACATTTGAACAATTTTGTCTGTAATATCATCATCATTTTTTGCAAAGACAAGGACGTTGAACTGCATATTCAAACACTGAAGTCAGATGAATGTTGAGGAATGACCTACCGAGGGGTAAATACTGCAGCTCCCCTCTTCATCTTTGTCCTCCATGCCTGTGTTCAAATGTTACAGCATTTTAAAAAGCTATTAAAGACAGACACCTTTGATCAACATCACACAACAACAGTATCTAAAGAGTAAAATGCGGATTTCAAACTGGGAAAGAGATTTCAGAGAGACCGCAGACAGTTGCAAAAAGTTTTCTTCTTTCAATCACAAATATTCAAGAATGAGATGTTATCACATGAGCTCAATTAGACCGACCTTCATCTGCAAAGTAAAAGATTGTATAACGTGTGCTGCTGCATTTAATGGAGCCTCAAGTTTTGTTTTTTTCAGTGTGTTTATTTTGTGTGAAAGTTGGAGAAGTGTACAGATTCTGTGATATATGTTCATAACTCTTTACACAAACAGAGGAAAATGTGGTCCGCCTCAGTGAAACCATAACTCTCCTGGTCGCTTTTTAAGCTCCAAACAGTGTCCACAGACCCATTTTTTCTTTAAATAAAATTTGTGTATTCAGTTCAGAAAATATTAAATATAACTGCTTCACTTCTCCAAGTTTCAAATTTCACCAAATCACCAAATCACCTTTAAAAAAACTAAAACAAAAAAACAATTGATTCCAAAATATTAATGTAAAACGCACATTAGAAACAAATACTTAGTTCATATTTGATCTTCTTTATGGGTTATTAGAAGTCAGAAGAGTATTCGGTTGGTTAGGCCAATAGTCTTTGAGTAACAGCAAGAAATCCCGCCCCCCTACTTATTAATATACTAATAATCTAAATGATTGAATCTGTCTGTGTAAGTAGCTCTGGACTCGCAGTTTTGAACCATGGATCAATACTGTTTATACATTCACCCCCCAAAAAAACTGAACGACACAGAGTCCCGGAGTAAATCTGGGTTAAAGATCAGCCCAGCTCCAGAAGAAGGAGTCACAAGCTCGGTGCTGCTTGTAACCAGACACCCATGCTGCACTCACACACTCACACTGTACTCCAATGAACTCCAAAACATGCACTTCAATGTTTGAAGGCTCGTTCAATGAGAAAAGGGAAACCTCTTTTCCATAGTGTGAGGTCATTTATTTAGTTTAGACTACGCCTGGATCTGTCTTTTCTGCCAAACTCCATCTAAAAATAGAGCATTTTATGTGTTTTGTATACGCCGGATTGTGAAATTGAAGAGCAGTGATACCCACAATTAATTACAACCCAAACATTGGTCGTGAGTTCACATGAAACAAAGCTTCGTATGAAACTGATTATTCACGATAATATCCTCTAACATCAATCAAACCTGTGGGTTAGTACGAAGAGATCCAACTTGTTATGTAAAAAAAAAACAATAAACAAACATTATCATGAACTTTGTTACGGCCGATACTCAAAGATAGACCGGATTGCGCTTCTTCTGCAGATCGCTACACATGAAGAAGAAACAAACAAACAAACAAACAAACAAACAAAGCCCCTGGACGAACAAGTCAACAAAGAGTCCAGAGAAAACACAAACACACGAGTGTACCTTCAGTCAGCCCTCACAGACTGAATCCACCACAGGATTTTCCCCACGTACCTTCCTTGTGTCAAAGTTTTTTTGTGTACGACTTCATGCCTCAGAGAAGCAGCTGCGAAGATCCGCTGGTACAAACAGTCTTCATTTCCTGTCATTCATTTCAAAATAAAATCATTGCCGTTAACAGACTGAGAGAAAATAAGTGTTTTGCACGAACATAAAGAGTATTTTGGGTGTAACACAATATATATATTTATTTTTGAGCGTTACAAAGTATATCCATAGTTCGGGTAAAGACTGAAGAACGTATTTTTGATTTGCACATACGTGTGTGAGTTTCAAGCTTTTATTTTGAAGGATCGCTCGCCCGTGGTGTACGCGACTCTGTTGTCTTGACGCTCCTCAACCAGTGACAGTTCAGTGTTAGTATCTCACACTGTGATTGGTGGATGTTGTTGCCTGTAAGCCAATCACTAAGCGTTTCTTTTGAGAACCGGACGTGTGTGACGCTACTGGTACCCGGACAGTCAGCGTGCTCAAGGTGAGAGGTGTTGACTTTTATAACAATTTATTAATGGACCGTCCAGTTTAATCTATAAGCTTCGTGTTAAGAGCATTCAAACGGTATCCGTGGTTACAGTGTAAAACTGTCAAAAGTTACTGCGCAGCTTTACGGCGCAGCTTTATCCAGTGATGTGTGTCAGCTAGCAGCTAGCTTAGCTCGTCAAGTTGTTACTCTTACTGTCATGAAGCAGCAGATTTGTGTTTTCTGTCTTAATTCTAAAATATAAAGCAGATTTCCTGATTTGACTAACCTTACATTAGGACAGGCTTTCCCATCCTTTATCATTTACAGTCTGTGGTCGGGGTCGCTTGTTTTTCAAATGGGGTCAAATGGTATTCATTGATAAATAAAACTGTATTAAAATATAGTGACCACATAATAGTAAAACACCAAACTGTGGTCTAAAATGAATGTTAACTTGCATCACTGTAAAAACAAAACAACATATGATTGAAAACAAATACATTTTAAAACAAACAGCTGTATGTGTTTTGGATGTGTGAGGTCAAAGAAAGGTTGGGAACCACTGTTAGGATCAAGAGGTGGATAAATAATGTCAACAACCATCAGTGGTGAGAAACAACAACAAACTACGCTAACTCTTACCCTGTTATAAACAGTAATATAAGAAATGTAATGTTTCATTCAATGTTTTTATTTGAGCGTCAGTATTTCACTTACTAGTACATGTAATTTTTTTTAGGGTAAACATCACGTTTACTCCTCTACATTTGAAAGATCAATGATGTTCTTTTGACTCCACTACATTTCTATGAATGTTGTAGTTACTACTTTTTGGGAGTTACGCCGAGATGAAAAGGCGGCACCTGACACATGGAAATGGCGCTTTGGGAGCAGGGGCGTGTCGCTTTGGGAGAAGGGGCGTGTCGCTTTGGGAGCAGGGGCGTGTCGCTTTGGGAGAAGGGGCGTGACGCTTTGGGAGCAGGGGCGTGTCGCTTTGGGAGCAGGGGCGTGTCGCTTTGGGAGCAGGGGCGTGTCGCTTTGGGAGAAGGGGCGTGTCGCTTTGGGAGAAGGGGCGTGTCGCTGTTGTGCCGAGGTACATGAAGTGCCAGTGGCTTGCTGACAAGGGGACTCGTACCACTCATACTTTTATCCTTGTGAGCTGGGATTAACTCTGCTACGAGCTTTCTGTTTAATCGGTAATGGAATGTATGAAATGCTTTACTGTCATCAATGAGAGACCAGAACAGACAATTAAACGTTCAATATAGCCTACATGAAGAAGGGACACTATAAAGCATTAAATAATTTAACACGTTCACTCACATCGTCAACAAAGACATGAATAGATAGATAGAATCTTTATTATCATTTTATACAAGGACACAATGAAACTTTGTTAGCAGCCATCCTAAACAGCAGCGTTTACAAAAAAAACAACAAAAATGTATATATTTGTGGTGATATGAGAGAGAAGTATGTAAAAAGTGGCCAGAGCAATTGCTGTTCAGTGAATGAATGATAATAATAATAAATAAATAGACAGTTGTGGTGACTGAAAGAATATATACAGTTATTATTTTGCAGTGACTGATTAATTAAATATAAATATAGAGATATAGTGCAAATAAGTGAAGTTATGGTGCAGTGAAAGAGTATATACAGTTATTATTGTGCAGTGACTGGATGAGTAAATAAACAGTTTCAGTGCAATGAATAAATAAATAATAGACAGTTAGATGAAGTACACATTTTCAGCAGTAAGTGTCGTAAAGCAAGTCCACTGGTAGTAATGTAATATGATGAATCGTGGTGAAAGATTGGCGATTCTGGAGTAAAATATGAGTTGGTGCTGTGGCATAACAGCGGGACGCAGCTGCTCCCAAAGTGTTACTTCCGTGTATCATGGTATGTGTCAGATGCCTCTCTTCGACCTCGGGGCTATTGACTTTTGCTCTGAAGGCAGCTGATGAATGTTCGTTTCTAAAATCCGATCTCAAAGACAATAAACTGTGTTCATGTAGTTCTGCATTTGGTTTGTCTTCGTGGTGTTGCCGTACCTGAACGTAGCACATCTCCATGGTTGAACGTAGAGCAAGCGTCACTCAGATCAGACAGTTCATTTAGTGGTGGTAATGAAGGTCTAATGACGGCTGACATCACTCGAGTTTGTATGAAAAAACAAATCTATCTTTCAACAGGTTTTCTCTGTCCAGGAAGGGGAAACGCTCCGACACCATGGGTGTGTTATCTACGCTGATGAGGGGTCTGGTGAGAGGAGCGGACAGGATGTCTGAGTTCACCAGCAAGCGTGGATCAAGGACTCATAATAAAGGCAGGGGAGCGAGACCCACTGGACTGAGGCTCTCCAGCAGAAAGTTTCTGTCCATACAATCCATGATCCCAGAGTTTGTGGTGCCTCACTTGGAAGGATTCAAACTCAAACCCTACGTGTCATATCGCTCACCGAGAGGAACAGAGCCCCCAGTGACGGCACAAAGTGTGTTTGCTGAGGTCGTAGCCCCTCAGATCAAGGCGAGCTTTGAAGAGGGCACTTTCAGCAAAGACCAACTGGAGAAATATGGATTTAATCCAACGCAGAAGGGGAAGCTCTTCAAGCTGTATCCTAAGAACTACGTGCGTTAAAGGTGCACTTCGGTTACGATGGATTTACAAAAACACTGAAAGCTGGAGACCAACTAATGGGACGCTTTGAGGAAAACCACAAATGTGACTTTGTGATGTGCTTAAAATATACATTTGGTTGACTTCTCAGTTACTTGATCATCTGGCACAATAAATCTTTAGGGACTATATTCCATACAAAACAATGTGTGTTGATCCGTTTGAGTGAATCATTATTCATGAGACTATTTTGCCTACAAAACTTAAGGGTTCTGGGATGTTTGTCGGAGAATAAAAGGCCTCTTGCATGAAACAAAACATACGTCCTTACAATTACTTTCCCAGGAAATAATATTTTGGTCCCCAATACTTTATCAAGTGCAGTATTTGTTGTTGCACTATGAAAGAACGCTAGCTGTGTGGTGAAAGATGATAGTGATGGACTGAGCTCCTTGAAGAGCACACACACTATTGTTCAAGTCAACAAGTTACACTAATCATAAATCATAAACAAAACAATCTTTATTCCCATTGACTTTGAGTTAAATTCCCTAGGTTTACAGCTTTGGGGAGGTGGGAGGTGCGGGCAGACGGACGCCGACACAAACACTTGAAGGAATCTTGGTGTTCATGTGTTACTTTTAATGACAGCTGTCCTGTTCTATCAGAAAGGTATCCTTAAATGACTTCTTTCCCTGATTTCTGACTCTATCCACTATCCTATCCTTACAATAAAGGCACAAAAAGCCCAAAAAACTGGATTAATGTAAAAAGGTATTAAACATAAACCCTGTCAAAATGTCATTCACTGAATCCAGGAGAAGGATTTATAAAGTGAGTTTTCCTTTGATGACGAAGACATCAGACACATTGACTCATATTTAGGATTCCTCCACAGTGTGGTAGAGTACAGAATTTGATTAAATAATGTCCAGGTCTGTTAAAAGTGTGGAGAACAACTTCCTGGGACTTTTGACTCTGTTTTTAATGGAATTATTGTACAAATGTTAACCACTGTGTGAAATAAGGAGGTAAAGAGTGAGCTTTTTATATTCATTAGGTTTGTGTGGAGTTAATATATTTGAAAAAGCTGCATATTCATCTGTACAGAACAGCTCTGACAGTCCAACCTTCTGACCACATGAACATGAAAGAACTGCAGTACCTCTAGAGTACAGACAAAGTATCAGTAATTAACATAGTCTGAACATTTCAGTAATTTGATCATACATTTATTTGGCTGGCTAGAGAAGAAAACATCACACGTAAAGGTAGCAGTGATTAGTATACTTCCTCTTTGGACAGATGTTTGACAGTTGAGCGTAGGAAAGCGGCCTCGACAACCTCAACGGATAAACATGCAAAGTCTTCAGAAGTCCAGCTCGGCAACCCCCAAATACAAAACCAGGAAATACGATACCATACGTAGAGATAATGTCACAGACATGTCAACAGTTAAAATCAGGCCCGACCGATATGGGATATCTGGAGCTTATTCCAATATCGATATTAGGAAATGAAAAAATCTGATACCGATAAATCTACACATCTTCCTTAGATCTATGTTCGATCTGTAGAGACAGATAGATATACACATTTATTGTATTGATTCCTCAAATGCAGTTATCAAACACTTATGGAAAAGATACATAAAGCAGACAAGATGGTCACTCAACTGGAAAGTAACTGTGCATGCACGTGCATAATCGCTTGACACTCTGGAGAGTGATGTTGTAATCCATATAGCGCCCTCTGCTGGTGACAGCCAGAAAGAGAACTGCCAGTTTAATACAATGATACTCAAATGAAATGCTATTTGACTGGTGGAAAAGTCTGGTAATATCAGCCCATATCTGCGGTAAAATTAGCCGATACCGCTAGTCACTTCATATGCTAATATCTTCCGATATTATCGGCTGGCCAATTAATCGGTCAGGCTCTTACATGAAATGTAAAACCATTTATTTGTCAAATGTGGTCTGAAAAACTATCAAGTATAAATTTCAGTCTTAAAGTATTGTATTTGAGGTGGACACACTGCAAACAGCAAGATGATTAAGTATTTAAAAAGTGAAAACTGGTGCTTATCAGGTTTTGTGTTTAGGTTTGAAGTGAAGATGTGGTTGTGTTAGAAGTTGAAATTTAATGATGTTCTTGCATTACAAGGTTTTAAATATAAGCGTATAAAAATCAACGTCATTATGAAAATAGATTTTCTTTCCATAATTGCATATTCTGTGATATCTTATTTTAAAGTGTAGGGACTTCAAAGTGAAGACAGTGAAAAGCAAAGCAGCAAATTAAGCCTCTGTTCTAGTCCGGCTGTATCTTCTGCTTTACTACTGTGATTAAGGATGCATCTATCTATAGTGTCAATTCAGCCATTGGTCCAGCCTGGTCAACACTGCTGAGCCTCGTCTGGAGCCCAGTCCCAGCGCCACACATGGAGCATGTGGTCGTAGAAGGAGCAGCTCGCCATCAGGCAGGACTGTGACGACGCTTCCTCAGCGGAGTTGATGCCCAGACCTGCAGAAGGGGGGGTAGGTGGTGCCGTAATGTCCTCAGGGATGTACCTTCCTGCATCATCCTCCAGGGAGGTGTCAAAGCTGGCAGTAGGAGACTCGTACTGAATCCTCAAGTGTCGTCCGCTCTCTGTGAAGCTCTCCTTTGGTTCTGCAGCAGGAGGGGAGCACGGAGCAGGTTCCTCCAGGGACAGCCGGGACCAGTCGGCTCCATACGCAAGGGAGTTGTGGAGGATGTAGGAGGCTATGATAGGACATGGTCCTCCACTGCCCTCTGGGTAATGTCAGGACAAACAGAGATATTTAAAACAGAGATATGTGACAGTCCAAAAGCCAAAAAAACTGACTGAGCACAAGGACACCCAGTAGTCAACAACACATGTCTCAGCTGACCTGGTCAGCATTACCAGCAGTGAAAAAGTTCCCCTTTAAGGAAGACCTAAGCCGTTCCAGAGGGTTTTGCCAAAAATCGCACTAGACAAAGTTGTCCTGTACCGGACTTGAGAACAATTGTCCCCTCTCCCCATTCCCCTGTTGGCCTGCACTCACACTGCTCCATGGCTAACCGGGCCTGACCACTGTTACCTCTTGTGCATAACGTCGTAACACAATACATGCATGGCTTTTCGTAACTATGACGTTCACGGGGCGCTGGTGGTGCAGTGGTTAGAGCGCGGGCCCCATGTATGGAGGCTGTAGTCCTCCAAGCGAGCGAGGTTCAAATCCGACATGTGGCTTCTTCCCCGCATGTCATTCCCCACTCTCGCTCTTCCTGACTTCCGACTCTATCCACTGTCCTATCTCTCAAATAAAAAGCCCAAAAATAAATCTTAACAAAAAAATAGACAGGCGGACTCGAAAATAAAAAATAAAATAAATAAAAAGGGAGGCACGATCGAGTCCGCATCCGCACATCTGTTGCATGAACTGTACCGTGCTGAAGCACACCCCTTCCAAGTGCCAAGGAAGTGTACCGTGCTTGAGCACAGATGGGAGAACTAGTCAAAAGAAACTGGGCTTTAGGGCTGAAGCATGCGTAGGCATTGCCTAGTTTTTTGTGCACCCTAAGAGAATATCTTAGTCAAAAGCTGCAGATAGATCCCAGAGAACAAAAATGGATTCAAAACTGCCTCGTGATGTGAATCAATAAGGACATTAAAAAGATTGGCTTTGGAATATGCCTGGAATCTTTGGACGTCCTCATCAAGGGACAATTCTTTATCTAACACAAGCTCCTGCAAAATGTATCAAAACAAGTGAAAAGGATTGAAACAAGCAGCGTTGGCATCATCAGTCCATCTCTAATATTAAAATAAACTACACAGCAAATAAAAACTGAAGATCCTCTCAATCGAGGTCTTGTTACCAAAGGTCAGATGTTAAAGTTCAATACTCTGTTTATCAACTAGTTTTTATAGATTATGTTAAGTGACACTAAATTGTATAAACCTGAAGGCTAAACTCAACAGGCAGTAAGTACCATACACTGAATGTACTGAATGGGTGTAGCCTCTTTGTTTTAAAAAGTGTAACTGCTGAAGCACCATTAACTGCAGTGAAAGCTGCATCTCTTCCTTCACACTCACCTAAGGCCTGCCTGCAGTGAAGGATGTGGAAGTCATTGTGCATGCAGGCTGCCAGCAGCAGGTGCTGATGGATGGGGTGCCACTTCAGCCTCCATACCCCCCCACCTGTGGGACTCTCACTGAGAGGCTGCCGCATGTTCCTTTCATCCCACAGCAGGATGAGCTCATCATAGCTGCAGAGAGAGAGAGAGAGAGAGAGAGAGAGAGGACAAGAGGAAGCAGTGGAAGTAAACAGTAGTGGAGTTACCATTGGTTTATTGGCATATTTACCTGCCTGTGGCCAGGATGTGTTCCTGGTGTGGGTTGCTGTGGATACTGCACACACCCATTGAGTGCCTTTGAAGAGAACAGATGAGAATTTTTACTTTACTTTTCCAGTTGCTAAAAACCTAAGAGTGTAATGACACTGACGCCAGTTCTCACCTTTTACTGGTGAAAGTGGGGCAGGACGGACCAGCCCTGAGATCCCAGCCTTTAAGTTTGCAATCATCACCACCTGTCGAGGAACGACACAAACACATGCAGAGGAAAATGATGCACTACAAACCATAAGCGTAGAGAAAGAACACAGAGAGATACGGCAGTCAGACATGACTCCCTGAGCTTCTGTAGTGAGTTCATTTTAATTACATAGTTAGAGAAACACACAGAAGTAGCTATGCAGTATTAAAAAATATATGACAGACAGTCTTTGTGTTACCAGAGTAAACCAGCTGAGTGTCCCAGTAGGAGAAAGCAGAGATCCAGGCCTCAAATTCATGAGCTTTCCAGTGTGACAGAGCCGTCAGTCCGCCCTCAGCGGGCTCCAGCACACTGACGCAGCCTGCAGAGTCGCTGCACACCACCCGCACATCGCTGCTGCTGGACACAAACAGAGGAGGAGTTAGTATGATGACCAGCGTTAGCCAATGTGACCTACAAAAAAAAGTAGGAAAATCTCATCTTGGAACACATCCCAGGAGACCATTTCTTATTTGATTTGTATCTGCATGGATGTGTTTGGACAAATGAACACTCTTAGCACATATAAAGGAGGAGCATCAGGTAAACAATGATTTCATCTGGCATCACAGGAAACTGACTCTGGAGCATGTTGACTATGTTACCTGTCCATTCTCCCAGTGGACCAGTCTAACGACAGAGCCAGACGCTCCGCTCCCACCTCCAAGCTGCTGAGAGAGCGCAGGCTGCGGCCGCCTTCCTACTGGATTACATTCAAACATTCGTGAGTGCAGACAACCACATCAACACCTGAGTCACACCAAGTCTAAACACACATAATGATGACATGCGGAGCAGTGTAAACACACTCATCCTGTAATTAAACATCACACCACTACTTTACATCAGCTCTGACGATGCAGCTGTTTTAATGTGGAACTCATAGACTGTAAATATGAATGTTTGAAGCCTGAGTGACGTCACCCATCTGTTCTTGCAGGGGGGCTCCAGATGCTCATAGGCAGCAGCCGCCATAAATCCTGTCTCAGCCTAACGACAGGCTGAGAGCTGGAGCTGAGGCGGGGTTTAATGTCTCTTGAAGAAGCATTACTGTGTGTGACTTCTGGGGCTCCTGGAGCAAGTGGACACTTGACGAACTGCAGGATTTTTGAACTTCTGCATTGGCTTCCTTTTTTGCCGCTTGGTGGCCCCTTATCATGCCGTGGTTTGAATACAGTTTTCCAGCAGTGCAAGGACAGAAAACAAGATATAGCAGAACATCTGTTTGGCGTCAGACTACAAATCCTTTGCAATCATTTGTTTCATAAACCTGAGGTTTCTGAAGATGTTGTGAACAGTCCTGATATCAGGTTCAACTTGTCGCTGTTACTCTTAAATACAACATTTCTCCTGTTTGCTTAGGGCGTTAGGTTTAAAGTTTTTACGGATGTTTGAGTTTCTTAGGGTGAGTCAGCACTTTTTAAGATCTTAAATTCCTGCGTTATTTTGGCCTTGGTCAAACAAACATCAGAAAATAAGATGTCCCAGGCGGTGATTCTTCTGATGCCACATTCCTCACCTGACTTTTTGACAGCGAGTAAAGCTGCAGCTCTCCACTGGCAACCGCCATCCCCAGCACCGCCTCCCCTGACAGCGGCACGTGACACCTGAGGAAAGAGTCAGTCAACGAGAGGGACGCAGGCGGTGACATCCAAAAGCCCTCACAGGTCAAACCGGATTTTTCTTCTTCTTCTTACCATTTCATATCTAAAATGGCCGCCGTGTCCATGCGCTGTAACTCGGTGAGAGGAGGTCTCACCAATCCCTCCCGCCGGAACTCAAACAGGTACAAGCGACCTGTCCGACTCGTGCCGGCATCCTCTCCGCCCGTCTAAAGTAAGAAGGTTAAATGTACATGATCAGTGATGTGGGAGCAGGAATGACCTGTGGTGTTAATACGTTACATTCATTAAACTCACCATACAATACTCTGATAACACAGCTCCATTCATCATGTGCACAACTTTGCCTTACATGACTTCATTTATAAAGCCATTGTCGGCTCGTTACGTTTTCACTTATCCAACAACATGAAGCTAAATTAAAGGTTATGACAGGTGTGGGTAGTGACACAGTATCAGAATCAGAAGTACTAGATAAATCCCGGGAAGGGGGGGGGGGGCTCAGTTGCTCTTATACACAATATAGCAGTAGGAATTGTAGAAATATATAACTACACAATATGGAATAAGTACCAAATTGGAGAGTATCTGAAAAAAATAATAAGTTACAAAAACACAGGGAAGAAGATTATAGAAATATAATATAAAGGAATGTGCTAAATGTGCAGTGTTGGGTTTTGCACATTAGGATCAATGAAGACAATGTGATCAGGTCTAGTATCAGTGTTGCACACATGGGTGACGACAGATTGCACAGTTGAAGGTAAACATGAAACAAAAGAGAAGTTCACAGTTAAGAGTGAAATAAGTCCAGGGTGAGACCTAGACAGACCAGAGTCAGATTTGTTAATGCTCAGGTTCTAATGACAAAGAGGACAGGTCGTATGAAGTCTCACCCCTTTGTGCAGCTGGTACGTCCCGCAGGCCAGGATGTGTTGGTCGGGGGACACAGGGGCACCACTCCACAGTGTCAGCACTCAGCTCCGTGTCAAACACCTGGAGGTTGCGGGTCTTCGACTTCCAAGCCATGACCACCTGCTCTGCATTACTGTACGTAACAGTGCCGAAGAGCTACAACGCAGAGTTATGTCAATGTTGTTCTCAATACAACAAGTGTTGGCTTAAAGCAGATCTCAAGCCTCCTTTCATTCGGCTATTTCAGCTAGCTCAGTAATATTTAGTTAAACTCTCTGAGACAAACTCAAGACACTTCACAAGACTACACACACTCAATGGATCAATAAAATATCCAAAACCAAGCTTTTGTTGAATTCATATTCAATGGATTTCCAAAAAACAACTCATTATCAACAAAACTCACATGTGAGCCAGATCCGACAGTCCCAGCTCGAGGAGCCTGCGCGTTATTACGTCACTACAGGACTAAGGGTGCATTCACGTACCAATGGGAACAAAGAGATCTGTTTAAAACGATCAGTAAATATAGAAATAATAATAATAATTTACATTATTTTTTAAATTTGTATTCCTCTATATATATTTAAATGAGATATCTGTATAAAACGATCAGTAAATATAGAAATAATAATAATAATTTACATTATTTTTAAATTTGTATTCATCTATATATATATTTTAAGGGCAAAGTTACATTTTCAACTTGTATTTTTAAAGTTAAACACAAACTATTTTTTGAATGCTTTATAATGACAGAATTCTGCACATCTCTTTTACTTTAATATTACTATTATATTGCCGTTAATTTTTTGTTTTATTTTCACTTTTGCTTTGATAATGTAAACCTATGCCAATAAAGCCCTTTGAACTGAATTGAATTGGATCGATACAAATCAAATCAAATTGAACTGAGAGAGAGAGTCTGGGACATTTCAGAGCATAAAAAGGGAAAATCACCAGGCTTAGATCAAAATGGAGTTATAAAAAGAAACCCTCATTGTCAGTGTTGTTGGTCTGCTCACAGATAAAGCAAAAATTGTATTTCTTATAAGGCATTCTAACTCCTGTAAGTGCTCATACATACTACTTATTAATAATTCATACTAGTTCACATTACACACATCATGTAAAAATTATAAAAACAACATAAACTCAAGAATCATGAAATTGAATCCATCACAAGTCAAATACTTTTATTTTCGAAGTTTTTCACCAGAAGTCGTCCTGTGCTATTGTTTTTATTATGTTATGGTTATAGGTTGAAATGATGGTAATAATGACGGTTACTGCCTCCTAGTGGTCACAGGTGGAAAACGACCCTTCTGTCATATTTTCTTTTCTTTTACCCAAAGGTTAACAGTGCTTGTGTTCCTGAATAGGCACAACATTAATTTGCTAGGGTCATGTTTTTGATCAATATTAAACTGATGTTCACTCGTCACCAAGCATTTGACAGCATCCACAGGGACAGTTTTTGGCGCATTCTACGTTTGTATGGGATTCCACAAGAAATCATCCTCATCTTAAAGGGTTTTTACACCAACTTCACATGCCAAGTAGGAAACAGCAACCACACTTTTGAAGTCAAGACTGGAGTGAGGCAAGGATGCGTGATGTCAGCATTACTCTTCAATGCCGTCATAGACTGGGTGATGCGAAGAACAACCGAAGATCAACCTAGAGGCATCAGATGGACACTATTTACAACACTTGAAGACCTAGACTTTGCAGACGACTTGGAACTGGTTTCCCATACCCACCAACATATGCAAGAAAAAACATCCCGTGTCAACAGATTTGCACAACAAATAGGACTGAACATAAGCCTGAAGAAAACAGAGGTGATGACCTTAAACACACAAAATCCCACCTATACAAATAAATGGAGTAAATATATCCACAACAGAAGAGTTTTTCATATCTAGGAAGCACTGTTAGATATGATGGAGGAACAGGCAATGACATCAAAAGCCGACTCAACAAGGCAAGAAACACATTCAGAATGATGAACAATGTGTGGAAGTCCACAAAGTACAGCATCAACACCAAACTCAAGTTGTACCAGAGCTGTGTTCTCTCCACCTTACTATACAGCTTTGAGGATGACAGAGAAAGACCTTTCCAAGCTCTCGGCATTCCACACAAGAAACCTCAGAAAGATCCTACGTATCTTCTGGCCTAACACCATCTCCAACCAGCAATTACTTGCTCGGACCAACCAAGTATAGAGACCATCATAAAAAGAAGGCGGTGGAGATGGATTGGACACATCATGCGAAAAGAACAGGATTACATTACTAGAGGTAATGTACACTCGATCTATGCAAGGGGTATTGGCAGGTGCCGCTGGCTCCAGAGGCCCGGCAGTACACTGCTTTCAGAACTCCCCAAGGCCTTTTTCAGTTTACTGTCATGCCCTTTGGTCTGCACGGGGCCCCAGCCACGTTTCAGCGGCTCATGGACAGAGTCTTGGAGGGGACAGAATCATTCTCAGCTGCTTACCAAGATGACATTGTCATTTTCAGTCTGACATGGGAGGATCACATGCGTCATCTGGGAGAAAGTCTACAGAGGCTCAAGCAGGCCGGTCTGACAGTTCAGCCCAAAAAGTGTTCCCTATCCCAACCAGAAGCAAAGTACCTGGGCTATTTGCTGGGCAGTGGTGTGATACGGCCTCAACAGGACAAGGTGCAGGCAGTGAAGGATTGTCCACGTCCCAGTACCAAGAAGGAGCTGAGGTCTTTTCTTGGCCTGGCTGGGTGGTAGCGACGCTTTGTTTCTCAATTTGCCACACGAGCAGCTCCTTTAACTGACCTTACCAGGAAGTCCAGCCCTAATCAACTGCTGTGGGAAGAAAAGCATGAACTGGCTTTTCTTGACCTGAAGGGGGCACTCTGTGATGACCCAGTATCGCAGAGCCCAGACTTCAGCCAACCCTTCGTCGAGCAAACTGATGCCTCAGGGGTGGGCCTGGGGGTGGTCCTGCTTCAGGGTGAAGGGACTGCCCAGAAGCCATTTGCTTATGCCAGCCGGAAATTGTGGCCAAGAGAGACAACGGTACTCGGCTATTGAGCTGGAGTGTCTGGCCATCAAGTGGGCATTAGAGACCTTTAAAGACTTTATTCTGGAGACAGATCACAGAGGCCTGCAGTGGCTTCATAAAATGAAAGACTCAAGCAACCGTATTTCAAGATGGGCTCTTGAGATGCAGCCTTACAGATTTAGGGTCCATTACCGACCTGGAAGGGACAATGTTGTGGCCGACTTCCTGTCTCGCCATCCTGATGGTGAGCTTTCAGGGGAGGGGGAAATGTGAAAAGGTTCTCCCATACCTTTCACCTGCCCTCACCTTCCCTACACTGACTGTGGCCTGTAGAGTGATTAGGCTGAGTGAAATCACCTGAGCTTAATTGGACAGAGTGAGGCCAGTTGGGTTGTTTCTTGTATAAAGACAGACTCAGCCAGAGTCTGTGGGAGAAATGTTTGTTGATGGCAGCTTGCTGTGAGGCTGTGTTTTCATTCAGTTTATTTAATCTAGTTGTTTTATTAGATTACCCAGGACTTTTGTTTTTGCTGTTTTGTGCTATTTTTGGTTAATAAATCAACCACCTTATTTTGCATCAATTTCTGCCTCCTGACATCTTTTTGCTCACCACCAGTGCGAACAGCCACACTTGAATCCCAATTTTGATGTTGACTTAGAATCAGTAATGTTACAGTCTCTATACCAAATGCTGTTGTAACTACTAAAAGCGACCACAAGATGGCATTCATAAAAACTACTGTGCTTTCCTTACATTTAGAGCTTTGTTCACCGAAGACAAATGCCCTTGTGTGTGTAAGCATACGTTGCCAATAAAACTAATTCTGATTCTGAAAAGTAAGTTTAAAAAAAGTCAGACTATCAGACACTTCGGCAAGTTTCCAGTAGGCCTAAGAACTTTCAAAATAAAGTAATTTAATTTTCTTTCTTTTTTTATATAGTTTATTTTTTCCAAAAAGCGCTGATTTTATTTTTATTTTGACGCAAAAGATCAAACAGCAAACCATCTGATGCTTGTAAAATCGGCACAAATGCAGAGTTTTATATTTTTTTCTCTGTCAGTTGTAGGCTACAACATGTTTTTTTTCTTATTTATCTATTATAATATATTATAATGTATAAGAAAACAAAATTTACAGTACATGAAATACAATAGCCTATAAAATAAATAATTTAGAGGGGGACAAGGGGAAAGAATGAAGTCACCGGGCATTAGATTAAAGCTTTCTTATTCTTCAATACTTTAAAGAATGACTCATAGAGAGTCTGGAGTTCAATACGAAATAAAGATTTGTGTAGAAGAAACTGAAGAAATTATGCTTTCCCAAAAGACGCAACAACTTCATCACGTTATGCCTTACTAACTACTTCGCTGTAACATTAAAGATAGTTACCATAGCGACAACTGCTGGCTAATGCTGCATTCAAGTGCAGCTCGGGTGGTCCAATATTCAGAGTTGGGAAGTAGTTCTTCCCACGTCAGTGTGTACACGTGATTTCAGTTCAAGTCTGAATGTTGTAACAGCCCAAACAAGCGTTGATGCTACGAAGTAGATGATATGTGAGCAAAATGTTGATGTGTAATAGGCTACTTGAATTAATGAAAAGTATGTTAACATTAACAAAATATATTTTGCCCCCCATGTGATGACGATTCTAACGTCAAATCGGGAAGTTGGGCACCTAATTCTTTTCCGAGTTTCCAAGTTGTTGTTCAGACTTGAGTCGGTGTTTATGTGCATTGTATAACTCGGAATCTCGTTTTTCCGATGTATCCGATACCACATGAATGCAGCATGATGTTACAACTAAATGCAAGAGGAGTCTAAGTGAAGTCATTGCAATTGTTCATCGACATTTATAAAACAAATGGTAAGATTTAACATTTAAAGTGAGTCTAATTGTTTTTAACACATTTTGTGAGATATTTTTTTTTTTTTTTTTTTTTACATCGTATTGTGACGTAACAACGCCCAGTCATGGCGGTCACGTGATTGTTGGCGTGGTGCCATCATCACATCCAGCAGCTGGTGTCGTCGGTGTAGTCTGCATCGGTTTGTAACATCAGTAGCTAGTGAGACAAATCAACATGGATTTTAACGTGAAGAAATTGGCCTCAGGTGCCGGACTATTTTTCACACGAGCTGTCCAGGTGCGTAACGTTACACTCGTTCAGAGAGCTGTAGTTCGGCTCCTTTCATTTTGACAGCCAGCTGTTACTATCGTTACTAACCATGGTCACAGTACAGTTTCTGACTTACTGCAGCAAAGTTCTCTCCCGAGCTAGCGTAACACTCTCGAAAATACAAATCAGCAGGCAAATACTGTAATTAGTAAAATCAGCTACGTCTTGGTAATAGTTTAAGGCCTACATCGTTACTAAACAGCGCAGTCCAGATGCTACAATTGGTTGTGTTGTTAGCCATCAGGTTGACGTTATCTTTGATGAAAAGCTAGCGTAGCGGCGTCTGGTAAGTAGTATGAATGGATTAAGTAAAACATAGATTAAGAAATTGTAAACTTTTATTGGTGTGGATAAGTTCGACAGGGGGCAGGGGACGGAAACTGCTGTCAGTGGAGCAAGAAACGCAGGTCGGGTCGTGAATACAGTCTATGGTCGTGAACCGGACCCTTCACGACGTCATGACATCATCACGTCCATTCCTACCTTCTCTCTGTTGATGTACAAAGACTATAGGGCGAGTGATAATAAGCTGCAGAGGCCTCTTTAAAAGGTAGCACAAAGTGTAAACAGAATCATTTACTATATTAACAAACAGGAAAATGAGTAGCAGAGTGGCCTCTTCTATTTATTCTTTCTCTGAGCTGCCATCAGACTGTTTAATGAGGAATAAAACACAATGAATACACCTGTATACAGGACAGTTGTATGTGCTGGTATTTTTGAAGCCTTAATTTATTCATCCGGACACTGCACTATAACTGAGTCATTCACTGAACAAAAATGGTTGTATGTATTATATTATAGCCACTGCCTCTCTTTAAATATTTTTATTCTCTCTCTCTCTCTCTATCGTATTCTAATAGGCATTGATCACGTTCATTGTGCTAGCTCTTTTATTAAAGCAGACCAATAAGCTTAGTCTCCATATCCTCTTATTGATAAGTAGTGTGTGTGTGTGTGTGTGTGTGTGTGTGTGTGTGTGTGTGTGTGTGTGTGTGTGTGTGTGTGTGTGTGTGTGTGTGTGTGTGTGTGTGTGTGTGTGTGTGTGTGTGTGTGTGTGTGTGTGTGTCTCTCAGTTCACAGAGGAGAAGTTGGGCCAGGCGGAGAAGACTGAGTTGGATGCCCACTTTGAGAGCCTGATGAGCCGCGCAGACTGCACCAAACTCTGGACTGAGAAGATTTACAGACAGACCGAGGTCCTGCTGCAGCCAAATCCAAGTAAGACATCAATACAGCCACCCTGACAAGTACAGAGGGACGGTTTATTATAGACTGCATTATATTCTATTCAAGCACAGTCACTCCTGTCCTGATTTATTTCACTTCTACATAAATTTTAAAAAGCAACATATAACAATGACTCATCGATGACAAACTCCTAATGGTTAGTGTTCTTATTAAATAGAGATTCAGTTGAAGATGTTTGCAATGTGATGCCAAACAGTTAAACTACTTAATGTACTCAATAATAAGGATATATATATATATATATATATATATATATGGAGGGACGTACTGGAGTAGGGAGCTCTAACTTGTGACTTTTTGATTCTCCATGCTACAGTCGATCACACTGGTGAGTATCAGTCTCCCTGTTTTAGTGCTCTGCTGTAGAAACTCTCCATGCCTTTTACTATCACTCCAGAGAAGTAGATGATGAGCATTGAGATCAAATCAGCACTGAGCCTCTCTTTGATTTAATTTAACATCTTTTTTTATTCATCTTTTCTATATTTATAGTGGTGTTTCATTCTGTCTTCATATTGTAAGAATGATATGTATGTCTGTGTTATATCACGACTAACAGTAGCTTCATCATCTCTCTTTCTTTGATCAAATTTAAACTTCAAAGTAACATGATTCATTAGTTTAGAATCGCATTTTAAGGAAATCAGAACCAAAGATTTATTTGTCATTTTGCTATTTTTTTGAACATGTTTCCTAAAGGTATGGACAGAAACAAACCACTGTGTATATTCGTTATCCTTTCTTTCATGAACTCATCAAACACAGCTTAAGGAACTAGAGCTCATTGTGCAGGGTGTTTGCTTTCTCTACCTTTAGAAATGTATCTTCTTTCATTTCTACCACTTCCATAGTTCACTTATCCTTACGTCTTAGTTCATCTCATCATCCCTGACGAGCTGATCTGACACGCTCATAACCCTCCTCTGGTCACTTAGCAACCTGTGAAGTGTGTTGTGATGTCTGTGTTTGTGGACTTTTTTTTAATGATACTTCCAACTTTTCATGCACACAAGTTGATTTCTGTCGTGCAGACTCAGTTTTCCACAAGTACCATGCACCAATTGTCAGCTGGCTATAATGTATTTCTCCTTAATTCTAAGTAAATCTCCTGCACCACTTTGTTCACAACCATTTCATAACCCTTTTCACTACTATGTCATTTATTGAAGAAAAGGACGGTACAGACAAATGTGGATTTGTTCCAACTATGTGGGCCAAGAATAAACATGATACCCAAGAATAAAACAAATACAGTTCATAAAGTATCAGAGAAACAACTTTCACAGACTATTAAGTACACTGAAGACGTCCTGATCAAGCTATCCTCGAATGTTTAGTGTTTCTTCTAATTAATAGAATAAATATTCTGTACATATGGAGGGAGCAGGCATGGCACAGTATTAAATACAAATGTAGGTCATCTACATGTTGTGTTGTCATGTGAGCATAATGGAAAGATATGACACTACAGATAGTTAAATCAGTTTGTTCCTGGGGAACGTGAACATCCTGGCTTCTACTTATTCTCTGCACTGTGTACTTGTGGAAAACAGGTTTCCTTTAAATCCAGATTTTTCATTCTGTAGACTGAACTCATCCATTATTATTTTATTATTCAATCCTCATGACAAAAATTAGACTTTGATGGTTTGTTGTTCAAAAAAGGTTTGATATCTACTGAATTATATCATAAGTGAGCTTACTATATGATCATTAAGGAAACATGCTATGTTGAAGTGATGTCTTCTCTGACAACAATGCAGCAGCCAGTATGTCCTCCTTCTAACTTTAGATTCTGCTCCTGAATGCTCTGGATTTGTTTGGACCAGAGAAGGTAGGCGGTTTTTAGACACCCCCCACACAGCCGTTTTGGACGCCCCTCAGTTTACCAGATATGAGAGCAGTTATCAGGTCAAACCAACAGGTGTTGCAGTGATGGAAGCAGACAAGAGAAGTGGTTCAGATAGAATTGTGATTGTACCCGACCTAAAAAGCCTCTGCATGTTTCTAATAAGCTCCATGAGCAGAAACGTGCTCAAACTAGGATCAATATTGGAGATGCTTTTGGAAAATGGAGAGAGGTTAGAACACAGAAAGGTTTACAGACCCATGCAGAGCTGGATAAACACTGAAGCTTCAGTGTTCACCACATGGTGACCTGTGTGAGCATCGATTCTAGGGAGGAGGGGGAGACAGGTCTCTACAATGTTTAGAATTTAGACTGCAGTACCCATTTTAAACACTAGGTGCCACAGTTACATAGTTTAAATAAATACTTTGTGGTGTAACATGTTATTGTTACTGTTACTTAGTATTATTGTAGTGATTAAAAATCAAATATATAGAAAAACTATTTCTTGCTGTTCAGTGAAATTACTGTTTTTCAAGAGCATTTAACACTTGAACAGGACTACATGTCATGGTCTGTTTAGGAGTGTGTCTGTTAACAACAATGAGCTAATATAGGTCAGAGGTCTCTATTACTTTGAATGACCCCTTTCATGTCAGTCATTAGATCTGGTGTTAATGGGAAAAAAGTTTATTTTTGAATGTATTTGGGTATAAAAACAAGGATACCACCCAGGCTTAATCCAACTCGTCATCATGTCATTTGTAGGTCTTACGTGTTAAATATGGGTTGGACATTTAAAGAGCACCTGTCCTCTCTTATTGCTCACTTGTGAAGCTCATAATGTTGGGCTGTGTCAGAGGTCTGATTCCACTCCATTACATCTTTGTTACCATAGTGGAGTGTTTTCTTTTTACTGAATCAGCTCACTACAAAACATGGACAAAATAACAAACCTTACCTAACACTCTGTCTGTTCTCTGTTGAAAAGTCAAAAGCATTGGTTCAGTTTGATTTCTTTGTCTATTAAGAAGCACTCTCTGTTGTGCCATTAATTCTGTTAGTGAGAGTATCTTCTCTCACAAGCATCACTTCTGTTGCACCTGTTGTAAGGTGTGTGTGTTATTTTGTATCCCCATGTTTTCCCAAGTAACTATTCACAGTTCCAATTTAGAACAGCAGATACTGATTTCAATAGAAAATGTGTGATAAAATGTGTGTTATTTGAAACACTCTGCCAGATACATCCTAATAATGGTCGTTTGTAGGGATGTAAAGATACCTCAGAATGACAATTTGAATCGATTTATAAAAAGATATATTGTAATTTTCCCGTTTTAAAGGTCACATATTATGCAAAATACACTTTACCCTATTTTTTTTACCACTATTACGAGTCCCGAGTGATTTAACTTTAAAGATGAATTATTTGCTATTTCAAATCACTGGCAGGAAGCTCTGAACAAACCACAGAATTTACTTAAAAGTGTTTCAAAACACACATTAAGCTTTATCAAAGAAGATTTTGATTAGAATATTTACATTACTCATATTCTTATGTCAAAGAATGCACAAATATTCAGCAGACCCCCAAGCTATGGTTTGCGGACACCTGGGGGTCCAGGGACCACACTTTGAGAATAAATAACAAAAAGATAAAAAGAATATTTACCCAAAGTTTCCGAAGAAACTTTTTGTAAGATATCATCAGTTTTATATTAAATAAATATAAATTGTTTTATTAGTAACTGGACAATGTCAAAATTAAAAAGTATTACTTCTATTTGTGAAGAAAATTATTTGTAACCTTTTTGCCTTCATTGGATTGGAGAGGTGAAGAGAGACAGGACATGTTGACCTAACCACTAGGCTATCTGGCACCCTAAAACCCTTTATTGAATGGAAAATAACACAAAGACAACATGTGAAATGTTGAAACTATTTGGAAAATTATAATTTCAACTAAATATTGTGTTTCAGTGTTTTTAAATCATCGCATTCTGTTTTAATTTACATTTTACAAAACATCCCAACTTTAAATAAAATGGGGTTGTTTTTGTAGAAGCGGGAGATAAACGTCTTATGTTAGTTAGTTTTTCTTTCAATGAGTTGAGAGCGTTTGCAGCAGAAAGCAGTCGTCTGGAGAAAAAGTGCAGCGCCCAGCATCCTTTTTCAGAGCGCTCTGCCTGTTTTGTGCGGCCGCTCCAATGAAAATCTTCAAAATATTTTAGAAAGGCACTGTTGACGTCACCGGTGCTCTTTCCCAAATGTATGATATTCCCTGTAGTTTTGCAGCCTATGGATCGTGTCTTGTACCCACAACTTCGTCGCTTCATGTCTGATTGGAAAATAAACAATCTAAAATAAAAAAACATACAGTAAAAAGTAACGGAACAATGTCGGTCATACAGACTGTTGTCATAGAGACAGGACAGACGTGCAGTGCTTTTCTCCTCAGCGCACAAACTCTTCATGCAAGCGCCCCTGAGCGCACGGACCAGCGCTTTTCTGCCTGGAAAAAAACGCTATGTGGACACAGGGCCTTAAACTCCCTAACAACAGTATAGCAAAAGTATGTGAAGCAGCACCTGTGTCAGCTACAACACCAACATTCAAAGATACCAATTATAACGGTTGATGTAAAAAGAAATTGAACTGCACTGATTTTTGGCCAATGTGACTTTTCAAAGCCACCCAGAGGGACTGCTTTCTTAAAGGTCCCATATTCTGCTTCTTCTGGTTTTATATGCTCTTCAGTGTGTTTTCCAAGTGTCCTGTGCATGTTTAGGCACATCTATGTGCAAAAATTCAAAGTCCGCGGAAACGAGGCTTCTCCTACCTCCTCCTGTTAGCTGTAGCATTAGCTGCATGTAACGCTCGGTTCTAGCCCCCCTCGATAAAAATTTGTCAGTCTGACGTTATTGTCAGTGTGAGATCACTGATCTAAGTCCATTGGCTCATTGTGGCAAGCCCTGCAGCTCATGTTGAAATTTCCGAGAAGCTGACCAATAACGACAGAGCAGATCGGCAGACCAATCATAGCAGACTTGGCCCACGTGGGGTCTAACAGTGTGGGCTCAACAGAGTGCAGCTGACGGACTCAGAGCGTAGAGGGAGCAAGGAGGAGCAGTACATGAAAACAGATACTTTTTTCAAACTTTAGCTATTGTGAACGTACATAAGTAGATACATAGATTAAATATACGAACCCCAAAAAGGGCAGAATATGGTCTCTTTAAACACCACTATATTGAAGAATATGTAACATTATTATACAATTTTCTGTTAAACAATTGTAATGTGGGCCACTGTCTGTTCAGCAATGATTCTCGGTTACATGATCTACATACAGTGCTCAGGATAAACTAAACAATTAGGTTGGAGAATGCTGTGCTTAATAAACTTCACAGAGACATCATTCACATCAATGTGTCCATTTTTTTTAAAGAAGCTTTAATATAAAAGACAAAGTCAAATCATAGGAGTATATCAGTGATGTATTGTTATATGGCTGCTTTTATACAGAGATAGAACTTAGTCCACTATCTGGCTGAAAAACACTAAACCAGTGAACAGTTACACTTTCACCACAAATCCCCAGTTCATAAGGTTTCTGTGGCAAAGGTGTAAGCACACCACTGGCACATTTTGCATCTAGACCATTAGCTTTCCTTTAACCTCTGTTTTTGTCTTCATTGACTCCAATACAACACTTGGTGAACACTCGCTTGTTCATCAGCCTCCCTGTCATTCTGGTTTACTGAGCGAAATGTGTTCAGTATGTTTCATATCAACTGTCCACAGGGCTCAATGGGAGTGTGTGGAGAAGCTTCATGTTAAAAGATAAAACAATTATCTAAAAGAAGCCTATTTCAAATAAAACACAAGTTACTTGTGAATGAAAGGATAAGCTCTCAGAAGACACTCCTCATCCCAAATATGCCCCTACACTGACTAGTCACATAACCTTCCTTAAAGAAACTAGTAGCCAGCGCAACCAAAACAGCGTTGCCACCTTCAACATGTGAGTTAGCCGGGTAGTGAGTTAGCTAGGTTGTGAGGTAACCAGGTAGTGAGTTAGCCAGGTATGGATTTAGCCAGCCAATGAGTTAGCCATGTAGTGAGTTAGCCAGGTATGGATTTAGCCAGCCAATGAGTTAGCCATGTAGTGAGTTAGCCAGGTATGGATTTAGCCAGCCAATGAGTTAGCCATGTAGTGAGTTAGCCAGGTATGGATTTAGCCAGCCAATGAGTTAGCCAGGCAGTGACAATGCCGTTACTACCACCCTACCCCTTCTGGCCCAGCAACTCAACCGCGTAGACTTATGGCAGTCCCCTGACACTTGTGGAGGCGTGAAAGTAAACTTCAGCGTCTCAGAGCCACCCCTCTCCATGTTGGCTCCAACCACCCACTACTCAAGTGGGAACGGGACAGGATTTTGACTCCATCCCATGCCACCGTCTCTATTGGGTTGGCTAACTGTGTCCCCAGTTCTACGGCAACTTGCTGAGCACGATATACCAACAGCGAGAGTCGCAATCCAAATGATGATGTGTACATTCAGAGAGGTCTATTTACTCATTCTATCTGTTCACATTGACTGCTCAAATAGACCATTAGGCCACCAGGAAATACCCTCCTGCTCCTGAATCCACACCTGAGAGAGGGATCAGTATACTCAGAGTTTCAGATGCTTTGTTTGTGCCACCGACTTATTCTCTTTTCCTGGCTTTCTCTGCAGGTGCCAGAATTGAGGAATTTCTTTATGAAAAGTTGGACAGGAAGGCACCATCCAGAATTACCAACGCAGAGCTGTTGGGTCAATATATGCAGGATGCAGCGAAGGAATTTGGTCCTGGCACTCCATACGGTTAGTATTCAAGAAGTTTAAAACAAGAATCAAGGGTTCAAAAGTAACATTTGCAGAAACCATCGCAGTCGCCATTGGATAATCCTTAACACATCTAAAGATGGTCTGGGTTGCCAGGTTTATTTACACTGACACCACATTCCTATGAAAACTGTTCATCCATCATGATGAAAGATGACCTCACTCCTCCCTATCTTAAGCTGCCTGTCAAAAAAATACACCAAAATCTGCTAGCTTCACCTCACTAATAAAATGTAAAAACTGTGTCTATAAAATGAACAACATCTGATTAAATAAAGAATACATTACAAAATACATTTTATAAAACTCTGTGGTAATGGAATTAAATCTTGTTTCTTCCAGGTAGCACTTTGATCGAGGTGGGTGAATTTGAGCGGAGATTAGGAGCAGCAGAGAGGGAGTTCCTACAGACATCAGCAATCAGCTTTCTCACCCCGCTCAGGAACTTTCTGGAAGGAGACTGGAGGACCATTTCAGTGAGTCTGAGACCTCACACTGACACAACAGAAAGGCTGTTCACTGTAGTCTTCTATGTCTAAGTCAGAGTGATTTATACCTTCAAGAACTTTATATCAATAAAATGATTGAAATGAAAAATGATGAAATTATGTTTTCAGCTAGTGGAATTAAATAATCGTGATAACAACAAATGTATCTTGATTATTCTGCCTGCCCTGAAGACAGATCCAGTTCTTCGATTGTTTAAGGCCTATATTAAAATAGCCTGACATACTTTTAATTTATTATATAATGATGATGATATGATATAATTCATAAAATGAGTTTGTCAGTGAAAAGTTTCTTTGGTACTCTTAATGTTTGTTATTTGTGTTCAAACTGATATCATATGTTATCACATAAACAAATGACTTAATCAACAGAAATTGGAAGTGAGACAAATTATAATGGTATTTATGTGATGAATAAAAAGAAACCAAACGTTTTGATTATACAGTTAATTAATTTTTTTTTAACAAAAACAAATACAAAAAATGTCCTTAAAGTTTTACATTATTAAACTGGGACTTTGTATGTCTGACAGAATTGACCAAATGTATGTCCTCAGCAGCAGAAAATGCTTTTTTAGAAAAGAATGAACCACAGGGAGTTCGGCCCATTACAAGGTTTAATAGCTAAGACTTTGATCTTTTAAAAATAAATCTTCTCCGCACACTTGACGAGTACAAATTAAATAAAACACCCAAAATTGATTTTTCTCCAAATTCTCAAGAATGAGTGTTACATAGAAACGTTCTAGACAAACTTGACTATATATCACATTTTCTCTCTTCACTCTCTTCAATATTTTTCCCCCCTACATTTATAAGTGTGGCCACCAGAGGGCAACAGGACATTTTGATTTTGATTGGGTCATGCTGGCACTGCTTACATTGGCTGTGGACGCTCACTGCTCAGCTCCACTGCTCCCACTGATTATGTCATTTTGTGTGTACTCAGAAAGAACGCCGCCTTCTGGAGAACCTTCGCCTGGACCTGGACGCCTGCAAGGCCCGTCTGAAGAAGGCCAAGCAGGCCGAGGCTAAAGCTGCTGTGAGTCATTTTAGTGAATCCCATGTTCAATTCTCATCTCCCTCACTCATTAATCACTATTTTAATTAAAGCTTTTGTTGGTGCCGCCCCTGACTAACTCTCTGTATGTGCATAACCTTTGCAGTGCGAGGGTGAAGTGAGTATTAAAGACATTCTTTCAGTATGTTGCAACATGTTGGGTTGTTTTTCTGTCTCTTTTGCTTTATATCTTTTCCTTCAAGTTATTGGTTGCAAGAAACCAATAGTTACCAACTCAGCAATGGACTGAAAAACAACCTGGACCTGATTCTGCTTCAGCTTTATTCATTCTTCGGCGTTAGACGTTTTTAAAATAGAATCATACACAGTTCATGGCGCTGCTGTGACCGCAGTAGGCACGGACAATTTGTACTTTTTTCTTAAGAATTCTGAAAAAAAAAATCAATTTGATTTGCAGACTTTGTACGACACAAGTACAAACTAATTCAAATGCCTGAACTAAAAGCTACTATGACAGCATACCTTTCTTATTTGAATATGATCGAGGCATAAATGTGCCCTCTTGTGTGTTTTTTAAGTGTCTTCTTGTTTCACTGTTAGGTTTTTAAAAAGTCTGACTGTAACTCAACTTTTGATTTCAGTGCAGCACTAAAATGACTGCTGACTGATAAAGCCAGACTTTTGTGACATCATTGCATGTTGGCATGCGCATGATAAAGAAACTCCTCCCGACTGGCCTTGAAGCTTGTAGGACGGCTTGGTCAGCTCGGTAAATTACCCAGATCAGTCACTAGTTTCTGTGTTGCTGGAGACAATGTTTACAAACAGTAGAATTACATCACCTCTCTGCACCTTTCTTTTATCAGTTCAGGCACACCTCAAGAGAAGGTATTCCTGCAGGTATTACCTAGCAACAACCCCTCCCGTGTATGCAGTTGGCTTCAACCCAATACTGCACTTAGAAATAAGAAATGACTAATTAGCAATCCATCATGTTTCAAACGAGGGTCTCTACATTTTCAAACATATTTTAGGGTCTAAATGGCTCATAGGTACAAATCAACTAGTGGATGACTACGAACACCCTAAAGACTTTAATTTAAACTTTCAGTGCAAATTCTCCTGGTTTATGTTCTTCCACTTAAAGTGTTTGCCCCTCTCAGGCTCGGTTTGTTATTTGAAGGGAACATAACAGAGATGCAGCTCTTTGGTTAAGAGTAGAACTGTTTCTTTTAAAGTGAGAATCACTGTTTTGCTACTTCACTCGGCTGCCTCGACTGATTGTTTTTCTTTGCTGTTCAACACAACATCTGTTCAACACAACGCCTTCAGGCTGTTCGCTGAAGCTGAACTTCTTGAACCTTTACAACGACAACTTTCGTAAAAAATACAAGGTGTCATGAATTAAAAAATACCAAAAATTAAGGTCAGGGCCCAGATTCACAAAACTTTCTTAAGAAAACAAAAAAAGGTCTTAAGTGCTGCTTTCTTCTTGACTTCAGTCTTAAGACAAAAGTTAAGAAGATTTGATATTCATGTATGAAGTGTGTATTTATTTTCTTAACGTTCTTCTTATGTTTCTTCCAAAAAAAAATAAACTTAAGAAGAAACAAGAAATCAAATCTTCGCAATGTTCTTCGTAACTTTAAGATCACACTACACCTGTCCTAAAATTGTTACCGTGAAAAGGTACGCCTCTAAATTTATTCATGTAAACACATTTCAGACAATCAATTTAAATTTTCAGTTTTACTAAATGTGTCTAACGTTTATTTTTAATTTGAGCTTGACACTGTTGTTTTTGCTTTAAGTCTCATGTCTCAAATGAGCAAATTTGACAGCTAACTTTAATCTAATTTGCCTTTACCCAAAGAAACTAACTCATGTTGAAACCTTTTTTTAACTACCGACAGACAGCAATAATAATGACAAGCATGCTTATTTTAATATACTGAAATAACATCTTGAAGTTAGTAAGAAATTAAACAGTTCTTAAGAAAATAATCAGGAATGAGACATAAGAAGATTCTTAAGAACGGCTTAACTTTATTATGAAGAATCGTCCTCATTTTTATCTGAAGAAAATCTCTGTGAATCCGGCCTGTGTCTGACTAAACTCCAAATACAAGCTTGACCAGATTACTGACTGGAGTGCGTATCGATCTTCCACGAGACACTCATTATATCTTAATTTCTGGAGTGAACTGAAGCATGTTGACTGTGCGATAGAATAAGTGTTGACTAACAGTAACCTTTAACATTTTTACATTTACTTTCACTGTAGATGGCTCCAGACTTCCAGGAGACTAGACCTCGTAACTACGTGCTTTCTGCAAGTGCTTCTGCGGTAAGAACACAGATCTCTGACTTAAGCACTTTCACACTGACGTAAACTGTGCCGGCTCCTGTGTACATACTGTATAGTCTTATCAGAAACAAAGAGTGAAAGGTCAGCAGGAAGAGGTGTGTGTTTTATTATTGTTTAGTCAGAACGCTTAACGTTCTGGTAGGAATGCAGTGCAAGTTGCATTGCACACCTTTGTGTCATCCTGTCTGATAATATGTAGTGTATGTAACACTAATGAGAAGTGTTGGCATTAAATTGATAAGAAGCATCCTTCAAGCTCAGAGGGATGTTGCTCATTAACTCTTCATACTCTCTCCCCTGATTTATTGAGCTTTAAGTTGCTAAATTGTTTGCCACGCTTTGAGGAGTTTCCTGAGGTGATCTCAAATGGAAGTATTGTTAATGAGCTAAGATGTGAAAAAACTTTGGAATTTTTGGGGCTGATAGCGATACCATTATTGGTGTGGAAAAAAATTCTGATCCTGATATAAGGGCCCGATATATTTTTTTTAGCTCTATCTCTTATTTGTAGAGAGATATAGATATATACATATTTATTGTTTTGGTCCCTCAAATGCTGTTATCAAACAAAAAGATATTTAATCATAAGACAATCAATAAGACAAGATAATTTAGTTTTTGAGTGATCAATATTAAAAAAAACTACCCTACGTATGTCTATATGTAATTAATTATTTATCGCTTTATTTGTCACTAACGTGGAGATTAAAGGTCACATATGCAAAATACACTTCACTGTGTTTTTCCAACACTAATATGTGTCCCTAGTGTGTCTACAAACCCCCCAAGTAAGAGAAAAGTCCATCCTCTCCGTCTTTTCCCTGCTCCACTTTTCAGAAAATGTGTGCTCAAACAGGCTATTTGAATATTTTCCCTTCATGACATCACAAAGGGCAGTAACCCCTCCCCCAAGTAGTGACACTCCCACAGCTAGGTGTTTGTTCTGCCCTCTGAGTCTGCCTTCTTACTGTAAACAATAAGACATGGAGGGAGAAAGCCCTTCCAGAAAGGGGGTGTGGTCAGACACAGCTCATTTACATGTTTAAAGCTACAGACACAGAAACAGCCTGTTCTGAGCAGGGCTGAAATAGAGGGGTTTATAGACATGATCAAATACAGGATCAGAGTGGATTTAGAGCAAGAAACTTCTCAGACATGTTTTTGGGGGCTCTGAGACTTATTTACACTGGTTTAAAAGGAGGAGAACATGTGACCTTTGAATGATGTCCCTCAGTCTTTGTCATGCAGTCACATATTATATAGCCTAATAATGCTCTCTCTTTGTATAATCTGTTTGTTTCTTATCGCCCTTTTATAATGTTTTTAACTCTTATTTTTCTCCTCTTATTTTTCTGTTCACCTCTCAGCTGTGGAGTGAGGAAGTGGAAAAAGTAAGTACAATAATGTTTTAGTCATGAACTTTAGCCTACCGCCTCTTCTCCAGGACTGAGCATTCCTGAATGTTAGCTCACGAATACAAATACATTCAGGAATCTCTCTGTTTGCTTTCTATCTCCAAGCAAGATTGTTAAGCACTGACCAAATGCTTCTGCAGCCCTCCATTCTTTTAACCCTGCCACATTATGTAAACAGATGTTACATGGTCAGAATACGGTTAGGGCAAATTAAATGAAATGGAGTGGGACCAGAGGTATGTGCAAGGATAATTCAAACATGAACATTCCAATGGAAGATTTGAGTTGTTAATTAATTACTGATGTGTTTTCAAAATTGTGAAATACAGAAAAAACAGCAGAGTGGCACGGGTTGATGACAGTGCGTGATTAACAGAACCACAGAGTGTGGGAATGGACCATGGTATGCTTTCCAAACAAAGTGTGTGTCAGATTCAGGAACCCTCAGTATTACCGTAATATCTATTAAATTGATTTAAAAGGGGTAGGATTAGATTCTTCCTGCTCCTTTTTGTGCATGTAAGAGCGAATGAAGGACATTTAATTTTCTTTCTCATGTTGTGTATTTATTTTATTTGTTTTCCACATATTTTTAATTTCAGCATTTCTTTGTTTTTGCTTTTGTTTTTTACAGTTCAAAATAAAGAAATCAAATCAAATCTCACTGAGGTTTTAAAGACAGAGGTTTTATGACATGAAAACTTGGTCCATATATAATATTTCAATGACCTTTATTATCAGCCAACCGTATCTATTACCGGTGCTTATCTTAAAGGATGTCTTTGAAGTCAAATCTGACCGTCAGGTGTGCAAAGGTAATATGTCACTAACGTTCTTTCTGCTGTTTCAGGCTGAACATGAGCTCCGAGTGGCCCAAACAGAGTTTGACCGCCAGGCAGAGGTTACACGGCTGCTTCTGGAGGGCATCAGCAGTACACATGTAAGTCGGCCATACGACCTCCACTTCATGTATCAGTAGCATGATTCAGACTCCCTGTTCACAGACTGGGACACTGATACTACACCATCGCTGAATCATTATGAATGCACAACGACGTTATGACAGCTGAGCTGAGTAAGGGCTTAAACCCAGTCACACACTTGTTTAACTCCTGGTTGGCAAGTTTTTCACAGCACTTTAGTCCACTCTCAGACTTGGAAGTAGTGCTGGGAAGCTTTGGGTGTCTCACATTTCGATCCAATTTTGATTCTTTGGGGTCTCAATTGGATTCAGAACATATTTTCGATTCAAAATGATTCTGGATTCATGATTCAAAGTCTTTTTTTGAATTAGTACATACTTCAGGATCTACTCCAGTCATCTGTGAGACTGGCTGAATTTCTTGCTGCTCCATTTGGCGTTCTACTGAGTTAAAGAGCTAGCATTAGCACTTAGCAGGGAGTGACTGTCAGTGGCTTGCTCTACGGAGGCCGCGAAGTGTGGAAGGCGAGACAGGAGGCGTTTGGAAAAAAACAAAAGGTTTTTGGAAGTTATGAATCTACTTAAAATCTCAGAAGATAACGATCTCAATTTTTTATTTAGGTTTATTTAGTTTCAGATGCACAGTATGTAAAATCATAATGCAAGTACTCAACAATAAAATATATATAACATAGGTTAAGTCAATTTTAATTAATCTGTGTGCTGCTGTGGAGTGAGGAAGTGGAAAAAGTAAGTACAATAATGTTTTAGTCATGAACTTTAGCCTACCGCCTCTTCTCCAGGACTGAGCATTCCTGAATGTTAGCTCACGAATACAAATACATTCAGGAATCTCTCTGTTTGCTTTCTATCTCCAAGCAAGATTGTTAAGCACTGACCAAATGCTTCTGCAGCCCTCCATTCTTTTAACCCTGCCACATTATGTAAACAGATGTTACATGGTCAGAATACGGTTAGGGCAAATTAAATAACTCAAACATGAACATTCCAATGGAAGATTTGAGTTGTTAATTAATTACTGATGTGTTTTCAGAATTGTGAAATACAGAAAAAACAGCAGAGTGGCACGGGTTGATGACAGTGCGTGATTAACAGAACCACAGAGTGTGGGAATGGACCATGGTATGCTTTCCAAACAAAGTGTGTGTCAGATTCAGGAACCCTCAGTATTAATATCTATTAAATTGATTTAAAAGGGGTAGGATTAGATTCTTCCTGCTCCTTTTTGGGCATGTAAGAGCGAATGAAGGACATTTAATTTTCTTTCTCATGTTGTGTATTTATTTTATTTGTTTTTTACATATTTTTCAGATTCAATTTTAATTAATCTACATATTTTAATGTAAACAGAAGCAAATTCCACTTATTATAATAATTGTGTGTGTGTGTGTGTGTGTGTGTGTGTGTGTGTGTGTGTGTGTGTGTGTGTGTGTGTGTGTGTGTGTGTGTGTGTGTGTGTGTGTGTGTGTGTGTGTGTGTGTGTGTGTGTGTGTGTGTGTGTGTGTGTGTGTGTGTGTGTGTGTGTGTGTGTGTGTGTGTGTGTGTGTGTGTGTAGGTCAACCACTTGCGCTGCCTGCATGAGTTTGTCGAGGCCCAAGCAGCGTACTACAAGCAGTGTCATTTCCACATGCAGGAGCTACAGAAAGAGCTGGGAAGGTGAGAATCAGACGGGAGGTAACGAGGTGGGACTGTCTGCTTCACAAAAGTTTCACGTTGCTTTACAGGCCCGCCTTTCTTCTTCATACAGACTGCTGTAGAAACGACTTCTCACATAGGAGATGGGCGTATCTTATTAAGATGATGCAGCTGTCTTAACCTTCATTTTTTCTAATGGCCAGCAGGGGGCGACTATACGCGTTGCAAAAAAACAGACCTATTGTATGTATTATTGTATGATTTTTTTCTCTCCTTCCAAGTCTTCTATGAAACATCATGATGTTTTCATGTAAATTTACGGTCCCATTTAGAGTAATGGAGACAAGAAAGGGCGTGGCTACCTGAAGCTTACAAGTATTTCACACACTGCGACATGTGAGCCAGGATAGAGGAGTAACAATCTACCCTAAATAACCCTGATCAGAGCCCTACTGCAGGCTCAGTGTGAGTGCTTCTCATGGATGAAGGAATGAAGATCTGAAATCACATCGATCACATGTTTTTTGTCCCTTTAAGTGCACCGTAGCTAAGCCAATGCCCCGACAGCAGCGTCTCCCTGTAGTCACAGTGACATTGAATAAATCATTTCACTTTAAAAAAAAACAACGAGTTTTTGGAATTTTCAAAAATAAAAAGTCAAAATAAGTCAAAAATAAAATCAACCTCATGACATCAAACATTTCACTTTCTTACCATCCTCTTTAGCTGTTTTCATTTAGTTTCTGTAAATAAGAACTTCATTTTAATATGTGGTTAAGTTAATGTCAAGTTCCTTATTCTCTTTCAAATTAGAAGCAGGAAGTAAAGTACCCAACATTTAGGACCAAGCAGCAACCTCTGGTGTTGAAAAATGAAGCCAATGCAGAAGTGCAAAATCCTGCAGTTTGTTGAGTGTCCACTAGAGGCTGGCTCCAGGAACACCTGAAGTCACATACACGTGACAGCCAAAAAATAGGTTTTTACAGCAGAAAGAAACATGTTTACAGCCTGGTTAAAAAAACAAAATGGGTATGAGTAGTTATTGTCATCATGGGCTCACACTGTACGGGGGATGAATTTCTTTTTTAAACGGCTCCGTTTTGATTTCATGAACAAAAGTGTTATCCATAGTTAGGTGTGTAGCTGACATGATGATGACAGGTCGGCGCGATGTAACGGTTCGTCAAGAGGCTTTAAATATTTTTTTTTTGCCAGTCAGTGCTTTTTGTTGTTGTTGTTGTTGTTTTTCTTCCCATCACCACAAATCATTTTCACTGTCTCATGCAGCTCTGGTGACGACGTGTGAGTACAACTCGTCACCTTGTTTGCTCATGTGATTTTCTCTTTCCTCTTTCTGTCTTTTGTGGTTGTCAACAAAATAGCCGGTTTGTTTTTTGTTTCAAAACGTCCTAAATACTTATAAACACTGATGGCTAAACATCCAGAGTGATGGAGGCTACAGCTCTGAGGAGTAAAAAGGGAAAAGCTGCTCCTCAGACGTGTAGTCTTTTGTCTGAGGCCTACTTTGTCTCAGCCCCAGTGAGAGAATAGCACTGAAGGGAAAGTGAGTCATAAAATACGTTCATCCTTTTTCAAAGATGTTGACTTTAAACGTATTACGTGCAGGAAGAGGGTTTTTACGTTTCTTTTTCCATTGACTCCTCTGGGTCATGTGTTGCAGTGCCGATGTGCAGTCTGCGGTTGTGTGCTTCTTTGTGAATGCCTTGTTTATTTTTTTGTCCTTTTGAAAAGTCCCTGCTTTGTGTTATTTGATATAAGTATTTTTCTGCTCTCTCTCTCTCTCTCTCAGGCTCCCCAATGCTTTTGCACTGAACTCGACTCCCTCCATGGTTCCTGCTGGCTCAGCAACAGACGGGGACAGCACTCCCGTGGAGACAGACACTCTGAAGATTGAGGAAGTTCAGGCACCAGCTACGGGAACCCGCAAGGCCAAAGTCCTTTATGATTATGACGCTGCTGACTCAAGTGAGCTCTCCCTTTTAGCTGATGAGGTGAGATTTCATCATCAAGCTGCTGTTGGCTGCTGGCCAGTAATCTCTCTGAGTATAAGTGTTCAGAATAGCCTCACTCTTGTAATTATAGTTTTTAATTTTATTACAACCTTGTTTTCCCGGTTAACCTTCGCTCTGGCTGTCTATTTGAATATTGGTTGTAAAGCCATTTTCACATTTGCACTCTTGAAAATGTCTTATGTACCCTGAAATCTTCCTGAGGTTCTTGTACTTGTACACATGCACTCACTGCAGGAGACACTATTCCTACCAGAAACAGTAGATGAAGCCACAGTGTCCTTTACTGTGATGACAATTAAATCAATGCAACATGTGAATTTGACTTTCTCACGGCAAACAAAAAAAAGAGTGGAGGAGTACATAACCGCTCCCAGAAACACAGTGACACACTTTCATTACTTGTAAACTGATCCTTCCTGTTGGAAGTTGACTCACCGGTGAGTGGGTGAAGAATCTGAATACTTTCTGTAGTGATTGGCTCACCTCGACTTCACACAGAAAATTAACTGGCAGGAAACATTCCGGGAGAGTTTGGGGTCAAAATTGAGTCTCTTTTATTCAGGGAAGATTTCCAGGTAGTTTTGTGCGATGTGTGAAAGTGACATCTAAAAGTGTGTGTCCTCTGTGTTGCAGCTCATTACAGTTTACACAGTGCCGGGAATGGACTCTGACTGGCTGGTTGGAGAGAGAGGGAACCAGAAAGGAAAAGTGCCTGTCACATACCTGGAGCTGCTCAGCTAAAGAACACACACACATGCTCACACACTCTAACACACACACACACACACACACACACACACACACACACACACACACACACACACACACACACGTGCATGTGCATGTGTGTGAGTGTGTACAACAAAAAGCCATGAAGATTTTTCATTCACCTTAATTATTTCACACTCTCACACTAACCTGTAACCTTCAGTGTTAGGTTTAACACACACACACACACACACACACACACACACACACACACACACACACACACACACACACACACACACACACACACACACACACTGACAGCAGGGAGAATGGAGACATTGTTACAGTGAGAAGAGGAAAATCCCAGAGGGGAAAGGTTAACATTCCTTTTAGATTCGTTTTCTGATTTATTATTATGAAGACTTTTTTTTTTCCTTCTATTTATTTGGTATTTATTGTTGTGCATCCAAAAGGTTCAGGTGTAACCTTTACACTGTCGGATATATTGAGTGTTCAAATCCTGTTCTGTTTCTAAAGAAGTCTCCATCCCTGAACATGATGTGGCCTCTTACATTTTAAAGAAATACAACATCCAGAAATCACAGGAGAGAACTGCAGCCTGGCAAGAGAGAGAGAAAAATGTGAGGGGGGGAGGACATTTTTTATTTCTTTATTTTGGATCTGACAATAACAGAGACTCTTAATATATAATTATATATTAATAAAAAACAAAATCAAAGCACAGAGCTGAAATATTGCCAACAATTGAAGAGATTTCAGGATTTGAAATGTTGAGAATAAAGTTAAACCGTCAGCCCGTTTAGGATGTAAATGAAGGTGTTGGAGGAAAACTTGTTTTTGTCTTTTTTTTAATTCTCCTTTTATTCTAATCGTCTTTGTCACCTGATTATTGAAAAGCAGAGTGAAACCATCTTCCTCCTCTCGTTGTTTTTGTCTGTCTTCTTGTGCCGGGCACCAACATGCCTCCATTTAAAAAAAAACAAAAAAAACGAAACACTTTGTTGCACTGATCCTTTCCTGAGTGAAGAACTGTTAAATGATTTTGTCTTTATAGAGGTACGTTCAAAACAAACGTTCGACGCCTCCTCTCCCCGTTAAAGGGGCGATGGTGGGTCGAGATCCTTCAGAGTAGTTATTTGAATAGCGTGCATCTCTGTATGACACACACCTCTGATTGAAGACGTGTGATGATTGTGACCTCATCATGACAAATGGCTCCTTCATGCCCCTCATGCCTCTTTATTTAAAATGCATAAAGAAAAGCTTGAAATGTAGTGTTGTAGAACTCCAAATCGGTCTTGGTCTCAAGACCACTTTTTGAAGGTCTCGAAATTCATTTTTACTCGGTCTTGTCTCGGTGTCAGACTGGATGGACTCCGTATTTTATATCCAGACCCGTCAAGGCCACCTCTGTAAGGCTACTTTTCCCCGTCATTTCTGTGATTAGAAGGAAGACGCCTCTTTCTTAAAGAACCAGTAACTTTAATTAATTTGTAGTTTGATTATTTCCCAACCAGTTACAGCCACAACCTTCCCGTTGTTATGGTCAAAGTGAGTGACACGCCCAGTGCACACAAGATGAGGAATTTTCAGAGACATTTTTAGTCTTTATCTTGTCTCAGTCTCGGAGCTCGCTGGTCCCGGGTATGTCTGGTCTTGGTTAGTGTGGTCTTGACTCCAACACCAGCTCACTGACGTGGCTGAAATTCTGTTCTTCTCTTTTTTTCGTCCGGCATGACGTGAACAGAGTTTCATTTCTGTGTTTGGTATTTTTGTTTTGATTCCCAACCAAAGAAATTCAGAGCCGACAAACAGGACAGACGTAAAACAGTATGTTTTGTCCGCCTGGGAGCAGCTTTGCCTTAACTGCTAACAGACGTGAATGTAATCTGTAAATTCAAGTGTGTCGACGCTGCAGCAGGAGGAACATCCATACCAACAGTTTCACTTCATTTAATGTTCATCCATCTCTTCTTATTAAGACTTTTATTTTTTTATTATTCATTTATTTGAATGTTTTTTCTTTTTTTTTTTGCCTCCAAAAAGCTTTCAGCGATGGAGTCATACAAGTGAATGATGAAGTGAAAGTGGAAATCTGAAGAGAAACGTATACAAGAATAAAGAAATGTGAAAATAAAGACAAATAGTCTAATATCATAGAATCATTATGATTATCAATCATTAAATGTTTCTGTTTAGACCTAAAGTTTAAAGGATTTATCTTCTTATACATATGTATAAATGTACTGCAGTTCAATGGCATGATTTTATTCCGGTTACATTTCTTTATTCTTTGATTTCAGGGCCGGGATCGGATTTGAACCCGTGGCCACTGAGACGAGGACTACAGCCTCTGTACATAGTGCACCCTGATAAATATAAATATATTTCTAACCACTTTAAAATGTACAATACCGAAGCCCTGAGTGAAAATGCATCAATATAAGAAAATACAACAAAACTGTTTTTTTCCATGACAGTTTAATTTAATTTAATTTAATTTGATTTAATTTGATTTAATTTACTTATTAACAACTACATTTTGGCTCTTTTCTTTAGATCTCAATTAATGTTTTCTTGTTATATCAGGATAATAATGGTGGTTTCATGATGTGGAGAAAACTACTGAAGGAAAACAGAGCTCAATCAAATCTATGCATGTATGTGTTTGTAGGGCTTCAGTAATCTAACCATATGTCGTTTCCTTTTTAAAATGCTTTATTTCTACATTTTGTAATTTCACTCTTTCACTGACTTCTCTTCATTTTTCCACCTTCATTTCTTCTACATATTTATTATGACTCCATATCCAACAAGCACTTCAGCAAACACACACCAACACGCTCTCGTCCTAACTGCCTTAAGATGATGGGTGGGATGATCTGCTGCACTCTGAGCGCGTGCTCTTCACTCCTAAACGTCCACACGACAAACAGCATGCAGCACCGTTACTCCTCTCATCCCGTGTGTGTGGGTTTGCGGGTTTGCCCTGGAGTGTTATTTGAATTTTCCTGTTTTTTCCCGTCTGCTGCTGTTTCGTCTGCTAATTCTTTGAAGTGTCTTCAGTCTTCGTGCTGCATGTGCTACAGCGTGTAGCCTGTCCAGCTGGACCTGTGTGTGTGTTTACGATGATACATGTAGCTGTAAGTATGTTTGTGTGAGAGGTCAGGAGCACTACTCTCTCTCTCTGTCTCACATCCAGTATGTGTACATGCATGCACTCTGTCAATTTTCAAACTTGTTTTTTTTTTTTTTGTTGTGTGTTTGTGTGAAATGAGCACGTGTGAAAACACAAAAGCCTGCTTACAGAGGAGACTTGTGTTAATAGTTGTCTTACCTGCAGTCGTCATGACGAGCAAGTCAGAATGGGTTCTCCTTATTTTATTGCTTCCTGCTCTCTCGTCTTGAGCTCATTATTTTCTTTGACTGATGCTGTTGTGTTTTGTTTGTTCTTTATCTTGTATTATTATTTTGTCCAATAAGTATTGCCTGCTCTTTAATGCTGAGTGAGAGAAATGTTTGGGATTTAATAAAAAAAAAAAAAAAAGATGTCTGATTTACTTGATTTGAGTTTGGTTTTTTTTAGACAGAAGCTTTGTGTTGCTGCGGTTTAAAGCTGGAGGCAGCACAGAAGTGTCTCAAGGTGCAATCGCTGCAGAATGTGACCACAAAGACACAATAACATTTTTTTTTGGCCAGGCCATCTGCGTCAAAAGCCAGTGATTTTTTTTAGGGACGTCATGGGTTTGTTTTCCTACTTTATATAGCCCTTTTTAAAAACAGCTTATGAAGCACTTCACATACAATTAAAAAGCCAATAAGTAACAGGTGATAAAATATTATAAAACATAAAAATAAAACCAACAGAGGAGTCTGTTTTTAAAAGTAGACGGTGTGTTAGCTTCCCTTGATCTCCTCCGGCAGGTCATTCCACAATTTAGGGGCCGGAACAGAAAAGTTAGAAGATACCATCATGTTTTAGTCCTTAAGAGGAAATTACAATTTTACATGCGACACACACATCCACATACAAGACCCTATGGACATGCACTAATGTAGAGATGTCACAGTGAGGGGCTGCACATGATAAAGCGCCAGAGAAGTTGGGGAGTCTTCCTCTTTGCTCAAAAGCACCTCTGTAGTGCTCAGGAAGCGTACTGGCACCTCTCCATACCAGACCTATTTCTAGACTTGAAACGACAGCCCTTACAGACAGAGCTGCTGACACCCAAATAATGACATATACTGAAGGATCTTGTTAGGGGGTCAGGAGGTCAACAATGTATACACATGTTTTAAGTCTGGCAACAAAATCAGAGTTTGTCATCTTTATGTAGACACTCTCCACACTCAGACGTAAAACAAGCAAACTGTCAGAGCAGTACAACTTTATGGGAGTGTTTGTGCATGGAAATCATGAGAGTGAGCTCTGGGAATTAGACCTTGAGATTCAGCAAATGATGCACATTTTTTTTAGCAGCTGCAATCCATTCTCAGTGAATCGGGCCCTGAGTTTGTTAATCCTGATCTGTGAAACAGGCCCCACACCATATGTTGGGTAGACAAACGCAAATAAACTTTGTGTAAAACTGATCATGTACAAGTTTACCTTTCATGTCATGTCAGATTTACAACTAAACAAAAGGTGGACGACCCATGTGCAGACACAAAGTTATTTATTTTAACAAAAGACACCAAGGCAATACTCAAACGTGGTGAGCAGGTCAGGAGTGCAGCCAGGAGGCTGACTTAACCTGAAAAGCTTGGCCTGAGGGCGGCCTAGAGGAAGACCAGGTGAGCATCTTTGGGGGCCCGACGGGCTGGCAGGGAAGGTCCAAAGGGCATGTGGGATCAGCCTGACCTGGGGAGAAGAAGTCGGCCCGACCAACAAGGGGAAGCGAGGAGTTGACAGGGAACCAGGAGGCGGCAGAACCACAGAGAGGGAACCAGGATTCAAACCAGACAACAAGGAGTTGGCCGGACAGCCGCCAGGGAACCAGGAGTATAGGGTCGGAATCAAGACAGGTGTGACTAATATAGGTCAAGACAATCAGAGTTGTGGCAAACAGGAGGCAGGAAATTAAACACTGAGGAAGAAATAGAAAATAAAACAGGACACACAAAAGACCAGACTCTGAAACAAAACCAGAGCACAGAGCAACAGGTTAAACAAGAGACGACACAAAAGACAAGAATAATCTAAAAACAAGACTAGGCAATGGAAAAATGCACACGGAGGGAAATTCAGAAACATGAGAAAGGAAAAGACCAAGTTAAGTTAAATTTCAAGGAATATGATCTTTTTTTTATACATTTCAAGTATGAAGGGGAGGAAAAGAAAGTGCAGGGAAAATGATGGGCACCTTTTAGTCTCCGTTAGATGCTCCACATGACGTGTTACAGAACATGAGACTGTAATTGGAGCCACGAGGTCACTGAGGAGCCTGATGATTTCAACATTTATTGACGAGCTTAAGATTGGAAAGAGGAATTTTTTTATGGTCCTTTGTTTGTGGTCTGCATAAGTCTTAGAACACAGAGAAAAATGCTCTGTTTCAAATTTGCTCAGCTTGTGATGTCACAGTGGGATTCTGGTAAAAAACAAAAATCCCCTCCCCTGATATCTCCACCAATGGACTCCACCCCTAGAACAAACCTTATGTGCAGGTCCGCCATTTTTATTCTCACTACAGAGGAGTGATGTCCACCGGGAAAACTCAGGGGGGGTCATTGCATTTAAAGAGACACACACACCAAGACAGAGCGCTCTGAGAGAGCTGGTTAATACAGGGTCACAAACCTCCTCTGGTGCTTGATTCATGTTATATTTTGACCAAAGCACGGCACAGATGTTTCATTTAGACCACAGGGGACTGTTTGAAAAGGTGGAGGAGGGGGATGATATGTCCTCTTTAAGTTTCAAGGATACAGTAAGCCTAGGCTTAGACAAATGGAGGCAGACTTCAGTACCCAGAGCCAGTGAACATAAACAACTACAGCAGTCAACCAGAGAGGAAAAAGTAGAAAAGTAAATACATCAGGTGTTAATATAATGTTAAGTGTTGGTGTTTCTGCTGTAAATATCCAATGATGAAATCGCGAAACAGACTGTGTATTTCCGAGGTCAGACATCAAACAACAGCAACAGAACGCAAACCGCTGGCAAAATTTTCATCTTAACAGTATTGCTTAAATTCTGTTAGAAAGTACAGCCTTTCTATTTGGATATACCTCTAAAGGCTATGATGACATTACCTAGACTTGTAAATGTCAGACATGTAACCCTTCGACCTCAGAGAATCACATTTTCCTTTTCAGCTCTCAACATACAATTGGTTCCTATCCAAATATAGATCTGCTGCTATGAGAGTCTTGCACATACTGTTTCATCTACACAGACCTAAAAGAATAATTACTCTTAGATGGTAGACATATTTACCCTACTGTCAGCTAATCTGTTCAGCTACATTCATAAGATGTTGTTTCAGTAATTTCACTGACCCATTCTTTTACACTTTAGTCGAACAAATTGGACCTCAGGCATTTTGACAAACTCAAACTCAGTCCTTTGAGTCAAAATTGGGACCATGGCAGAAAAAGTTTGAGAACCACTTCCATTAATAAATTCAACAAATCTGGTCCCTTTTTTGTGAAAAAAAATCTGTAGTCTTCAATTGACCATTAGGACCAGCGAAAAGCTAAAGTATAAGACCTCTCTGTCCCCACAACCAACCAAGAATATAGCTATGTCACACTTTATTACCATTGTGTCATGAGGTTTGTGTGGTTGTTTACTTCAGTGTTAAGATTTAAATTCCTGTTTTATTTTGACATCCATCCTTGTGTTCTTGTATGTTTGCTGTGTTTCTTAAATCTGTTGACAATAATGAGTTTAGTTTTCAATGTTTCCAGTTATAATTTGTAGTTTCTTTCCCCTCTGTGAATCTTGTCTAGTGTTTCTTCCTGCCTGTGTGTGTTTCCCTCCAGTTCTGATTGCCCTGATTGTCCTCACCTGTGTCTTGTTGGTCTCACCTGTGTTTGATTACCATGTCTATTTAGTCTCTGTGTTTCTGCCCTTCTCTGTCAATTCATTTTCAGATTTTCCCCCTTGGGTGTCAGGTTTTCTCAGTGTCCACTTACCAGCTTCCCAGTGACTCCCTGTTTTTGAGGATTGTGGATTTTTTCAGTTTGGACTTTTGGTTAAGAAAGTTACCAAAGTTTTACCTTTTGCCTTTTTGTTCAATAAATATTTTCGTTTAGGTCTGCACTTGGGTCCAGTTCCTTTTTATTTGAACCACGAGACATTGACTCAAGAACAGGACAAAAGAGAAACGGTCTGAAGTCGACTACGTGTTGTCAGACTTCTATAAAATGATGAAATATGGTGCAAACTGACCCACAACAAATAGTTAATAGCTAACTGCTATCAGGTGATTTCCCAAAAGCACTTAGACAGCTGCCATTAAACCACTCCTTAAAAAGAGAACTCTAGATGCCTCTGTGTTAAACAATTACAGACCTGTCTCTAATCTTCCTTTTTTTTTTTAAAGATTTATTTTTGGGGCTTTATGTGCCTTTAATGCAGAGAGAGGACAGTGGATAGAGTCGGAAACCAGGGAGAGAGAGCGGGGAATGACATGTGGAAGGAGGCCATGGGTGGAAGTGAACCCGAGCCTACCGCGAGATGAGAGCCTCAGCACATGGGACGTGCGCCCTAACCAATGCGCCACCAGTGCGCCCCTAATCTTTCTTATATTGCAAAGATTATTGAGATTGGTTTTTAATCAATCTAACACCCTCTGGATTTCTAGAGGCCATCCTGACCAATTTCAATCAGGCTTCAGTCCAAACCACACTACTGAAATGGTTCTTATAAAAGTATTATTAAGTATTAAGTATTAAGTAAGATATAAGGATGAATTGATTCAGGAGAAGTATCAGTTTTGGTTTTATTTGATCTCAGTGCTGCATTTGACATTGCAGATTAAAGAATACTGATTGAAAGGCTGGAAAACTGAATTGGACTTAACAGGACATGTGCTTAAAGGCTTTATATGTAATTTTATGATCCAGCAGATGTCGCCCTTGATCACCAGCATGAAACCAAAACGACTTGCAACAGCTGCATTGTTGTGTTAGTATGCTAATGCTTATTATGCTCGTATCTTCACACTGCATGTAAATTTACACAAAATTATGGTGATCTAATAATGCAGACTAAAGCCGGAATAGCAGCACTTTGTGTAATTATGTTATAACATAAACAAGCTTCAGTCTTTATTACAATTCTACAATTCACTTAGCAGACGCTTTTATCCAAAGCGACTTACATCAGAGAGTAAGTACAACACAAGCAAGGATCTAGAAAAAAGGGAACAATGTCAGTAAGAGTAAACGATCAGCTTTGAGTCCGATTGGACACACAGGTGCTGACAGGAAGTGACCAGAGGCAAAGCACAACATTGACGGCAGTTCTTGAGAGCTCTGATCAGTATAGAAACCATCTTACAAGTCATTTTTATCAAACAAAAACCATCGTCACAACCATCATGATTTAGCA